AGCATGTTCCCAACTAACTGTCTGGGGAAGTTCAGCAACCCTGGGAAACTTACTTCAGTAGACACATCTTGTTTCATTAGTTTGTACACCTTTTCCAGCTGCACAGAAAAATACCTTGACTGTGATACAAAAAACATTACATTTATATGACACATAAAGGAACATAATTTAATATGAATAAAACCTCTTCACAGTCCTTAGAAGCAAAAACTGGCAAAAATCCAGACATGAGGAGGAAGACGCACATTCCAGGCTGAACAATGTCATGTTTTATTACTTAATGCACCGTGTTCTGTCCGGGTCGTTACTTGCATTGAGCAAGGGAGGATCCTGGGAGGATTTTATTGATTGACAATAATGTCCGGGTTTTTGTCATTTTTTGGGAGACCAATGTGCATCCTTAAAATGACGGGAGCGATGCTTGGAGTACGGACGCTTTTCTCCTCCAGGAGCCAGTGGTTCAGAGCATGAACCAGAAAACAAATTTCATATCTTCCCCGGTCACCACTAATGCAAGGCGTTACATACCTGGTAGACGTTTCTGTGTGTGATGAACGAAGATGTTAAATCCCGACGCTATTATTGCTGAACACAAAGATATCAATATCTGGGCAAGGTCAGAGTTCATCTGACTGTAGATAGACCAAAAGCTGGAGTATAGACATTTTTTATAAGCATATTTGTGAAGATGCCTCTTTATTATTAACTTTAATATAATTTCAGATTTTTGTCCAACTTTTCTTCAGGTTAACTTAAAAAGTGAGCTATTATTGTTACAGGTTAATTTTCTTAACTACAGAAATGTCACTGCTAGAAAAACTCAAATTTAAAAAATTGGACTGATATTGATACGCTGTTATGTTAGATTTACCGATGTTTGTTTTATCCGATCACGCAAATAATTGTAAGAATAATCAATAATTACTCGATTACTAAAATGTTTGTTTACAACAGCCCTAGAAAGAATCACTTTTCTCATCTGGTAGGTCAGGAATCTGCAACCTGAATCTCTGGAGACACAAGTGGCTCTTTCACTGACTTAATATATGTATATATCATCATATATTGCTATGCTGTTGGTGTATTTCATTTTTAAGTGTTCCCTGTAGAACACACTGACTGCAGTATCCCCTGTGGTAAATCTAGTCTACAACCAGCGTCTAAAGAAAACAGTAAAGACCATTATATAGATTATTTTAACCAGCTATAAGGGCCAGACTTGTATCATCAGCACCTTTATTCAGATGTCAACTTGTAATGCACAATATTATGCTTAGCGATTTTTTGCAATGGGCAATGCAGTAGTTAATTTAGAATTATGTTTATAATATTTATGAATAGAAATTGTATACAGCATTGGCTTTATTTATTTGAATATTATTTTGTTGTTCAGTAAAAAATGTTGCAAGTGTGTAAAATATTTGGATAAATAATGGGTTAGTCTGATCCTGGTCCTTAGCCTTAATTACTCTTGTTGCTCTGTTTTCAAGTTTGATTAGTGACTGTTGTGTTGTTTTGTAATTACTTTTCCAAACCTCTCTGTAGCCACTAAAGAACAGTACAGAATGTTAGGGTCAGGCTGTTTCTTTGCGAAGAAATAGGTGTATTGTACTGAAACTCTGACAAACCTACTTCCTGAACTGTGAACTGAAATAGTAAAACCCCGACTCATAATGTTTACTTTTCCATAGATGGACAAACATTCTTGTTTAAAGAAAAGACCAACAGCTGCATAATGTTTAGACACAAATAATGTTAATGCAAATTCTAAGCATAATTTTCAAATAAAGTTCAGTTAACTAGTCCTTAACCTGACCTTCTTCTACCTTTATATTAAACTGGTTTGGGGTTTATTAATCCTATGAATTTAATAAAATGTTCTTCAAATAAAATGCATAGTTTTGAGCAGATTTTTGTCCAACTAATAAGTTGGACGAAACTATTTAATTTCTTATGTGAGTGTATGTAAATAAGCAGTGAGAAGCAGTAGTTTTTGTGGTTTTAAACATGAACAAAGTCTAATTCCTGTGTTTTATGAAAAAATGACTGTCAGAGACCAAAAACGCTTTATGTCAGTGAGAGAAGTGAAAAATGCACAAATATGAATTTTTCAGCAATACGTCTTTCTAATCTTAAAGTCCTTGTAACAATCAGCATTCTACTAATACATTATTTCTTGTCGAATCCCTCATCTAAAATAACCAAATCATCCTTACACAGTGGAAATATTTCAAAGGAGTTATTAAATTTATACTTATCTTGTTATTGTTCCTATCTTCAGTTATTAACCTGTTGGATACAAGGAGCCTTGTTCCTGTATGAGTCTCTCAGAAACTAACCATTCTACTTACACTGTTTTTGTCCAAGTAGTAAGAATCAATTCCATCTTTTCTCTCTTTAATATTTGTGCAGCTCTCATACATTTTATGTTTAAGGACGACTTGTATTAATACAAGAATGTACGTTTACTGTTTGATCTGGTTCTGGTCTGCTTTGCATCCCCAGAACCAGAACCAAGAGAGGAGAAGCAGTTTTCAGCATCTATGCACCAAAAATTTGGAACAAACTTTCAGAAAACTGTAAAACAGCAGAAACCCTGATTTCCTTTAAATCTCAACTAAAAACACACCTGTTTAGAATTGTACTTGAAATGTGATATGTAACAATGTATTGTTTATTCTATGTTGCATGACTTTGTGTTTTTGTGTTTATGATGTAAAGCACTTTGAAATGCCTTGCTGCTGAAATGTGCTATATAAATAAAATTTGATTGGTTGATTGAAAAGAAAGTCAACACTTCACCTGAGGTACCTTCACACTCCTGGACAAAGGTTTAGTTTTCAGCGAGCTTATTTCAATATAATGGTTGTTTAAAACACCTTGTATTATTTCTCTAAACTTTTCTTTTTCTTGCAGCCTGTAATACAAGCAAGCACCATGAACATCAAACATGATCCAACTCCATGTCAAATGATGTGAGGCAAACTATTTGACAAGAGTTAATGTTAAGACAGGTGGGAAGAAACCAGTCATATGACCACTAATATTTACCTGAAAAAAAAAATCTGACTACAAACACTTTGATGGGCTTGATTACATTATCATCTGTTTCCTCTGTCTTTCATACTTCTACTTCATACGGCTTGAGTGAATGTGTAGCAATGTGTCCATGCATGTGCACTTGTGTTCCTATAATACAAACGTGACCTCACATGAACACCCAACGTGTTGTGATAAGGCATTATGTGGCAAAAAGAACATCAAACAACAGAAAACTGTTTTAAGGCCAAACAACAGAACAGAATATCTCAGCAGAACTCAAACTGAGGTTCTGAAAAGAAGGAAGATTCCAAAACTTCTCATGGAAAGTTTCCATTGTTTTTCAGCCTTAACTTCACAATCAGGGCCGGCCCAAGCCTCATGGGGCCATGAGCAAAATTTGGTTTTGGGGCCCACTATTTCTACAATGTGGGTCAGCTGGAAGCAGCAGTTAGAATATTAGATCATTCGCACACCTGCTATAAACTTACTGCATCTCCGATGGTGCTGTTTACATTATATTCTATGCATGTATAATATAGGATACATTTATCGGCCAGTCAATTTCTTGGTGCTGATTTTCTTGTTTTGGGGGGATAAGTGATCGGCTGATAGTTATACGTGAAGCCCATCTTATCCGCTGATCTTATTTTCTTCGGCAAAGGTTTAAAAATCTGCTCTACAATGAGAGGTTTGACTGACAGACAGGTCTGAACATTCACAGTGAACAGTATTCACCGCACTGTTGCCAACTCAGCGACTTTCTTGCTATATTTAGACGCATTTCAGACAAAAAGATTGATATCGACCAAAATCAAAATTGGCTGGTCAGGATTTTTAAAGATTGGTAAGTGGGAATCGCCCAGAAAACAGCAATCGGAGCAGCCGTATACGCATATTCATGACATTCTATGATTAAATTAATTTCTCTTCAGCATAACTGACCTGGTGTAAAAATTTTATTTACACCATGTGAGTTTTTCTCTCGAGGATGTGGACCGGTACTAGTACTGGATTGATTCTGAGCCTTCAAATGACTTTAACAGAAGTTTAACATAACTTAGAAGTTGATGTAAAAATATTGTTTGTTTTAGCCACATAAATGATTAGCAGCAAACATATCACCAACTACATCTTAGAGCTGTAGTTGCAGCTACATTAATGCAGTTGCCATGTAAGCCTGATGTAAAACATCTTGCTAGACAATGTCAAACATTGAGAAGTTTTAGTTGTTGCTATTAAATGTTATCAAACCCTGTTTTGAAGCCAAAAAACCCCAGAAATATAGAGTTAGACTAACTTTATTGTCATTGTTCTAAGAAGCATAAGTAAAATTGGAAATAAAATATCATTGCTTGGTCACCGGAGCACACAGAAACACAAGTGTGCCTATAATTACAAAATAAACAATTAGTAATGTATTGCTAAATATATATAACTTAATATTTTCAAGCAGTCTTGGATAGTTTTAGGGATGGGATTGTTGAGCAGTCTGATGGCCAGTGGAAGACAACTATTTCTCAGTCTGGCCGTTTTGCTGCCAGATGCCAAACGGATGAACATACCATAGAAGGGATGAGTGAGAGCTTTTCGTATGAGCCAAGCAGGAGAATAAACTAATTTCAGGTTAAAACTCAGCTTCACTAAGATGCTAGCAAAAATGTTTGGCTGTTGAACTGAACCGTTCAAGGTCACTATCAAGTTAATTTTCTCTTAAAGATCTTTTTTTTTATAAACAATACATAACAAAGACATATTAAAACATACCTTAATCTTGGCTTTTTTCAATTCTTCCTCTGTCCTCCCTTCCTGAATGATAAGTCCTTTTTTGAGACATTGTTTTGCTAACTGTTAAGAATTAAAGAGAGGAGATCTTGATTTTGCTCGTTAATTCTCCTCTGATCCCGGACTCTTGAGCCTCAATATAAGCAGGGAGAAAGAGCAATCATACGACATCAGACTTCAGATATCTAGAGCTTTATCCAGAGAAAATCAATGCATGGAGAATGTTACAATAAGCCTCTCACCCAGATTATCAAAAAGTCCAAGACGTGACAAAACAGAAATAACTGCACGAGTTGAAAGAAAGAAAGCACCGAAAATGCATTTTCCGGGAATCGCGGACTCGGGCAGAAAGCAATTCGAATTCTCTGTTGCAAACGAAAACTTTTATAAGACTGTGCCTTTCTCTGAATTTAAATATATGCATTAGGAGGTGTGTTTTTCCTTTGTGGGGGCTGTGTTAATGTTAATTTTATTATCTCGCGCTAAAGAGCCCCAAAGGCAGATATATGGATTGTCAAACTGGGTCTTTGGCGTACCAGGTGTCTCCTGCAAACCCTCCCTCGGCGAAAATTTACGACCTGTGCCTGTTTTGGTTTTCTGCCTCAGTGATTGAACTAGAACGTCTTTGTGTTTTACTGAAACAAAATCTAATGCTAAAAACTAACTATAAGTTTGGATCTAAAACTAACTAATTCAAAACATGCTGTTTAATGCCCAAAGAAATATATTAGTACGTTTGATTATATTTTGTAATGGACTTCTATATATTTTTTTATGTTTGCCTGAACTCCTGAACTCTGAGTAAAGAATTTATTATCCTGATAGCTAATACGCTCCCTGTCTGGAAAACCCTCCTTAAGGAGTATAAGATTTGTCTTCTGATTAGAAATTTATGTATGTTTCAGAGAATCACCAGCTGCCCCAGCCTGGATCTTTATCTAAGTTTGTCTTAACGTAAAGGTTAGCCTGTGTACGATTGTGCTAATTTAAATTTGTATTTCAACATAACTTATCTTACGTATTTTTTTCTGCCACCCCATTTTTAGCTCCCTTTTGTTACTATTACAATTCAAATTTAAAAGGAAAAAAAAAAACACGGCTTAGCACGTTCTTGAAGGGACGTTTCCCAAGCTATCTGTATGGGAGGGGAGAGCAGTTAATCAGTGCTGTTCCTGTTATTGATCATTTCATAGACAAACAACTGTTAAGGACATAAAATGCTAACTGAAAAAAACAATTTCCCACATTGTTTCTGCGCCCCTGTGCGTTGCATACAATGCCCACCCACTTTTTACGCCACTGCCCACCGCGGTCACGAGAGGGTCCCCCAAGAGAATTACATTTTTCTTTTTGTCCATAAATTATTTCTACACACATCATCAACCATATATTGTGAAAAAAATCACTTCATGATGAAATTATGTTTTTTGTTAATATAATGACATTGAAATCGTTACGATAAAAAAAGAAAATCAGCTCCACTGAGAGGCTCTGTTCACAATCCTTTCTGCTCATTTGAAAATCGGAAATAGTAAAGTTTATAAAGTTTATGAATTTTTGGTGAATGTTTATAAAGCACTGAAAGTAGGATGCAAGGATGAAACAAAAGAAGAGTGAAAGAGGAGCACAAAGAATGGGATGAACGAAGAACAGTCATAAAGGAGTAAGAAATGGAAGAACAGACAAAAATCAGATGTCAGAACAAATGACTGTTCATTTGTATGAGCTTAGACAAATATTTTTTCCATATTCTCTTTTGCCATACGTCTGGAAAATGGTAAACTAAAATTTCAGACTGTGCTGGAACCCTGGGTTAATGTCACAACTGAGCGCTTATGGCAAACCAAATGGTTCTGAGCTAGTGAATGGACATTCTACATTTACAGCTGGAGTTTTACAGAGCGACTACTCTGTAGACATAAAGGCTCTCAGCTCGACTTCTATATTTCTTCTTTAAGCAAAGACAGCTGCATAGCGAGCTGGGTTGATACTTTGGAAAGAACACATTCAAAAATACATTTATGAAGACTTCATGAATGAAAGAAAACCATGAATTTCAACACACAAACATCAACAAACAGTGTGGGGGAGCTGGAGGTGTGGTAGAGATGAACATGGGCGTGTATTCTTTTTCCCCCTTCTTATTCTGCATGTTTACAGGTATTCTGTTTACACAGACAAAGGAAAGCCATCTCTGAACAATCAACAACAGCAGATTGTTGACTTGACATGACTAGTCAAGTCATGTCAAGGTAGGGCAGGTAGACTTAAACCCAAACAACTAGTATTGTTTGGGTTTAGCAGCAAACAATACTGATGCATCAGAATTGTGCGATAGCAAATGTGACGTAGTAGTATGTCTCGTGGTTGGTGGAAGCACTGATGGTTTTTTTGTCCTCCAGTAAATGGACTGTGACATGGGAAGCTGGCAGTTCCACTTGACTGTACTGTACTGTTGTACATGGTGGGGTAATGGGATGCTTTTATAATGAAAACAGACATCAAACTGATCCATACTGCTCAGTGGAGATGAGGTAATATAGGCGGAACGATCTGATCTCAATGATTTAAACAGAATACCTGTAAACAATAGATCATTCAACTGTTTATCTAAGTGTTGTATGAACAGCTTATGAATAGCTAGTATGAACATGCCATTTCTGAGACTTGACATGTTTAACATAACAGCACTGCACTTTGATGCGAGTCCTGCTCTAACTTGATATTAGCACACAGTGACAGTCAGAACATCTTATATCTTACCCAAACTCTGGTGAAGTGCTGGTAGAAGGTAGTGAGCCATAACTATCTTATGTGCATTAGATAACTCTCTTGCTGTTTTCATTTATTATCAATCCAGGTTACTTGGTTCTGATAGCAGGATTTCTACTGTCTTCACACATCATAGAAATGAGCACTATGAAACTTATATTTGTATCAGTCTATTATTTACAATGAACATGTTGATTATTTACACAGGGTACTGAGGTGGGAAGAAGCACACCACCTCTTCCAGGGTGAAAAGAACATGTAAATCAATACCAGTCCAATTAACTAGTAAAAAAGCAAAGTTAAAAACCACCTGGCAGGTTTGGTGTACTCTATATTATTGATATTTAGGCTATTACTCTGACGTTTTAAAAGTGTGCAATGAATTCTCAATCTAATAAACGATATTTTTGAGACTAACTGTTACCTTTAGTTTCAGATACCAATTCATTAAGTTAGTACTGTAGCATTATAAAAGCTACAGTACGTAACTTTTAGAAATGTCTTATAAACACTTGTTAAAAGTTTCACAATGTGTGAGACAGATAATCTGTGAAAAAAGGTCAGAACTCCTCTGCCTGTTCCCTGTGGTCCTAGTGTCATCTATAAATAAACAGTTTGGTCTGAAAGAACCAATCAGAGCCAGGAGGAGGGTCTTAGTGCTGAGAATCAGTCTTTTATGTACGTACATAATGTAGGAGCAGTGAAGTGTCAGAGGAGACCAATTATTTTTAACAGATTATCCGTCTTCATTAGCGTTTTATATATATATTTATATATAGTTTATAAAAGTTATATACTGCAGCTTTGAGGAGCTACTGTAGAGAAGATGTTACCTGCTCATAATTCATAATCTCTCCACAGAACACGATTCAAACGATCCCTTTAAGGTCTTGACTCTGTCACCTAATCAGTGACAGAAACCTGCTTTAGCCACCCATAGTGCTTTAAAAAACTGATCAGTGTGATAATGACTATTATGCTGCGCTGGTGTCTGCTCTGACACAGTTCCCTGAGAACCCTGAACTCACTCTATGATCACAGCTAAGGCAAAAATGCGGGGACAATAATTTGTCATACTGAAGGATAAAAAATATAAACAAATCAAACCAAAATACACATTTTACATATATCATTATACATATGGTGCAGCATTACAAGGAGATGATCTTAAAAAGCCAATATTTACAAATAGTTAAGATGATCTTGGCAAAGCTTGGAAGCTAAATGTCAGGCTTATTCTCCAATACCTGCCTGTGTACTTGACTCTACAAAAAACAGTGTGCTGGTGATTAAAAGGAAAAGTGTTTCTCTATGTACACTATGTCCAGTGACAGACATGTTTGGTTGTACTGGCAGATTCTTCTGCAAATACGAAACATGATCCACAGTGAATTCTTCCAGCTGCTTCACATGGACATGCTTATATAGTACATTTACTTCAAAAGTACACATTGCACTAACAAAACATCTACCTTTTACTGACCTGAAGCTAGTTCTTTTTTTAAATATACATACACACATTCTAAATTATCAGTTTACTTATTTTGGCTTTAAGCAATAAACCACTCCAACGTGCAGAGCTTAATTTCCAGAGTGGGTCTTTCATTCCCCAGACAAACTCCGATCATTAACGGTTTTCTTCTGTTTCTACTTTTTCTTCCAAGTCCTTTTTCTGGGCCCACATCATACACATATATATTTAACATAATAAAAAATAAGTTACTGTGCCTCCAAAAAAAGTGCATTGTACCCTTGAAAAATATTAATCTTTTTAAGATATTCTCATTTTTCTTTACGTTTTCTGCCAAGTGGATGGATTCCCGTTGATGGATTTGAGATGGCGGTAAGTTTCCACGTTATTCAGATGCTCTGATGTACAGTCACCACTGATGGGGAGCGCCGGGAGCTCAGGGAGGGGAAGCGGGTACAAGAGGAGCAGGAAGAGTGGGCGGAGGGGGTAGTAAGCGAGATGTACTGCTATGCAATAACCATGGGAACATCATCGGAGAAACCACTGATCATTGGAGCATCTTCATCATCATCACCTAAGCAAAAGAAAAGAGAATACTTCAGATATAATTTATGTATCCACTCATGGTGGCCTCATGTTGGCCACCATGTTATGTCAGTTCTGGTTTGTTCTTTTTGCAGACTTAAGTTCACCATTTCTTTTTTGTTTTTTTTTCCTTTTTTCTTTTTTTACAACAGAGCAGATCATTGGCATAACCAAAGTTCAAATAATCTATGAACTATGACCCCAAATCCTAAATGTTTTGAAATATGGAGTGAAAACAGCCTCAAAACGCATGTGTGTGTGTCATAAAGTGTGATGTGGAGTGGTGAGGCAGACACTGGAGACCCATGTAGAATGAATTAAATTATTTAATTGTGACAAAACCAGAACAGTCCAAAACCGAGGCAGCACTGCTGAACAGAATCCAGGACTCGCACAGGTAGCTCAAGGAACACGAATGGACAAAGAGGTGCGTAGACACAACGACCAACGACATAAGACCCGACGTGGAACAAAGGAAACAGAAGGGATTAAATACACAGAGGGTAATCACGAAGACGAGACACACCTGGGAGTAATTAAGGGGAAGACAGGACAATGAGGAGACTCAGGGACACAAAAAACTCAAAAGAAACACAGAAAAACAAAGAACATGACAATGTGTGTGTAATATTGGATTTATAATCCATGCAAGCATCTTTGTGTGTAACTTTGGATAGTTGTATGTGTGACATATGATTTGTAAACCATAAAAAGTAACTTTGTGTGTAACTCCGTATACTTGTAAATATGTGGTCAAGTGAATACATAAATGTTCAAAAAAATTACAAATACAAAATAAAAGTACACACACAAACAATTACAATTTCCACAAACAAATTTTTAAACTTCAATCTCACAAATCTGACAAAAACGTTCTCCTAGGCCTACAAATGTGTAACACAAGTTGCCTGTTAAACACAGACAAAACTGCATTTACGCACAGATCAAGTTAGAAGTGCACAAGAATTTTTGAGACTTATTTTCTGCTTCCAACAGCCTCAGATTTGTGCATAGTGCCATTTTACAGCACAATCAATTTACTATGTTACCTTCAGTTACAAAAAAAATGCTATATTTATCAAATATTACCGAACAGAAATTTATCTTCCTAAATTAACTTCTTAAAATTGGAGTTAAAATTTTAAGAAAGTTTAACAAAATTCCAAAGACCCAGAAGATTTTAAACTTTTCTTCCTCTATAAAAACTTTTTTTAAGAGGAGAGACTCCTTTTTAATCAGTGTATGAACGATCACACAACTTTCACACTAAAAATTGGTAGAGACAAATTTTGAAAAGTGCAGCACACAGAAAAAAGTGTCATGTACACATTTCTTTTATAGACCTTAATATGAAGGTCTATAAAAGGTCCTTTTTTGTAGTAAAATCAGTATTTATAATAATAACATATATATTTTTTAAAAGTTGTTTTCAGGTCAAAAGACACCTCAGAAAAAAGAAAAACAACAAATTTTACAGAAAAATATAAATAGAAAAAAAGGAATTATGAAATACAGTTAAATTCAATTCAAAAGCAAATAGAAATGCTTGTTTTAGCAGCAGAGAATTCAGCTGGGACTTAAAGACAGACAGTCACTACATTTATTAGGCTGCCTGTCTAATAAATGTGCAACTATACATACAAGTTTCACATTTACAGAATGGAGATGCTTTCTATTCACAAAGCCTGCATGGCTCAGCTGAAGGATGTTTTACTGACCCATCAGTAGCTCCAGCTGCACCAGTGCCATTAATGCACAGCTCCTTCTTTGAGGCAGTAATTAACCACCAACATGTGCCAACTGACCCATATGATCTCTGAACACATGCTCCCTATACAAATCCTTCTATTGGCAATTTTCTCCATCAAAGCCAAAGCATTCCACAATTACATAAGCACGCTTTGGCGCAAAGCGTGCCTTGAGAGCACAGGCCAACGCATTACATCGTTATCTGACAAAAACTGAGAAAATATACTATTTGCATTTGAGTGAGGTTTTCTCAACCTTTTATTTTGTGTGTGTGTTATGTTATTGACGATGATAAATGTGATTCAGTTTTATTGTTTAGGTTTAAACAGTAAAAAAATTTAAATTTAAAAACAGATTTTTATGCTTCTTGGTCTAAATAATATGAAACGTAGTCAGATTTCAGTGACTTAGGTGAGTTCAGTGCTTTGTAGTTTGTTATTGTCCACAAACATTTTCACTAAAAAGTGAAAATGAAATTGTCATTTAATTTCTGAAATGACAATACATAATGTATTGCCATACAATACAATATTTGTATTTGTTATGTATTTGCCGTGGACCGGTAACGGTCCGTGGACCAATCGGTACCAGGTGTTTGTTAATTGCTGCTGGCTAGTATGAAGCAGTTGAGCTGGAGCAGAGAGAGGGATGCTCTGTGAGGCAGAAGCTCGGAAACTAAATTTCAGAGGAGGAGCTTCGTCCTTCAAGGGGGAACTAGGACCACCCACAAGCTTTGCACAGCTGAATGTTTCAATTCAGTTAAATTCAATTCAAAAATTATTAATCCCAAAGAGAAATTAAATGTTGTAGTAGCTCATCCAGATTCTTTAAAGAGCCATTGAAAATGCCGATGGGTGTCGGCAGGGAAAATCTCCTAAATTGGTCTGTACCACAACGAACCTAAAGAAGCCTCTGACTTGAAGATGAGCTGCCTGCCCAAGATATTCTCGTAAAGAGGATGGTCAAGGTTGTCCATAATTTTCTTGATTTCATGAAGAATCCTTCTTTGCATTATCATCTCCAGAGGTCTTATAGTTGTTCCCTGAACAGAACCAGTCTTCTTCATCAGGCTGTTGCACCATTTTAAGTCCCTGGCTCTGATGCTGCTGCCTCAGCAGATGACGGATGAAGAGATGACGCTCTCAACGGCAGACTTATAAAAGATCTGCAGCATCTTGGTGCAAACCTTGAAGGATCTTAGCTTCCTCAGTAAGTACAGTCTGTTCTGTCCCTTCTGAAATCTACAATCATCTCTGTTATTTTGTGCACATTTAAGAGGAGATGATTGTTCCTACAGCATGACACAAACCACCAGATCTCTGTACTCAGATTCTTATTCATCTCTGATACAGAATCATCTGAGTATTTCTGTAGATCACAGAAGTCAGACTTGTGCTGGAAGTCTGAAGTGTACTTAGTGAAAAGGAATGGAGATAGAACAGTGGCCTGTGGTCCTTCTGTGTTGCTGATGCGATGAGGCCAAAGTCTCTTGTTCTCATCTAGAAGAATGTAATTTGATAATGTGAAATTTGGAGCTCGTATGCGTAGATGCACTGAGAAATCAAAGAACATGATTCTCACAGTGCTGCCTGCTTTCTCCAGATGACAGTGGGTTTGTTAAAGGAAGTGTATGACAGAATTATCAACTCCAACTCCACAGCAATAAGCGAACTGGAGGGGGTCTTGATACATCCTTATTCAGGTGGGCCAACAGGAGTCTGTCCAGGACCATCATGACATTGGATGTCTGGGCAACAGGTCTATAAATGACAAATGGGTGAGTTTTCCTCTGTACCAGAAACACAACAGTGTTTTCCACTGCTGTGTCTTGTTGAAGAAATGTTACTGAATCCTAGAGCTTTCAGGACTCTGGGTCTGACACCATCCAGACCTACAGCCTTATTCCAGTATAGTCTCCCCAACTTCACCTGACTTCTCTATTCATTTATTTTTTTCCCCAAAGACTTTTTGCGGCGCTTGTGGCTTGTATTTTTGACATTAAGAGGGCGAGGAAAGGGGGGAAGACATGCGGCAAAGGTTACCGGGACCGGGAGTCAAACCCGCGATGTCCGCATCGAGGACTAAGGCCTCCAAATGTGGGGCGTACTAACCCCTTCTAAATACAGCAAAGTGAGAGGCAGAGGTAAAAAGAGCGACAGCATCACCTGATTTGATTGAAGTCAAGAGTCCATGACTGAGCTGGAAGATAGGACATATGAGATTTGACAGGAGAGCTGAGGGTCAGTGGAAGGTGGGACGTTTGTGTGGCTGGAGACAGGAGATTATGATGATGAGGTTGTTCCTGAGCTGAATCTGTTGAATCTGTTGAGCTCATTTGCTCTGTCCAGACTTCCATTGATCTGATCCTCCTTTTGCTTGAAGCATGTAATCTTCTTCATCCCTGACCACACATCTGTGATATTGTTCCTCTGAAGTTTGTTCTCCAGCTTCTTCCTGTACTTCTCCTTGCTGTCTCTAATCTTGACTTTTAACTGCATCTGTATACTTCCCAATAACTCCTTCTTTTGCTTGTTTAAAGGCTCTTTGTTCTTGTTTAAAATTCCCATCAGGCCCTGGTTATCCAGGGTTGCCATGGATATTAAAAGGATTTCTCAAACAAACATGAAAGAATCAACGCAACACTGCAGGTATGTTTTTTTTTATGAAGGAATAACATCATCCAATGATAGAAAGCTCAAAAAAGTTGTTTATTCATCATTATACCCTTTAGAAACCACCTTTTTCTTCCACTCTACATTTGGTGCTATTATGTTAGACTTAGACTCGTACTTTATTGATCCCTTGGGAAGACTCCATCAGGAAATTGAAGATTTACCACATAAACATAAATGTTGATTTACCACATAAACTTCCCCCAAAATGTACCAAACTTGATTTAACTTGCTATGTGTAAAAGTCTTTACAGTTACCTAATTCATCCCCAGAAGAAAAGATGGCAGAACCCAGGCGGGAGTTGTAGTGGGAGTTGGCAAAGGCAGTGAAGTGGTGCTGCAGCCGGCGGTGTCGTATGTAGAGTGCCACTAGGCCGCTGCCCACAACCACCACGAGCAGAAAGAGGACGGGAACAACCACTGATGCCATATCTCTGGAATGGTTCTCACTGTAGGATTCATCACTGTTCCCTGAACAGGTGGGAAAAACAACATCAAGAGAAGAAAATTATGATTTCTCTTTCTAATGCATGGGATGTTTGACATTATTAAAAGTAGCATACAAATTGAATATTTATCACATGGCTTGCGCTCCTCATTAAACCAAGCGTCATCAATCTGTGCTAAACATCACAGATCCAGAACCTCCCTGGAGGTTCTGGAGGATCATCAGTACCTGTCTGTTGGTTGTAAAGGAGGAGTGCAGGTTCTCCACACAGCTGGCCACCCAGCAGGCACCTGGCCTGCACAGAGAATGTGTAGTTGTGCCCCACCAGAAGACTGTTGATGCGGAAGTAAGTCTCTGTGGTGTTTCCCAGATAAACTGTCTGGTTGGTCACACTGTCAAACACATGGACCTCATATCCCTGTGGACAACAGCAGTAGAATCTGTCAGTAAATAAATCACACTGACTTACAAACTTCTAGTGGTAGAACTTCTGTTTTTTTTTTCTTTAAGATTTTATTGGCTTGTGTGGTCTTTATTTCATAGTGGTCAGACAGAAAGGTAGGTAATGAGAGAGGGAAAGGTCATGTGGCAAAGGTTGTGAGATGCGAGACTCGAAGCTGTGACAGCCGTGTGGGGGACTAAGGCCTCTGTATGTGGTTTGTGTGCTACCCGTGTGCCACCGCAGAAGGTCTGAACCTGTCTTCTGTCTTATCCCTTCTGTCCTAGTTCACATACACAGATTTTTATGCCAGTTTTTGTACTGATCTTCCCCTTCCAACAATTTTGAGAACATTGAGATTATTGAGGTGCTTCCTATCATATTGTTAAGAGATCTTCTTCCTGCCGTGTGCGGAATATTAACACATCTCGTCTGCTAAAGAATGCTCACATTTAAAATCAGGGATATTCAACATGTTGGATCATCTTGTCCCAATATTACAGCGTGTGTGGTGTTCCCCGAAGACAAACGGCAACTCAGCCTGTTGAATGTGATGTTTAGTCATTCAGAAAGGAAAGTGAAGGAAACACAACGAGGACAAAATATCTGGCATGGCAACCAGAAGGTTTACATTGGATACATGTTTGTATTGGGTTTTTTCTCTGTTAAATATAGTTCAAGAGCTATCACTTGTTGGCCATGTTTATGTACTCTTAACTCACGTTTGGCAAGTTATCCAAGATTTTGAAAATAGAAAGTGTTCACACTACTGACTGGATTATGTTTCCCAACTGAAAGACTGGGGCTTACTGAACAACTGGATCTCCTGATTGATCACAGACTATAGGATTTATAAAGCATCTTACTAATGTGAAGGAACATACACACAAGTAAGTGGCAGTAATAAAAGATGGTCTCAATTCTAAAGGGTTATATATTTGTGCCACTCCCAAATACTATATAACGAAAAATATAGTTTGGATAGCGGTGACTATATTGCTTGTCATACTCTTGTTGAGAGAATAGAGCATTTATTTAACATACAGAGGTTGTTTGTATGGTTCATACAACTTTAAATGGCAGCTGTAAACCTATCTTAATAGACAACAATATAATGTTACAGTTGGATCACGCAAATAAGCCTGAGCATATTTTGGTTTAGGAAGTGGTGAGGTGGCGGTAGCCCTTATGAAGCAATGCAGCAGTCAGTAATTTCTCACCCTGCTCTCATTGAAGCCCTTCTCTCGGACTGCAAGGCTCTTCCAGAAGAGGAACACATGGTCATTTTCTGTCAGAATTTTAAAGGCTTCTGGAGCAGGCAAAGGAACTGAAAAGGAGGGAAATAATAAATCAAATCACTTTGGTGCTCTTTGAGCAAAACTACAGTTAAAATCATATAAAGTCATCATAGACTTGAATGACACTGACTACCAACCTTCTGGTTCATTCTGGTGCAAACTTTTCTTTTTCTTTCAATTTTTTAATTAAGGAACAGCATGAAGAATGTACACCTCCAGGTCTTGCAGCCCATTATACATTTTGGATGTTAATAACAGAGGTTGATTGATATGATTTTTGAAAGATATTTAAGATACCAACAAATTAGTTTTTTCTAAATAGTGCCAGATTTGTAGCTGGCACTATTTGGCATACTGGCATTTTGCTGTGTAGGAGGAGTCACACATCTCTAACAATGGATATATTTGTGCTGGCTTGTGTTCACTCATGTGTGGGAAAAAAAGCTAGAGGAAACTCTGAGCACTTTTTTTTGGAAGAAAGTGCAGTTGATTAAACTCCATCCCTTAAGGAGTGGCTTTGACAGACCTGTGTTGAGGGTGAAGCTGGCCTCCTTGGTCATGTTACGAAGGCGGACGGAGACGCTGTACCTTCCTCCCGATTCCAGGCCTCTTAGCAGGTACTCCACCGTGTTGTTCTGGGTGGTCAGCTTGTAGTCCCTCTCCCCTTTCCGGATTACATCTTTCACGTGAATCACGTATGTCTTAGAGGATGGACACACAAACAGAGCAGGTGAGCACACCGGCTAGATCACAAGTATTCAGACTAAACAGGGTATTCTTACACAGCTGGGTGGTTGCCATGGTAATGATTTTTTTTTTCAAACATGGATGAAAGAATCAAAGCAATACTCCAGGTTATGTTTTTGATGAGGGGTTAACATTATAATGTGATGTATAGCTCAAACAATGGATTTTACATGACACTGCCCCTTTAAAGCACAGCCTCCTACCAGGGGGGCATCTGGCGTGTCGTATGGTGGCTGCCATTTCAGCGTGGCCTGTGTCTTGTCCACACGCACACAATGGAGGTTCCGTGGAGGCAGCCTCTCGTCAGGGATCATTTTCACCACAGCATAGTCAGAGGGAGGACCCAGGAAGGGAGCGACAACCCGAGCCTGAATCAATATCATATCAATATCAATCATTGGTGTAAGATCATGTCTGAACTGAAACTACACACCATATTGTCTGCTTTATCAGTAAGGATACTAAAATATTCTGCTGCCCTTGCATCACCACCATGTGTGGAAAGAACTTTTCACTCTGGAACTACAGCAGAAACTTATACAACAGAACAGAGGTCTTTAACATGAGGGACGCAGAAGGAACTGTAGAGAATGTTGTGAAATTTCTGACTTTTTCTTTTAACTTCAGTGTTAGTTCCTTAAATACACATTAGCATGAAACAATGTGTTATAGACTGATAAATCCAAGAAATTGGCTAACATTATGGTGGTGGCAGAATTATGCTATGGGGATTATTTATTTCTTCAGATGAAAGTATGGTTGTTTGTCAAGGTGGACAAAATCAAGATCTTGTTCAAATGCAAAATATTCCAATTCCTTCAATGGTGGAAGAGAACTGACATTGAGGAGGAATTGGATTTTCAGAGTCCCAGAGTAAAATGAAAGTTACCACTGTAGCTATGGTCCCATTAACTCCACTTGAGGCAGTGCTTTGAGCACTGAATAATCATTAATCACAGCAAAGTCACCTGACCTGCCGGTGATCAATGTGACTCTATACAGTCACATGACACCCAGCACTCAATTCCTAAACCTTCTCGTGAGATTCAAGGACATGCCCCTTGTAGAATAGCACCTCACACCTGCTGTCAGTGGACAAACCTGCAAGGCATGAGCCCTTGCGATAAATCTATAACCCAGTGTGCAGGCTACGGCTCAGAAAGGGCCTGAAGTTTCCGTGAGCCCGCGTAGCAAACAAAAAGGCCATTTGTCTTTTGGAAACACAGTGGAATTCATATATAAACACGCCTTAAGAGCACGAACAGGGCACAGATGTTCAGAGGTGCCCCTGGTGTCAAACCGGGCTGGTGGCTGGGTACACCCTGCCACCAGTGACACTTTAGGAATAACTGCCATGTCAAGCCACAATGTAACACCAGAGCCCTCAGGGTTCCACCCGCAGCAGGACTCGAGTATCAACAGAGCCTGCAATTCGCCTACATGCTTTGGAGAATTCATTGACAAAAGGAACGCCGACTTCAGCCTTTTGACATCAGCCTTTTGAGGTCTGAAGATGCAAAAACCTCGAACATGTGGGACCGAAGAGTCTAAAGCACCAGAGAAAGATCCCACACCACAGAGCAGTCGGGTGGGTATGCCAAGTACCTCTTAAGAACAGCACAATGTCCTTATTTTGCCAGCCAAGCAACCATTCAATCAAACATGCCAATTGGAAATATAATCCTCATATACTTCCAAGGAGGATGGAGACTGTCACTGATCCATTAATGCCTGTGGGAAGGTCAGTATGCCAGAAACTGAACACTGCACTGGATTCTGCCCTTTATCATGTCACCAGGTTGCAAAGACCGCCCATTTTTTAGCATAAACAGTTTGTGCATAGATGATGCCCATCACTGCAAAAACTGAAATCTTAGTAAGATTAAATATCTTAAATTAAGGAGATATATGCTTGTTTTCTTTCTGACAAGATCATTTTTTACCAAGAGGTTTTCATGTTAGAATATTTTCTTATTTTAAGTGTTTTTGTACTTATGTCAGTAAGATATAAAAGCTTGACATTAAAAAAATACTACCTATTATGAGTAAATATATACTAGAAACTAGAATATTAATATTGTTGGGAGTATAAGTTTGGTCATATTAATTTTAGAAACAGTTAACCTTTGTGCATATGAAATATTAGATGTAACATGAATATTTTGAGTTATTTTGAGTTAGGTAGACTTAGATAAAGATCCAAACTAAAACAACTGCTGAATCATTAAGGAGGGCCTTCAGACAGGGGGTCTGCAGGCAGAGGGGGTCTGCCTACATCAAATTCTTTGGTGTTTGTTTAGGAGTTCAGTAAAACACTAAAACCTTTAGAAAACAATTCTTCTAGAAGTATAATCAAATGTATTAAGATATTTCTTTTAAGTATTAACAGCATGTTCTGAACTAGTTAGTGTCTAACCATACTAATTTGCATGCATCTTAGATCACTAAAATAGAACAGGATTAGAAAACTAAAAGTTTTAGAAGTAAAATATTTCAGGTATTCTAAGAGTTTTTTCTAAAAGAAGATAATCCTGCAATTTTTAGATCCAAACTCATAGCTATTATCTGACACCAGATTTCTGTGTCAGTGTGTTTATAACAGGAATCAGTTTCGTGATGAATCGCTGAGGCAGAAAACCACCAGGTCTCTAGCTGACGCATAAATTTTGGTCTGGAATGTTTAAAGGAGGAGACTGGTACGGGAAGACCCTGTTTGAGAACGACCTTTGTTCTCTCTGTATATTTGCTTTTGGGTTTGAACAGGTCTCAAAGAAAGTAATAAAATTAACTTTGAACAGCCCTACAAGGGGAGGACACACCTTCAAATGCATATATTTAAATTAAGGGAATACACCTCCTTATATAATGTCTGTTTTACAGCAGAAGAATTGAATTGCTTTGTTTGCAGCAGTGAGAGTAATTCCCAAGAATGCATTCTTGTGTCTCTCCAATTGTTTTCCTTTCCAACTCGTTGCAGGTAATTGTATGTTTTGTTATGTGTTTGGACTTCTTGATAATCTGGGTGTAATGCGGATGTGACATTCTGTATGCATTAAATTCTCTGGATAAAACTCTGAAGTTTGATGTTGAATGGTTGTTCTCTGTGATTTCCGCTGTGCGTGGGGAGTCCCTAGATCCGGGAGACTAGAGGAAAATTAACGAGCCAAGTAAATTTATTCCTCTAAGTTCAACAATATTTACAAAGAAAATTTCAAGTCTACCTCCGACCCTGCCAGGTCACACCCCAGCCCATGGGGTGTGACAAACTTCTGTCGATATGGGAGGGAACCAAGCAGAACCCCTGTCAAAAACAATCTCGTCCTCCACTGGGACAAAGACCAAAGACATTGAGGGTCAACCCAAAGTCTCCTGAGACAATAAGCATTCTGTGTGGGGTCCAGATCTAAGCATTTCAACCTCATGAGAAGGGGGTTGAAATGCTTAGATCTGGCACAAAGGCACTAAGCTGGCATACTCATTTTTTTCCTTACTTAAAGGAGTACCCTCTTCAGGGAAATGACTGGCCCTCTTCCTGACCTGTCTGTGCTTTGATTGGCAGAGGCCTCCAGCGATTTGGATCCTGTGGGGAAGCTGCTGGTGAAAGCCATGGTGATGAGTGTGAAGAAGCTGCTTGTAAATTCTGAAATTGGATTTGTGCAAAAAAGGAAGTGTACTGTCCCATCAGCAACCCAAACTCTTAACCCAATGTATAGCATTACATCACCATGCTCCGCCTTCTCATTCTCTTACACTTTGTACTCATCATCTGTCACTAACAGAGTGTGTCTGGGTTTGTACTGAAGAGGAACAGTTTCATTTGCAGAGTTTGTTGTTGTCCTTTGACACACAGAATTGAGACATCAACACGAGACCAGAGCTATATTGACGAGTGGCACATGCTGCGACAATCAAGAATAACCTCTTCCAAGATAAAGGAAAATGTTAATGTGAGAGGTCACAGTAATGCTCAATCTCTTGTGGAGTGAATAATCAGGGATACCAAAGAAACTGCCGAAATGCGGAAAGGTTCTGACATGGAGTTTCAGACAGCAAAAAATACGTCCACTGTTATTTTGTGAATTATTCACCTTGTGGGCTAGTACTTCACCCCACGGTTAGTTAGATGCCTCTTCTGATGGCTTTGTTTACAACCCCAGGGAAACATCATCATTTGGCTAGCTTGAAATAAAATGCCCAAAGGTAAAAAATTATGTTGACTGCAAGTACTTGCGGATATCAGATGGCGTTTTCAAATGAAAGAAAACTCATGCTTACTATTGGCAAGTACAAGGCCAGCTTCTTGTTACTGGTCTTATGTAGTGTGACTTCTTTGTTTGGGCACAGGAGGAATTCAAAGGTTACTGCACAATATGGAGTCATTCCGACCACATCCTTCATTGTGCAGTGACATTTGTATTTGGAGAACATCTCACTTTGGAGGAGAGGAGAAGCAGCAGTTTGGCATTTGAGCTATTACTTGAATATCAAGAAAACCTTTGAAGTCATCAGGGAGCTGAGTTTGGATGTCCTCTGTATCAATTCAGATACACAGGAAACCCAAAAGAGGGTACAAATAATTGGTCCATGAACAAATAATGCAGATTACAGTAGAAGTTGTATTCTACTGTAAGCTGCATTACAGAACAGTGAATATTAAACTGGTTTTGTCCAGGGACATCTGGATTAGGAACAACTCATCAGTGGGTTGGAAGGAATGCCTCTGATAAAAGAAAAACCAAACCCAGACATATATTTAAAGTATATCAAAGATCCATATTCATTAAAAACAAAAGAAAAGTAAACAGTAGAAAAAGAGAAAACATGTGAACACATAACCAAGAACAGAATAATTAGCTTACCACTATTTTCCTTTTGTTAAATTCTTCCTACTCATTTTCACTTATTTCACCCTAATCCATATTTCAGTTTAATGAAATATATTACGGGCGCAATTGGTAGCACTGTTGCCTTGCAGCAAGAAGGTTGTGGGTTCAATTCCCGACCTAAAGGCTGAAGAAGTTGATCCGGAGTGAAGTGAAGGCTGCAAACTTTGCTGTGCGGCATTAACTTGAATTTGAACATTTACAAGGCATCGTCCCATCCATAACCCATTAATGGGTTATGGATGGGAATAGTGTTCATGGTATTACTTGCTTTTCAAATATGATTTTGTCTTTCCTTGCTGTCTTGGTCACTCAAAGCGGAAGCATTCATTTATGCGGATGTGTCATGCATCTGCATTTAAGAACTGTGACCTGTGCTGTAGTAAATAAAAGAGAGAAATTCAAATACCTGCTGGGAGTGGATATACTTCCTGAAGGTGAAGATGTCACAGATTTCAAAAGAAACTAAAAACGGGAGACTGCAGATAATATAGGAAATAGTGCCCCCTTCCTTAACGAAGTGCCATGGTCCTATTTGCAAATATAGTGTTAGTCTCCTAAGTGGTCTGTCTCCACCCCTTTCTATTTGCTGCAGCGTTGTGTACTTGGACTCTGGCAGTCAGTCAGGCTTAAATAGAGCTAAATAGAGAATGGCGCAGCCAAAACCTAGAATTAAAATTCTACATAAAATCAGAGCCAAATTAGATTGTGTATGAAAGACCTCATCACAAACGAATAGATTTGAGAACATTGGCATGGCAGAACCAAGAATCTTGAATTAAATGTTTGAAAAACCTTTTAGTTTAAAGATGACCACATTTCTGCTACAGCTCCATTGCACATTTGTTATGTTCCTAGCAGATTTGTTCCTTTTTTAGATGGTCTAAAATTTTTAAAAATAATTTTGACTCATCTTTACATGTTACTCACTTTAACAGTGTTGATACTTGTGAACCAAGTAGACAAAAAAAGTAAAAAAAAAATAAAAAATCGGGAAAGGCATTTCTGTAATTAATGGTCGATCCTGGTTGGATCAATTAGAGGAAACAGTTATAGAATCAATAATTATTTATGGAAAACATTCAGAAATCAAATTACAAAATAATTATTGCCTTGCTCCATCTGCTCTGGCTTTCTTAACAGCTTGAATTATATGAGGCACAGATTTTACAAATGAAAAAAAAATCTTCATCAAATGAAAGAACTCTTCATGTTGTTATGCAACATTCTTGTATAGCAGCTTAAAGATCAGCCTTTGTTTTAATTTGCAGCATGAATGTCTAGTTTGATTCAGATGATCTACTGGTCATGTGGCTGGGTCCGTCTCTTTCCTGAAGTAAAACTACAAGCCTCTGTCGAGGGGATAAATGCGTTATCATCCAAGAAGATAACTTCTTCATCAGCAACCCTATGTCACAAACATTAACTAGCTAATATGGCTGGACAATAAATCAATAACAACCACGACAATATCACAATAGACACGTGATTAGTATCAATCGATAATCTGTTTTATAGAATATTTACTGTACTCCAATCCAGAACCGCACAGAAACCTAAACAAGAAGGCAGGGGAAAGACTTTAGCTGCTCAACCTCTCATAGTGAGCTAAGCCAGGTTAAATGGCACCAACTCACTCACTCTGTAATTATCTTGCAAGGACCTATTGAATAACTTAAGCAGCAGCAGTTTAAAGTTTAGCCACTGTGCCTACGGTAATTGCTTAAAAATAAAAAAGAACAGCACTGAGTGAAAACTGGCAAAGACAGAAAAGGCCATGACACAAGTTTGGCAGAATTTTAGATATTTAAAACTAATTAATAATTATCAATATCCACTGATATGACATGTTTTATATCAGTGGATATCGATAATTATTGATTAGTTGTTTGTTTTAAATATCTGAAATGAATGAGATTTGCCATATCAACCAGCTCTACTAACATTTCTTGGATTTTCTTTGTTGATCTACTATCTTGTAGAAGTTTTCCCAATCCTTTCAATTGCTTCAGCTAACAGCTCTCTAGTTGGAACTATATTTATTGTCAATTACAATCAGCTCACTAAGTCATCTGAACACTTCCTTTGCAGAACTTTACATGTGCAGGTATATATTTTAGAACAAAAATGACAGATTTTTCTCTATTTAGTATTTAAAAAATCTCAGTACTTCACTCTAGCTGGTAAATGAATAAAGGTAAAATAAAAGGATAAAAAAACTAGTGAACACTAGATTCTCACCAGGATTGTTAAACAAAGTTTAAATTAATCCTTCAGTCTGACACTCCTGGCCACCTAGCCTCAACCACCACCTTGCAGCACTATGTGACAGTGATTCCATTTGTTTCTGAATTAGGGAGGCTCAACACAGAATAAACAACATATGTGCTCGATTTCCTTTTGGATGAGCCTTCCATTATCTAACATATGTCACAGACCTTTCAGGAAAAACAAATTTGATTATGCAGCAAGTGTGAAAACTGGGTATCGACTAAAATATGTAATTTACTCCAGACTTCAGAGAGTCAATACATCTGGATATGTTTTATGACATGACTGTTAATATCTTTTATCAGTAGGGCTTAATATTGTGGATTACCCATAATTCAAAATGTAATACAAATTGAAAGAAAAACAAGGGGTTCAGCAATCCTGAATACTTTTTTTATCAAGTAAGATTCGAGAAGGATTTTTATAAAGAGTTTCCAGGACCGACTCACCAGGAAGAGATACTGCTCATCACTATCAACAGTCACTGAGAGGGTGATGGATGTGCTTTGGACCTGATGAGGACTGCGGTACAGATCCAGGAAAGAGGTTGCATAAAACACACCATAAACCTGCACACACAAAGAAATAAGACATAGTTGTTCCTTCATGTTACTGAGGTGATCTAATAGTACTAGTTTGGATCAAAAACATTTCCAACTATAGTTTCCAAGTATGTTTTTAAAAATGAAATTGTGATAAACCAAGTATTCTCTTTAGGATAGTGACTCAATGTGGGATAGAAATGCATACTTGTCAGTTTTTTTCTTCTTCTTACCTGCATGACCTGAGTATTGAATTATAGACTGTGGCTTCAGGCTTAAGATGTAGTAATGAACACTTTGGATTTACTACAGTTGGTTTGGTTAAAGAAGGACAGGGAGAAAGACAGAAAAAGAAAGATTGATAGTCAGAGTGAGATATATAGTGAGATAGGAATAGAGACAGAGATAAATATAGAGTGATAGAGATAGACAGTGAAAGAAGTTGTCAGAGAAATAGATGAGTGAGAGACAGAAAAAGAGACAGACACACAGTGTACCAGTAGAGCAGAGTCAATGCTGATGCTGCATTCCACCGCTGTCTGGTTAAGAGCCTTGGCTTTGAGGAGAGGGCGCTCTGGCTGGGTGCCACGGGTCTGGTAGTGTGACAAAGCGGTGGGGCTGTCTCCTATACTGGTGTGAGCCCACACAGCCACCTCATACACCGTCCCCGCTGTCAGGTTTGTGGCTGCCAGCACAACAGACTGTTTCAGACATACTGTACTGGCAACATTTATTGACACTCCTGCTAAAAATGTTTGATATTTATTTGTTATTGGAGTAGTATCACATCACACCATAAACTGGAGTTGAATCACAACAGTTCTGTGTAAGAAATGTAAGAAATGGGACAGCTCTTTTCCTGTAATATTCCATAAGGTTGGAGAATATAGACTGAGACATCTTTGACCAAATGGTTTATTCATTTTGCTATGGGGACTGACACAGCCATGGAAGATGGTTAATTTTTGTCAGGAAAACTTCTCTAAATTAGCCACATTTTTAACAAAGTCGAAGGACATCTAGAGGAGAAACCAGCCCCAGAGAAACATGGATACACCGCTGTACTTGACAGTAGGCAGTGTTTCTCCATTCACTTTTTGTTTCATATCAACCCACTTCACATGTTTTGTGCAATAAAGTCTCTCTTTATTGATCCAACACTCCCGATGAAGTCCCTGTCAAGTTCAGCAAAGTCCACCTGCTTATGTTCGTGGTGTTATTAGGCCAAGTCCTGGGATGCTAACCAAACCATTGGTTGGATTCTAATGGTTGCTATGGAGACCTGATGACTGCAGGACGCCACTCTTTGCTGCATTTCAAAAACAGTTTGATTTTGAAACTTTTTCCTTTACACCCGGTGAGTTTACCTAAGAGGGAGATATCACCCATCAGGCAAGCGGTTCAGGAATATACGGACTACAACAAACAGACTGAGAAACAGTTTTTTCTCCACAGCCGTCAGAGCCATTACTCCCTGCCGCCTCCTCCCACACATATCATAACCTCACATATACCCCCACCCCCACACAGCCATATTGTTCAGCACTTTGCACTGTCACATCATCTACACTTTACCATAATTGGACCTGCTGCTTCTTCTTTGGTGTGGTTGAGTGCCTTTAGTTAATTTTAGTTATATATATTATTATTATTGTGTGTTTGTTTATTTTATATTGTATATATTTGACTTTTTGCACGGGAGTTGCAATAGAAATTTCGTTGAATCCTGTTCAATGACAATAAATACTATCTATTTATCTATTAAATGTGGCTCCAACCTCAAGTTGTCATGATTCTAAAAATGATGCTGATATATAGAAAAATATGTGACACTAATTTTGATATTGTGGCAACATTTTTAAAAACCAGACTATTCTTTATAGTAGTTAAAAGCATACAAAATTAATAATTGTTTGCATTTATAATGTGTCATATCATAAATCTTATGATATGACAATATTTTAAGGAGTTTTACTGACCTTTGTAAGTTGCTCTGAAACATCAGTGTAGTATTATTATTGTAACGTTAGCACAGCTAGTGTATGGCCTTTTTTGACATTCCCTCTTTTCCTGTCCATCTGCCTTACAGGGAAAGTAACTCTGAACAACGCTGTTTAGCTGTAAAGAGCATAGATCACTCTATGCCAGTAGTGGGCAGTTACCTACCTCCAATTTTTAACTCTTGGTTTCAGTAGAGCATTCTTAAATTTACATTTTAAAATATTCTTGAATACAATGATTGAGGCCTACTCACTTTAACTAAAGTAGCTAATGTTATAATGCATATGTGTTATAATAACAGCAGTATTGACAGTGTGCAACAGAAGTATCTACTGCTGGTCTTCTAGCAGTGGCACTACAATAGCAGCTGCTGGAAGTTTCAAAGTACATCTACAAAAACTAATACTTTTAAAATCAATCATTGTATTTGCAGATAAATGTATTTAATTATTCATTAAATAAATGTATTGGCAAATATAATGATTTATTTTAAGCATATGTCTTTGCAATAAAAATTTTACTTATCTGAAGGCTGTTTTGTACCAGACATGTTAATTTTCTTCACCACAAAAAAGAAAGACAGCACAGAGGAAGATTACCTTTAAACTCTCGCTGGGTAATGTTGTACATGTGGCTCTCTTTCACATGAGAGTCAAACTGCCAGTACAGGATTACAATGTAGTATTTGGTCTGGAAAAGAAAAACACACAAGGTTCATAAAACAATGTACCCAGAACTCAGTTCGTTTGTTCAAAACCTGAAGGTGATAAAGAGAAGTGCTTACTTCAGACTGGGAGCTGAGGCTGAATGACATGGAGTCAGAAGAGATATTGGTAGCTTTAACTACAGGAGGAGGCAGAGCTGCAGCAGACAAAGCATGCATCAGATATGCTCCACTATCAGTCAGATTCTGCTGATGTGTGAGTTAGCATTGGGTTGTGGTCTACACACAGACCTGAGAAGGATTATATGGAGTCATAAATGGGACAAGGAGGCAGCTTTTATTGGAACTAAATACACCACAATCAGAATATTACATCACAAACTGTACTTCTGTTGATTTTTATTTAACTTTGAAAACGAAGGACAACAACAATATTACCAAGCAGCTTTGAATGAGCACAGCTGTAGGTACAATGCTGTGAGAAAGTATTTGCTCCCACAGAGTTTGCTTATTTTATTGGCATCTGGCAAAACAAAATCCTGAGTAAATACAAAAAGCAGTTTTTGAATGAAAATTAACCTGATCTTATGTAAAAACATATTAACACCCATTGTTTAATCTAGAATTAGCTAGTAGTAACCATATTGCTTTGTTCAGTTTTTTATTACTAAAAGATCCACAAACGCACTAATTGCAGAGGTCATTTTTGCTTAGCGCTTTTGTTCTGTGGGCTGCCACCTTGTCGTGGTGAAGGGGTTTGAGGGTGATCCTATGAGCTATGTTGTGAGGGGTATTATGCCCCTGGTAGGGTCAACCAAGGCAGACAGATCTTAGGTGAGGAATGAGGAGCACAAAGACCCCCTGTGACCAGCAATTGACAATTTAGTGTTCCTTCGCCCAAATGTGGGTCAACAGGGTCCCTTCCTGGAGCCAGACTTGGAAATGGGGCATGTAGGCGAGCACCTGTTGGCCAGCCTTTTACCCATGGAGCCCAGCCTGAAGAGCAGACACCAATCTTAAAAAGATTGGTCTTCTGTACTGCTCCACCAAGCAGTACAGAACCAACACTGTTTATAGTGTATAGTGGGGATGGTGTGCTGCTGACCTCGACTTGGGACGTTGTGAGCTGGTGTGTTTCGAAGACTTCCTCAATCGGCAATAACATGCCGTGCAGTATGGAAGCTGAGCCTATTGCAGTTTTCTGCCCAATCACCAATCTTTTAAAAAGCCTAACGTATCAATTCAGATATGTTGGGAATTGGTGACTTAACAGTTTTTTGGAAAAAATGGCTTTTCTCCATAGGGTGTCTGGGTTCTCCCTTAGAGATAGCATATAAGCTCAATAATCCAGGAGGGACTCAGAACAGAGCCGCTGCTCCTTCATTTGAGGTGGCTCGGGCATCTAGTTAGGGCACCTTCCTGGTGAGGTGCTCCAGGCACGTCCCAACACGAGGAAGCACCAGCTCCCCAGAGGAGCTGGAACAAATGGCTGGGGAGAGGGAAGCCTCCCGAGCTGTCTTAGGCTGCTAGCCCTGCAAGCCGACCTCACATAAGTGGGAGAAGATGGATGGATTGCTTTTGCGAAAGTTAAAAACAGATCAATTCTAAATCGCTGGACTGTTTTGTACTCTTTCAGCTGAATGAGATCTGTGTTGAAGTTTTGGTTACTGACTGTTAAAAAGTCTTTAAGTAGTTAAATATTTATTTAACTACTTAAAGTTAAATTAATCTTTAACTTTTGGTATCCAAGCAAATGGGGGTTGCTTGGATACCACCCCCCATTTCACGTCTCATCTTAATATGTAAGATAGTGAATTTGTGCAGAACTCAATGAGAAAAGACTGTCTTCATTTTAATCTGATTGCATTTAAAACATCTGGATTAGATATCCGGTCGTTGAATGGTGCAACAATCAGAATCCAGTAAAAGTTTAATGAAACCAAAAGCTCCAGTGTACCTGGTAAAATGTTTGTAACATCTGGGCCAGTAGATGGCAGTGTTACACAACTCTAAGAACTGAGTTTGCCTGATCCTGTCAGAGAATATCAGCATACCTTTCTGGGGAGTGATGGATTTAATCTCAGTCCAGTTTCCAACACCTCGATTGGTCACTGCAGCCACCTGGAAACATTTGGAAATTCATAAACAATGAAAGAATAATGTCAACGCTATTGCATAGCCAAATCAGTTGCTCACCCTGAATCTGTACAGTATGTCAGGCTGCAGCTCTTTCACCTCAGTGATGTTCTTGGTGGATTTTTGTGATGTCCAATCAAGTCCCTTGTCGTCATTGTAATCAACCTGTCAACATGGAGGTGCACATTTAGGGCTCTTGGATTGCACCCACACATAGGCGTAATCTTGTAATTTTCCTGTTTTGGAAAGATTTGGAAGATTGGTGGTGGAAGGGGAATTCCTAACAACTAATTTTCCAAAATACATTTTTTGCCTCTAATGTTTATAGTGCTTAGAATAAAAAATGATCACTAATTTCAGTAGAATGGAATTTTGTGTCTTGCACTGTGAAAATACAATGCTGGTGTTTGGATGCGACTCCAACAAAAACGATGGCTGTTGAGGACCTTGCTTTTCTCTGTGGCACTCCATTTATTTTGAAACTCAAAACTTGGATCTTATAATAATATCAAAATCATCCAGTGGACCTTGATCATTTCTGTCCAAGCATCTCAACATTTTGAACATTCAAACATTACAAGTTTAGATTTGTGGCTAATTTCTGGATATGAGTCCAACCAATTGTGTAGAAAAAATAATCAAACTTTTAAAGTCAGATTTCCTAAGACTTTTAAGAATCTGAATTGAAAATTTAGATTTCGAAGGACAAATAACTTGTAAAATATTTAGACTTAAACCAGTAACTTGTCTCATAAGAAATAAATGAATAATTAGTTCATACAAATTGTAAAACTTACTTAATCCATTAATTATATTTAGAATCCATTGAAATGCATTTTTTGAACTAACGGGAAGTTTTATTCTAAACAGGAAATTGAACTGAGATGTTTTGTTTTAAATTGGTTGGCTCAGCAGCTTTTTCTGTTTAATTCCGTTGTTGTTTTTTTTCTCTGAATGGTCCTCTGCGGTGTCTGAAAAATAAGCTGCTTAATTTTTGAAGCTTCTGTCTCTACATAACCTGTCTCTTTCAAGAAAGAAACTGATGGTAGAACTCATGCATTAAAAAAATACCAAAATCCATAGCCAACAGGACTATCAAAACTCTGAGTCTGAAGATGAAGCCCAAAAACTATTTTGTGCTTAGTTTCCTTGTTTAGTTCTGCTATACCGGCTTCATTTAATAAAGTAACTGGGACTTACTAAAAGGGTCTTTTGAGACAAAGCTGAGGTTGATTTCTGATTGCAGCTTCCAATTCAGAAAATGGCTAAAGGACAACTCCACCAAATTTTTCACTATCTCCGACAACTTTAATCTACTCTAGTTAAAAAAAAATACCACACATAGACTGGACTGGATTACTCTCAACTAACAACAGAAAATTTTAAACCATTTTTGTGAATTGTGAAACTTTTATCTCACGTGTGCAACTTCAATAAAGGGAGGAACTGCTCCAATTGCAAAACTAAAACAACTAGACTCTAATCCTGGACTAGATTATTCTCAACTACTAGCATAAAAAAAAACAAATTTGGGATTCATGAAACCTTGAAATAAAAACTTGAAAAGTGAGATTTTGGCCATTCACATTATTATTCACATTCATTCTATGCAGTTATTTTATGAGAAAACCCAACAAGTAGCATGCAGACATTGGCATGCTCCATTCAGTCTTTTGTTATGAATGGATTCATAGTGAACATAATTTGAATTTTTCTGTCAAAGCCTTATAGAAAGCAAGCATGGAGCGACAACAGAAACCAAACACTTCCTTTAACTGGACTACTTTCTGTGTAAAAGAAAGTAAAACGGTAATACCAGAGTGAAGAAAACATTAGGGTTTTGGAAGCAATATCCCAGTTGATACCACCTGCATGAACATATCTATTCTACTCTCCTGGTGTGTTTATTAACACAATTTAGCAGTAAGCCTAATTCCAATAGAATGAATGCTTGAGTCAGGATGCAGGTTCTTTACTTTCGCTTTATTCTGGTGTCCCAAGTACCTGTACAACATGGAGTAAACTGTAACATAAACAGCTGCTTTCATTATGAGTGGAAGATAGTTAAAACAAAGATCACATTCTTAACAACTAAGATATTGAATAAAATCTACTCTTGAATAATAAATGAAAACTTTTTGGCGGTTCCATCCTTGATGACTTTGACCTCAAGCCTGCGGACCTTGCCATTGTTGCCTGGGAAAGTGTCAGTCACGAGAGCCATGGGCCAATCATTGCGACATGTACAATCATCCTTCAGCAAAACAACGTCACCCTTTTAACGTTGGGACTTGACTCTTCCCATTTGTCTTTCAGTTATGTAACCTGTGTTATGGACCTTTCCCAAACACACCACCCATTAACACCCATCTGAGGTCAAGCTTTTGTGCAGAAGGAGCATTGCCTGGACTATTGATCTGCTGTCTCACTTTGTGAACCCAGAAAATGTCCCTACCAAGCAGGTGAATAATCTGCGCATCGTTGTCCAATGGCGGAATTTCACTGACTCCTTAGGTGCAGATGATTGAAAGCAGCCTCTGGCATTGGTATTTCATCACGATTGACCGGAAAATTATCACATTCGATCAGTCTTGGGAATGGAAAACTAGTTCTGTCATTCCCTGCCTCACTTTGGAAGCCTTTTGTTCTCCTGTCAGACGTTGACACTAAGTCAGCACACATCTTCAGTGTGTAGGGATATGAGTCTGCTTTAATTTTAAATAAGTTGAAAAACTGACCTGGTCAGAGATTTGTTGCTCTGGTCATAAATCATAGCATATATGTTGATAGCTTTTTGTGGTTGCTCTACTGAGTAAACCTTCACTAGACAGATTTTTTAACAGGATTTTGAAGTGAAGGGGTCGCCACAAACTTCAGTGCACATAGGATTTACGACTGGTGCTGGCCTAGTGTCCTCTTTTTCAGGCTCCCCATCATCATCTATCACAAGACTTGCAGTCTTGCTGGACCAGTGGGTTGGACCAGTGGGGAGGACCAGGGTGAAGACTCTCGATAATGTCACATTCATCACATGTTAGTGTGACTGCAGTCAAGAGTGAGATGAAAACAGATTTGTTGATCCTTCATGTAAGCCTTGTATTCTTCTATGGTTTTTAGCCTGAAGCCAGGACACTTCTTTAACTTGTGAGATTTTTTATGGATGGGGCAATATTTGGCCACATCACCTTTTAGTGGTACTTTGTCTTGTATAACTCAAGACCTGTGCACTGAAACTGGGGTTCTGAAATTAATGTGACGTGAGATTGGATTTTCTGTCACAGAACTGCTTCCAGAAAGGGCAAAGCTGGGATCGTTTCTTGTTTTGGCTTGGTAGTAGGCTTTTCCAACTACAGTGTTCATTGTTCTCTAAATCTGCTGCTTACAAAACTTCAGCTTGGGCAATAGCAGCTGCAGCTTTCTTTTCAAGATTAAAAGCTTCAAGGTTGGCTTCTAGTCTAACTTTGTCAGCTTTAATGCTGATCATTTTTGTGGGCGAATGAAACACGTGCACAAGCTGCTGTGGCTTTGGCACGTGATGCTGCAGCACTGACCAGTGACGTACTTGAGTGTCAGTGAGGTACTTGAGTATTTTGAACTGGAACCAGCACTTTTACTGCTTCTAATCAACACTCCATCTTGAAAACGCTTCATGTCTTTTGATCGAGCTCCTTCGAAGTGTGCTTCCTCCATATCTGTTAATATAACTGCTTTAATGCTGTTCAGCAAACTGCACACCATCTTTTGCTATTCTGAGTTCCTTGTGGGTTAGGGCGCCTCATTGTATATGAACACAATTTAGCAATAAGCCTAACTCCTATAGAATGAGCGCTTGAGTCAGGATGCAGGTTCTTTACTTCCATTTTATTCTGGTGACCCAAGTACTCATATGACAGAGCAAACTGTCACATAAATAAAATAGCTGCATTTATTATGAGTATAAAAGAATTAAAACAAAGAACACATTCTTATTGAATAAAATCTACTCTTGAATATTAAATGCAAACTTACAGATGGTGACGTCAATGGCATTAACAAAAGGCTGACTGTGACAGATTCACCTGCTCAAGTGTGAGTGAGTGAAAAAAAAAACTAACAAAATGGCTAACTTCCTGTCCCACACCTACCTTGATCTTCATAATAAAAGCTTTATTACTCTAACACAAAAATTAAAACTACAAACCTATTTTACAATAAATTAAAGGGCAGAACAGTATCAGAGATAAAAAGAACGCAATTCTAAATCTTCCTACACTGAAGATAAAAAGAGAAAGTAAAACTAACAGTCAATGGCTATAAGATCAAAATAACATATGTTTCAGAGAAATTCAGTTCTCATGTGGACCAGATGCATAAAAAATGGTAAAGCGCTCATTATTGTAGTTTCACAAATCCCACACATGGTTTAAATACTCTATAAGGTGAGAATAATCCTGCCCAGGTTTGAAAAGTCTATAGCAGGGGTGCTCAAACTTTTTGAGACCAAGATCTACTTTTTCTCTCACCAGCCGGCTGAGATCTATCTCATGACATGAAGACATACAAATTATAAATGCAACATTATTGACTAATTTTCTAAGCAAATATAAATCAGTTATGTCAGAAACGATAAAGTGATAGAAAACCTAATGCAGTTTCTTCCTCAGTGAGATTCTGACACTGGGAGCAGGTTACTGGTTTCTCAGTCAGAAGCTGGTTGCAAACCTGAGACCAGCAGGTGTCAGTCAGTTATGGTATATCTGAAATTTGGTTTGATGACGTCAATATGCGAAACTACAGACTGATAGGAGGAACCAAAGAGCTTTGCAAAGGTAAAGGCAAATCTTCTGAGTTTGGGATATAATTTATAATTAATGTAATTTGACACAATTATTGTGGTAGAAGCCATTTGTTTGTTAAAACTTAATCAAATAGCTATATTTGTCCTATTTGATGTTGGTTGTGACGTTTACTGCAAACGAACGAGGTAATTAGTCCAAGTTTGTCGTTTATTGAACGTTCAGAAACTCCAGCGGCTGTGATGAACCACAGCGAAGGAAAACAAAGTAAAATTACCCGAACAACTCAGAACCACTCGCACCGTTTCACTCTCTCTCTCTTTATTGTTAAGCACACCCGTTGCTGTGGCAACCGCCTGTGCCCCGCAAGCCGAGCAAAGATTACGTTAAAAACGTTCAGTCCGTTACGATATCAGGTTTCAGGCTTTATTATTTTTTAATGAAGCTACAAACGTTTTGGATCTTAGTGAATATTTTGAAAAGTCTGTCAGAAGAGGAAGTGCTGCTCTCAGCGTCCTGCAGAGATCGACTCAAAACCTGCCCGCGATCGACCGGTAGATCGCGATCAACGTTTTGGGCACCCCTGGTCTATAGGAAGTGAAAAATTAGGTGTAATGTCATTTAGCTGCAAAGGAAAACCAATTTCAGCTTTGTTCTTTTGACACATAACACATAAAATGATTTTTATATAAAAAGAATAACTTAACTGTGCATAAAATGCTATTGATTATCATCTTCAATAATTTCAAAATTAAAAAAAAAAAAGAAGAAGAAAACTGGACAAATCAAAACAGTGTGATTGAGAACCACTTACAATGTACTCTCTGATAAGACCGTGCCTGTTGTCAGGGGGGCTCCAGGAAACCTTTACTGTACCATCCTCATTACTGTCACAAGTTAGCTGGAGATTTCTGGGCGGGTCAGGAACTGCCCCACATTAACACACAAACACACATACAGCCATTGGTAGACAAAAAAGTGTTGGACATTCACAGTGAAATTGGCAGGTGACTGGAATTGACACATTTTTAAGTTAAATGATGGACTGGCTAGTCAGAAACGTAATTTCCTAATCACTGAATACATAACAAGATGCCACCAGGTTCTACCACTCTTTGGTAGAACTGCTGTTAGTGACAGAGACTCAAAGTCAGCTACTTTAAGTGAAATTATTATGCAAGATAATACTAAGATGAAAATTTCAAACTCTTCCAATGATTTCTAAGTGGGAGAACTTGCAAAGTTGCAAGGTGTTCAAATACTTATTTTCCTCACTGTATTCTGCAGGTGCCTCATTGTATATGAACTCTGTTTTCATCACGTATGTCAGGGTGTATATGAATATTTGTACCACTTGCTAGAAAAGTTACCCCTTTGAAGCCCATTTTTTGGCACAATATGTGTTGTTTTGGACAACGTTTGACATATTGATATGTGACTTAACCATTAAGCATATGATATAATGATGACAAAAGCTTCATACAAACGTGTTTTAATACTGTCAATCACTGTATTCAGCTGTTTGTGAGGCTGGCAGCCCTACTCTTATTTATCCATCTTTTACATTTTTTCAGACTCCAGTTTGGAAAAGCGAAAAAATCTATGTTCTGCCCTCCAAATGCTCTGGGTAAAGCGTGCCTTGTGCATGTTCCTCATTGATAACTCTTAACCATTTTTTAAAAATTATTTCCCACCAAATCACTATGACCCCAGCATATTTAATAGCAAGCAGTCAGCAAATCAGTAGCTAGAGTGCAGCTCATGACAGATCCAAAAACTTTGTTCCCCAGGTAAGGGGCATTTATGTCGGAACAGGTGCTATCACATCATTTGAACATGTATGTGCACCTGACATTCGAAGTGCAAAAAAGAGGTGAAGAAATACCCCAATGGCCCCTCCACTTAAAAATGATTCTGCTGCCGTTGCCTGTGGCCCTTAGTGAATTGACTAAAATTGTTAAAAAGTTTAAATCTTCTTCATGCCATATGGACACCATGCCCAGTGATTTCTTTATAAATATCTTTGACTGTATTAGTCCATGTATTGTTAAAATTGTAAATGCTTCTGTAACGTTTTCCTACTACTCTGAAACAGCTATAGTCCATTCGTTCACTGAAAAGAGTAACCTGGATTCAAACGTGTTCTCTAACTTCAGACCTATTTCTAAATTACCATTTATGGCTGAAGTTTTGAGAAAGTTGCTTAAGTCCAACTGCAGACTTATCCTGACCTTGTCAAAACTGGTGAAAAATTTCAGTCTGATTTAAAATTGTAGTACAGCATTGAAACTGCCCTTTTAAAAGTTTTCAATGATTTTTAAATTGGTTCCCGTACTTTTCCACTGACAAAACTTACAGCATGTGTTCCAGGCGGTGATCCTGATTAAATTCATAACTGATTTTCCGTACTGAGCAGCTCTCTGAAAGCAGACGGCATGTCAGTGGGCCACAACTTAACCTTAATGTTTGCAGTTTTCAGTGAAGTATATCACAAGCCAAACACTGAATGCGGTTAGCTGTCAAATAGTTTCTGTGCCATACTTGGCTCAGTTCTGCTAGTTCCACTCCTAAAGTAGGTACCAAAAACAGTCAACCAAAGTTGCACTACATTTGTCAATGGAAAACAAATCTCGCCATGGCAGACTAGGACCAAATCAGTTAGAGGCAGTGTAGAGGAAAAGCACAGATACAGGAGTTTTTGCAACTCTAGGACAGTATTCCTCCTCGGTTTGGCGCACCCTTCATTGGCTCCCTGTCGTCTTTTGGATAAAGTTTAAGGTTTTATTGATTGTTGTTCAGTGTCTAAACTCTATGGATTCTTCTTAATTAAGAAGCCCTATTCTTATCCTTCACTCCACCCAGAGCGAAGGATAAATAAAACTGACTATTACTTAGTGTCTCTCCCTAAAGCCAGGCCAAAAACTAGAGGGGACAGAGCCTTCTCTGTGGAGCAGTCTACTTCCCTGTTAATATATAACTGACCTCTCAGTCAATAGGTCAGTTTAAGTCCAGACTGATAACATATCTATTCTCTCTGGCCTTCAACACCAGTTAGAGAGAAAATATATGCAGTTGAAATTAAGTATTGTTTTGGTTTTTATTCATGTTATTAGTTTTGCGTTTGTTCTGAACAATGATAGCTCAAAATCCTAAGGAGGAGTTTATCAAAATTTGATATAAGTTGAAATGGCCAAAATTTACGCTTTGACCCAAAATGCCGACCTCCCTGTACTTTTTAGGTGTACCTTCAAGAGACATTTTTTCTTGATTTGGGGAGCTCTATCTAAGTACCAAATTTAAGATTTCTATGACCTACAGTTATCCTATCTCAGGCATTAATAAACCTAACTAAAACATGTCAGTTTAAGTCACAACAAAAATTTTGTTGTGACTTTACATTTGGCTCCAGAGAAGTCTGGGGTCCACTGGAGAGCAGTTTTTTCTCGCCCACTTGCGATTCCACTAAAATTGAAACCTTTTTTTTGGGGAACTAACTAAAAATGTTTTTCAGTTAGTATTTGTGAAGTTTCACTCAAAACGTCATTTTGAGTGAAGTTTGGTGAGTTTTTGAATATGTCGAAGCCTCGAAAAAGCTGTATTTTTTTGTGGAAAAATAATAATAAGAAGAAACCCTGCAGTTACAACAGGCCTTTGCGGCGCTTCGCTGCTCAGGCCTAATTACAAAAGAAATTAGTAATGCACAGTGATTTGGATAAGTAACTTTAATCTGATTATTGGATTTGAAATAGTAATGCACTACATTACTCGTTACTGAAAAAAGTGGTTTGATTAACACGTTACTAATATCACTGTTTGTGAAGCACTTTGGTCAGCTGAGGCTGCTGTAAATATGCTACGTAAATAAACTTTGACTTGACTTAAAATTAAGGCAGGTCATGAAAAACTCACATCCCTCCGGTGTCCTGATGGTGATGGCCTCATTGGTCTTGTGCAGCTTGTTTAAGCACTGAGTGAGAACCTTCACCTGGTAGGTGGTGTCTGGTTTCAGCACAGTCAGTTTATAGCTGGTTTTATTGCTGTGGGTGTCCATATTGGTCCACTCCTGCGTTCCCACCAGCCTGAACACAAAATTAGACATCTGATTGGGGCTAAGCTCAATAGCACAGACGTCAGATGGTAACGGTCCACCAAGCTCACCTGTAGTGTACAAGGAAGTAGCAGGAGTTTGAGGGGAGGTTCTTGGGACGGGACCAGATCAGAGTGATGGCTCCAGAGAAGTCTGGGGTCCACTGGAGATTCTGAACTTTGTAGACAAGTGTGTCCACTGGGATATCAAAGGAAGAAACTGGAATTGTGTAATCCACAAATGCAACCAGAAGGAGGCAGCACTAGACTATTTAAGGCATTTAAAATCACCCCCATTCCTACCAAATTCTCCAGAATAGCCGGCTTATGATAGCTTTGGATTTTTTATTACCGTATATCTTTTTTAAAATTTTGTTGTGACTTTACATTTGTCTAATGCAGTTAGTTGTAATTATTTCTTAGAATGTGTTGGAAAGTTTTTATTAGTTATTATTTGTGAAATATTTTTTCAAATTAGTTTTGGTTAATTTTTAAGTGCAGAATTCAAAAGGTGAAAGCATTGCATTGTTATCATGTATACATCAATCAGAATAATCAACAGAAGAAACCATTTTCAAAAAAATGTATTTAATTTTTATTGAACGAGTGACTCTGGTGTTTTCTCCCAACCTTTGCTGTTATTTTACGGACTTACTCCTGCCAGCAGGAGTATGGCGTACTCTGCTAGTGTCTGGAATAAAATGTCAAATAAAAGATTCATTTGACACCAGTTCAAAAGGCTAATAAATAGATTCATGAACACAAAAATGGACATTATACATAACTTCAGCATGTTTTAGTTAGGTTTATTAATACACAATATACTTCTAGCTGGTTATTTGTGTCAGCCAACAAAACTGTTTTCTCTATTTCAGTTTTTGTTATTTTGTTAGTTCCAGGGAACAATAAGAACCTTGCAGGATAAAAAAAACTGAAAACCTACTGGTGCAGTTTTCTTCGTCGCTGTGGTCCGAACAGTCCAGGTAGCCGTCACAGCGCTCGCTATCCAACACGCAAAGCTCACCGTCAGAACAGCGAGTCCCGTTGGTGCAGAGCAGAGACTGCCATGTGGCTAAACACAAACAGAGCTTCCACATTAGACTCTTGTTGGTACACTACCTGCCTCTGATAATTCAAACAAATGGTAAATGGTATATGAACTGAACTTATGATGCGCTTTTTCAATCATTTGGACCACTCAACGCTCTTTACAAAAGAGCCACATTCAGTATTCTCATTCACAAACACAACAACATGTTTCATAACAGAAGGGATTTGTGGGGCAAAATCTTGTCTCAGGTGTGGTGTTAAAGGGATGCTGAAGACCACATAATAATAAAAAACAACATACATCTTTAAATATCTAGATGAGTGAAGAAGTAAGATGAGTCATTATGGCATGAGGAATCTCCAGCTGAATAAAATCAGAGCTGACAATATGAAACTCAGTGTTTTTACAGCTGAGCTTAACAAGGATAAAGAAGACAGAAAAACAGGAACTTTTAATTATGCAACTGTTATACTAACAATAGAGTTCCTTCACGTTTTTCATTTCAAAATATCACACCTTTCAGAATCAAATGCCTAAATTCTTTCTGCAATTTTTATAACAGTGTGGACATTTGAGGAACAAATACTCACCTTGAGCGACTTCAATAGTTATCACTATTCCAATGTGATTCTTGTAAGAAAAAAGCTCTGTATATAGTTGTTTGGAAAAAGGAAATAAATTGTTTCATTTTGTGCCCTATAGATAAAAACAGATTTATGAAAAGAGTATGCAAGTTTTGTGCATGTGTGCTGTGCTGTTTTCAAACTATGCACCTATTTACAGATAAAACGAAAAACATATACATTAATAACACTTTAATAGAGCAAGTAAACTGCTGCATTCTTAAATATAACTTTGACCTGCCAAATGAATATGAGTATAGTTTTCGTGAACAAAATTTCCTTAATAGAATGTAGATTTAAAGTGTCAGATTCTGGAGCACAAAATATCCTCATCTTATTCCAGATGTTAGTAGTGGAGCTGCGCCGACTGCCGAGTCTCTCCTGTTATGCTAGTCTCTCTACCGTTCACATAGGCGTAGGCACAAACGTAAGCAATAGTCCATCTTTTCTCATTGCCTCCATCACTGGCTGAAATGCCTTCAAAGATATGTTGTTTTTCACAGCTTTCCATATGCTATACCTATATGTTCAGGAAGAAAACTGAAGGATGATTCCTCTTGGACTGTTTTCAATCTCTTTAATGGGCTGTTTGAGGACTTTAAAAGTGACCCCTCTGAAAAATATACAGTGGAGGGAAGTCTTCATCATTTAGGTCATCGTCCATCTCGGTGTAGTCGAATTCAGAAATTGTGAAGTTATTGAAGATGGTAGCCGGCGGGTTTCCGCTGGTTTTAGAAAATCTTTTTTTGTCTTGAAAAAACATTTTTGCTATCATAAAGGATTTTCTCCCTGTTTAAAAGAATATTGAAACTTGTGTAGAATTCTGAGGGTTGAAAAGAAGTATCTGGTCAAGCCACCTTCTTGGTTGTATTTTTGATAGAAGCCGTGACAGAATTCAGGGTCTGCATCCTTCGAAGCACCCATTCTACATAGGACGGCTCCCTCGAAGGCTGTGAATAAAAGACTGCACCTTAGTGTAACACATGTTGCTTAGCAACTGTGGTGGCGAAGAAAAAAAAACCCAAGCCCACAGTTTGTTTTTGTATTACTCCTGATTTATGTATATGTATAAATCATACATATGATTTATGTATGATCTTCTGTATTGCCGATTCCAATACAGATTATCCATGAGGCTGATCTCTGCCGATCACCGATATTTGCCTATCGCCTGGAATGCCTGTTAATTTTTCAGTTTAGGTATAAATGATACTATGCTACCTGGCAAAATGGAAAAATTATACCACAGGGTTTGATGTTGCACACTTGCGCAGTGTGAAGAAAAGAGCAGATCAGCTGCACATGCAGGCTGCAAAGTGAGATGAAACATGATTGGTTTTGATGATTGGCAATAAGAGACAGTGATTGGCAATCATCGATCATACACGTTTTCACAGAAATCGGCCGACTATGACCGGTGGCTGATTGATAGGCACATCTCCAATAAAATTTTTCTATTTTGTTTCTAACATGTTCAATGAATAGTGCAGTTTTACAAAGAATAAATATAAGCAAATGATTGATTTACAAATGTAATACTCTCACCGAGGATTTAAATAAAGCTACTATGTTTGAACTATAATAAGTCAAACCAATTTGTTCAGTAATAAATTAAATGCCTTAGTTAACCGAACATTTTACAACCAAATATTATCTGACTGATTGATGTTTAATGCAGTGGGAGCAGACATCTCCAAAAATGTTGGAGTAATATTACGATTAGGTTATGTACTGATGAACCATGAGATATCCAAGGCTTACAATGCTACATTCTTGCCTAAAACCTATGTAGAAAATCATATTTTGTCGATTAAAGTGTAATATAGTAAAATAATTTGCCGCTTTTCACTGCCACTGCCTGAATGCCTGGTTTGCCTGCACCAGACTCATCCTTCAAATCTGGGGAGGATGCATTTGTCGCCTCATCATGATGTAACTGGCCAACAAATTTGACCTTTGAAGGATACTGCCTCTGAATTTGGACACGGCTAAAAAATATCGACTGACAATAAAAGCAAAATTGTACACAGATAAACACTAGGTGGTGCTAGAGTACCTGCCCCCTTTTTCCATCTGTAATGTTTTAATTTATATTTTTCTTAACTGTGAATAGAGTGATGCAAAGGTAGCATTTCTGGATTCATTCAAATGTACTGTGTATTATGGATATCTCTTATTACACCTGATTATTTTATGTACGTTGATTTATCATTGCTATACTTTGTTCTGTTGTTGCCAATTTAATTTTTGCCCTTCAAACTGAAGCTGGCAAAAAAGTCGAAAATCAAACATTCCGTTTTCTTTCTTTTCTACTTTTTCAGATCTGGAAAGTGGTCAAAGAAAATTCCTGCATATCTCAGAATACATAGCAACCCTGTGACAAACCGTAAAATGTCTATAGAAGTATTTCCGTGCCTGCATGTGGTTCACAGGAACTTACGGCAGTTGGCTTCGTCGGAGCTGTCCTCACAATGTGGGTGTCCGTCACAGCGCAGCCACTCATGGATGCAGTGGGGAGGACGGTGACATTGGAACTGATGCTGAGTGCAACGTCCAGGGGATAACGGAAGGGCCGGGGCCATGGAGCTATTAGTTGCTGTCAGAGGAATAAGAAGCAGATAATGTTCCACATTACATGTTTGTATACAAAGGGAGCACAACCAGGACTCAACCACATAATTCAGGGGCCCCAGTCGCTTGGCAACACTTTAACAATCTATGAAGCTTCTTTGACATAAATGTGTCGCTAATTAAAACACACACACACACACACAAAAAACACTATTTGTTTTTGCTTCCTGTTTGGCTGTCTTCTCCCATGCTTTCAAGGCAAAAAAGAAAAGTTAAATGGGGACAGATTTCTTGTTGCTCAGGAACCGAGAAGTCAGAGTTTAAGCAGAAGTTTGCTTTTTAGAATAAGCTCACTTTTTTCTAACATCAACCATCTGTCCAACATTTGTACCTTTACTGCGCTTTAACCGAAAGTTTAAACCTTTACAAACACTTTGGTAACAGACTCCAACAGTCCAGCAGAGCCTAATGTTTTCTCCAGCAAGTTTCTTTTCATTGGAATTTTACTGTCCAAATCAGCTTACATAATACTGGTGAGATATTGTGTGGCACTTATTAAAAAGTGGAAGAGCTGCTAAAGCCACATGAATTAAATTTCTCATTTGTCTTTCTATATACAATAGAAACGAGGGCAGTGCAGTGGATTTCACTCATTATGTCGGGCCAGTCTAAAGTTTGTATGAAGCCTTGAGTAGAATTGGATGTATGGGCCCTCTTGCTGCTATGAACATCAGCACTACTATCAGTGTTTCACCATGGATTTAGAGAATAATGGGGGAGGGTAAGTAGTTTCATTGGAAAATCTAAAAATAAATCAGGAATAATTGTAGTTTACTGAGATATGTTTGTGAACATAACTCAAACTCACAGCATCAGACTGTATAGTAACAAAACAATCTAACTATTGCCCAGTTCACACTACAGTACACAATTTTAGAATTGTTGGCCGATCGTTGGCTGATTCTCAAAACGTGAGAGACCACACATTAGCCGATTAAAAATTGTAGTCACAACGGGTTCCATCGTAGAGTGTGAGGTTTCGTTCAAGGACATTCCAATTCCAGGTATGAAATCCCTTAAAATTCTGTGCAACCACACCTGAAAAAAACACGGAAGACGTAACCTTAGTTTGTGGACTTATTTTAACCCAAAAAAGACGTAACCAAAAATCAAAGCTTTAATTAATGTTTTAACTTTTTGATACGCAAAGGATTTATGTAGACAGACAGTATGGAGATGAGTTTTATTTTTTTTGGTTTTGTTGTTTAATTAACCGTTACCATTTACTTATAAGTTTATATTTCTTTGCTGTGTTGATGTTGTAGAATATATGCATATACTGGGCAATGTTTCAGGAAACTGGATGATTGAAACATCAGAGTAGCTTAAACTAGAAGAAAGCATTTCCTGCATATTTATTTTTTAGAAAACCAGATGACAAGTGTCCTTTTTTTTTCTGATCGTGAAAGGTTAACATATTCCAGCTCTTTTAATTGAAACCCACAAGGGAAGTTAATTGTAATTTTTTGCAGCACTCTGTGCTTGTCAGTTTTCTACACTTATATCTTTTTTCTGTATTTGCTCCTGTATTTAGACTACAAATAAATTAACACAGCATAACATTTTTTTGTATTTTTCCTCTGTTTTGTTATTACTACAGAATTAAATCAAATGCGCCATTTCAACCAAAAGTTAGAATGCGCTTCTAAACCAGATGTACTCTGCGCAATAATTTTATAATTTTTCTATTGTTTATGTTTTTAAAAACTATCCAATAGCATGCCCATCCGAACAAGGTTTACTTAGGGTTTTATGCAATCTAATTACCGCTAAAGCACATTTCATTCATTGTAGCATTGAAATTCAGAAGTCACCACCGTAAAGTAAGCTTTTGACTCTTCGGAGGACCTGCCAGTACAAAATAATGTTTCAACATCTTGCATTGATTGGCTACCTGTCACATTCAACATGCTGCCTTCTCACTCCCAGTCAGGGAAACACCACAAACACTGCAATAAATGAGCCAAGACGATCAAACATTTTGAATATCCCCAATTTTAGATCAAAATCGGGCTACCGACCTGACCCGATCAGTCGTAACACACTACACACTACATGATGATCGGTTACCATTGTCGCAAGCGACAATCTTAGAATCAGAATGTTCTAAGACTGTTGTAAGGGCAAAATTGAGGCAAAAAATCGTGTAGTGTGAACTGGGCTTATGAAGATTGTTCTTTCAACTTTTACAAAGTAAACTTACCAGCTCTTTAACAGAACTGCTATTCTGAATGAATAAAAGTTAAATTTCAACATCTGTGGTTTGTGTTATTTGTTAGCATTTATGGAGTTCTGAAGGCCTGATGGCTAGCAGCTGGCTTGGTATCAGAGGTGCAAGTAATTGATATTTATTTTAATTGTACTTTTGTTTATTTGTTGTTTTTAAGACTATGATTGTGGTTTTAAATAGCATCTCACTGACAATGTCTTCCTGCAACATTTACAATAACCCAGTAATATTTTTAAATTTCATATCAACATCTTTTTATAAACAATCATGGTGGACCTCTGGTGGGCTGCCTTGGTGCCCCGACCACGGGACTTGGCAAATTTTCTGGGGGAAACCCTGGTGACAGATCGAACAAATATGTAAAAAACATATCAGTTTTATTAGTAAAGTTACAAACTAGAACTGAAAATATTTTAACTTATATTTCTAACTTTGAGAAATACTTAGCAATAAAAGTTTTTGTGTACACCTTTGAAAATCACATAGGAGGTTTTATAATTTTTTAATTTTATAATAATGGCTGAAAATTAGATTAGATTTTAGGGTAAAGGAGTTATGACTAAAATGTGTACTAGATTTTTTATTTTTTTTTCTAATGGCTATTCCAGCTTTCCGAGGTCCTGTTAATGCCCTTCGGTGATCCCACTCTGATCTAAAAGACGTCCTGAACTGAAACAGACCTGTGGGACATCCAAGCTCATCACTGCCATCAGGACAGTCGGCGTAGCCATCGCAGACCCAGGTGTTGATGATGCAGGCTCCGGAGCCACACTGAAAGAGGTTAGGCGCACATGTGACGGGACCAAATGTGACAGCATGAGGAGGAATGCCTCCTGATGGTGAGAAATCAAAGAAAATCAGTGAATAAGCAATGGAAAACTCATAGGTATTCAAGTTTTACACTCTTCTTTAGCTGGTTGTACCTGTACATTGTGGCTCATCTGACCCATCTCCACAGTCATTCTCGCCATCACATTTCCACCAGGTAGGGATGCAGCGCCCGTTTTCGCATTCAAACTGGAAGTATCTGGAGCAGCCTGGCACCTCAGGAGTGTGAGCTAGAACGTTGAGAGTTAGTGTAGGTGCTGGTTTGGTGCGGGCCGATTATTTTAAAATCTGGATCTGACTGGATCGAAAGTGATCTGCAGTGCAGTGATCTTCTCACCACAGTTGGCTTCATCAGAATAATCCCCACAGTCATCCATGCCATCACATTTCCATTCGAGGCTCACACACACTCCGTTGGCGCACTGGAACGTGTAGGCATCACACACTTTGCCAAACTCAGATGGTGTAGCTGCTAAAATACAACACATGTGCAAATGTTATGAAATCTGTAAGGAAGGAAACAGAAATATTATATTTTTCTCATCTTTTGTTGAGGAGGCAAAAAACAAAAGAATTAAGAAAGAGGTGCAACTACTAAGACAGAATCAGCAGGTTTCACCAACTTAAATTTAAGATGTTCAAAGATAATTTTAACATGATTATGAATAAAATGTAAGACGACTATAAAAAAATAAAAATTCCCTTCTCACCCACCGCGGGTGGTTCTTATCCTCAGAGCTAGGGTGTTCTACCAGAGGCCTGGGAGCTTGAGGGTCCTGCAGTATCTTGGCTGTGCCAAAGACTGCACATTTCTGGACTGAGATGTCTGATGTTGTTCCTGGGATCTGTTGTAGCCATTGATCCAGTTTGGGGGTGACTGCCCCGAGGGCCCCGATGACCACAGACACCACTGTGGTCTTCACCATCCAGGCCCTCTCCAGTTCCTCCCTGAGGCCCTGGTATTTCTCCAGTTTCTTGTGCTCCTTTTTCCTGATGTTGCAATCACTTGGTATTGCTACATCTACCACAACGGCTTTCCTCTGTTGTTTATCCACTACGACAATGTCTGGTTGGTTCGCCCTTACCATTCTGTCTGTCTGGATCTGGAAGTCCCACAGGATCTTAGCTCTGGCGCTCTCCACCACCTTTGGGGGTGTTTCCCACTTTGATCTCGGGGTTTCCAGTCCATATTCTGCACAGATGTTTCTGTACACTATGCCTGCCACTTGGTTATGTCGTTCCATGTACGCTTTCCCTGCCAGTATCTTGCACCCTGCTGTTATGTGCTGGACTGTCTCAGGGGTCTCCTTGCACAACCTACACCTTGGGTCTTGTCTGGTGTGGTAGATCTGGGCCTCTATTGCTCTGGTGTTTAGGGCCTGTTCCTGGGCAGCCAGGATGAGGGCCTCTGTGCTGTCCTTGAGTCCAGCTTTTTCCAGCCATTGGTAGGATTTACTGATATCAGCCACTTGGGTTATTTGCTGGTGGTACATCCCATGTAGGGGCTTGTCCTCCCATGATTGTATCTCTGGCACCTCAACCTCCGTTCCCTGTTGTCTGAGACATTCACTGAGCACATTGTCTGTTGAGGCTTTTGTTGTTTCATCCTGGACAGTGGTTCTCACACTCACTAGTCCTCTGCCTCCTTCCTTGCGGCTTGTGTACAGTCTCAGGGTGCTGGATTTGGGATGGAACCCTCCATGCATTGTTAGTAGTTTTCTGGTCTTAATATCTGTGGCTTTGTCGACTGGATAGTTCAATAGATAATGTAAAGTAAACTTACAAGTTCTTTAACAGAACTGCTATTCTGAATGAATAAATGTTAAATTTCAACATCTGTGGTTTGTGTTATTTGTTAGCATTTATGGAGTTCTGAAGGCCTGATGGCTTTAAGTAGCAGCTGGCTTGGTATCAGAGGTGCAAGTAATTGATATTTATTTTAATTGTACTTTTGTTTATTTGTTGTTTTTAAGACTATGATTGTGGTTTTAAATAGCATCTCACTGACAATGTCTTCCTGCAACATTTACAATAACCCAGTAATATTTTTAAATTTCATATCAACATCTTTTTATAAACAATCATGGTGGACCTGGTGAACACCGCCGCGAGAGGGCGAGGTTTGAATCCAGTCTGGGTCCTTAGGCAAGACCCTTCAAGCTACTGCCAACCTCATACCATGAGAGATACTAAGATGTGTAACATGCCGGCTCGGGCGTCGCCCGGCCAAACAAGGTCTGCGTCAGGTGTTGGGGAACCAGAGCGCCTTGATGACAAATGGGTTACTGGAACAAGACGGAAATGGGCGAGAGGTGAAAACGTGGACCTGTTGGAATGCTACTACTCAAGTAACCCTAATCAGAGAGGTTACATGCAAAGACTGGGGAAGGAATGGTTACTTCGACATCCCCAGTCAACACTAAGCGCTAAACAACTAGTAGCTCAGTGTTCCAATATCCGCAAACGGCAACTGCTATCACAACTTGAGATTGACGAGATACAACACAAATGCTACGGCAAAAAGGAGGAACCTGGATGTCAGAACTGTGGGGACTTTACTACAAGTTCCCACCCAGTGAGGGGATACACGGCCCCAATGACAACCAGACCTCCTTGGCGCCAATTACAACGGCTGAGTGAAATGTGAATGCAGCATTGAGAACGATCCCTATATATATATACGTATCTTAGTATCTCTCATGGTATGAGGTAGGCAGTAGCTTGAAGGGTCTTGCCTAAAGACCCAGACTGGATTCGAACTCCGCCCTGAAAGACTGATGACTTATGTATTGAGCTATTCAGTCAGCTGGACTCAAGGACAGCACAGAGGCCCTCATATACCACACCAGACAAGACCCAAGATGTAGGTTGTGCAAGGAGGCCCCTGAGACAGTCCAGTACATAACAGCAGGGTGCAAGATACTAGCAGGGAAAGCGTACATGGAACGACATAACCAAGTGACAGGCATAGTGTACAGAAACATCTGTGCAGAATATGGACTGGAAACCCTGAGATCAAAATGGGGAACACCTACAAAGGTGGTGGAGAATCTTGTGGGACTTCCAGATCCAGACAGACAAAACGGTAAGGCCGAACAAACCAGACATTGTTGTAGTGGATAAACAACAGAGGAAAGTACAGTCAATGTTCTAGCTGTTTTCTATAAATTCCATTAAAGCTTTGTGAAGTCTGAAGCGTAAATGAAATTGGCATGATACCTAAAGTGAAGAAAAATGCTCTCAGAGGACAACCCTGACCCTGGATAAAGAGAAGGGACTGGTCTTTCCTATCTTGGTGGAAAAATAGCATGGCTATCTCTGGAATAATTGATGTTTCTCCATAGCATCTCACGTAATGTTCTGTATTTTTGTTGCCATCACATGAAAGGTCAGCTTGCTTTGCATTTCCACAGTCACAAACCCGGTAGTGTTCCTGTCTTTTAGACTTTTTGACAGGTGAACGGTCTGAACATGAATCACTAACAACACATTTACAGTCTGTTCCTCACCACATCCAGCATATGCATCCTCCTCATCAGAGCCGTCCTCACAGTGTTTAATACCGTCACACACCAGAGACTGAAACAGGCACTGGGCACGGTTCTTGCAAACAAACTCCATGTACCGAGTACAAAGGGGATCTGTGGGGGAAATACATGGAACATTTAGGTCTGTAGGGATGAGCTTCCATCTTACTCCATGGTTCTTTCCTAAGTGATCAAGTATCTATTTATTAACCGTTTACATTAGCCTAATTTGTGTAAAGCTGTTTGGTTAGTGAAAGTGGGCAGGAACAGCTATCTGTCACATTGTTTCTGTCATACGTCAGACTATGACAGAAATACTCACCACAGTTGAGCTCATCAGCACCGTCGGGGCAGTCATGGTTCCCGTTGCAGTGAGCTTTGGCTGGCAGGCAGGTGTCATTGGAGCACAAGAAACCTTTACACTGGGTTCCCTCTAATGACAACACAATTGAAATGTATTACTCATTATTTCAAAAACAGAACACTCTCCTTTGAAGACAGTTGGGAAAACATATCAATCACTGAACAGAGTGAAAGTTGACTTCACAGCCACATTTGCAGCCTGAATGACCCTCATCTTTTAAGAGTCATAAACAGCATACTTTGGAGCATGTCTGATATAGGGGAGCATTGTGTGAAATTTGAGCGGTCGTGTGCGTCAGACGGGATCATTCCAAGTCTTGCTGACTTTTGATCTACTGGAAAAATGTTCCCTGATTTCAAAACTTCGAGTGAAGTGGCATCTTTAAAACCAGTTTCCAGTGTGGCAGCAGATCCACATCAAAACACTGGGACATTTGATTATACACAAACATGTGCACAATTCAAGTCCATAAGGAACAGGAGGAAGGATGAGTACAGGGTTTCCCCCAGTGTATCATAAGCCTGGTGACCCGCTATGCTTTACTAGCCCCCGGCTAGGCCAAGTGTTGCTTTTTTTTGTCATTAAAAATTTTTTTAATTAATAATTATTTTAAGTTAAAGCCAGATTGCAAGCGTCTCTGTATCTCTGAGCGTTTCATTGGAGGAGCAAATTTATTCCTAGAGTATAAGGAAAAAATTTGCAAGTGGGGTATAAGTTTATTCACCACTCAACAGCGCAGCGGCTTTGCCTTCGGAATTCACAGCAAATACTGCGTGTCAACATAAGTCTTGTACACACTAGTTGTTTTTTTTTTTTTTTGTTAACAGATACAATATTATTGTAGTGTGTTGATAAGCAGTTGTTTACAAAATAAGCCTGCAGCCTTCTCTGCAGTATGTGAATCTGTTCGCTACAACCCATAGATACCGTGGGTTGTAACTGCAACTATAAGTTGCATTTTTTTTTTTCATAGTTTGGCCGGGGGTACAACTTATACTTATACTTAATCCAGACTGTAGTTGCTGTATGCTATCTAGTTGCATTTTATTCAAGCTGCAGTAAAATAACTTTTATAAAAAATATGTTTTCTCCACATCTGTTAAAGCTGTCACCATGTTGTGCCAGTTTGTTATGATGCAGATAGTGTGTAAAAACAATTAATCTTCTCCACCTCCTCACTGAACTACTATTAGTAGCTAAAGTAATACAACATTCCGGCCAAAACAACCAATTAGAAAAAAAAAACACAGAAATATAAAGTTGTTATACCAAACAGGTGATGAGAGTACAGTGTTTATCAGGAAGGTAGGTCAAACCAAGGGCAAAGGACCCAAACAGTTTCCATAGGCAACAGGCATCAGCTTTACTCCTTGGAGTACATGTGCTGGATCAGGTCACACACACGGCTGCTGTAGCCAAGCTCATTGTCATACCATATCATTGTCATACCATGAAACAATGATATGCCACATGAGATTGTGCTTGAGAGTAGTGAAATTCTCCTGTCACTGATTGGTTGTTTCCAGATAGCACTGGGAGAAGGCAGAGGAAATAGATTTTTCACATATTGTCTCTCATGCTGTATTGTCACAATATAATGGCAGTTTTAACAAATATGTAAAAAGTTTTTTTTGAAAAGTTACATAGTGTAGGCTTAATTTCAATTAGAAATGACTTGTTAGAGATGCTGGTGACTAACTCATCAGTTGTTAACTGGTAAAAGGTACAGGGACAAGTTAAATATATGAAAAACTTGGTATTTTTTTCTTCATTAATTAAATGCTAGTGAAATAGAGGCAAACAATAGTCTTTAGCTTAGCTAACTATGATGAGATAAAGACTCAGCATAGTTAGCTGAGTGGTTGACAATCTCACAGTCTACCCACCTCTCAAGAGAAAAACTGGGTTACAAATTGACACTCTTGTATAATTTTCTAAAATTTTTTTGGGTAGCAAAATAACCACCACAGTCGTTCTTGTCTTCCACTGACTGCAGCTGGACACCGTGAAGTCACCGTGAAGCTGCTAAACAGGAATGAACCATTTCATGTCGATCCAGACGAGGGTTCAATGTAAATATGGATGTGTGCTTTTTGGTCTGGGAGTAGTAGCAGTTACTTTTTACTGATAAAAACAATTTTAGAAAACACAATATGATTAATTTTATAATTGACAGGGCCCCATTTTATTTAATTTCTATGACAAAAACATTGTGAAGGGCCCCGTGTTGGACAGGGGCCCTTGGAACTGTACTAACTTTCCCCCCTGTTACGACTGGCGTCGTAATTATGCAAATTTGAGTGTGCAGGTGCCCGTCTCCGACTGGTTCCCGGAAGACGACGGAGGCGCCCTATTGGTGGCTACCCGGAGGTGATGGATATAAAGGCTGAAGGCGTGCACTTCCTGGCATCCATCCTCAGCTCATCTCGACCGGCCGCACTCTCTGTTTGCTTGCTTGTTTGTAAAATCATGTAAAGTGCTGGAGTTCGTAGGAGTGAGCTGCCGTTTATGTTTACATTAGTTTTCTCCTGTTTTATTAGTTAGGGAGGTAAGTTTTTGTTGTTTGGTTTCTTTATTTTTCGATTAGGTAAGCTGGTCAACATTTAGATAGTTCCTTTTGTTTGTTGTTTTTGGCATTTAGCTCACTCTGAAGACATATGCTCCTCTAGCTGTAATATTTCAGTCTACAAAAACATACATCTTTTTACAATAAAAAAACGTTATAAAATGTTTAACTTTGTGTGTTATGACCTGGACCCCTAGACCGGTCGTAATACCCCATATATGGCACCCCTGCTGAAGAGATGCAATGAAAAGTGGCTATTGGCCTCCCCACAGAGCAGTCTCAACTCACCACAATGCTGAGGATCTTCATCCGAGTTGTCCTGACAGTCATCATCTCCATCACACTTCCAACGCAGTGGTATACAGTGACCTGTGTGACACTGGAAGCTGCTCGGTTCACACGTATGGTGACCCACTAGGAACAAACAAAAAAATAGAAGCAAATGCAGAAAGAAGTAAGTTAAACAAATTTGTCACAGGTGATATCCTGAAAGGGAAGACTCCTCTGTTAGACACAGGATGGATTATGGTTTCATGTCTATGAAATTTGCTAAATACAACTTTATAAACATTCTACATTTTGAATTACTTGTACAGTAGTTACTGTATATTCCATTAGTTTGTTCTCATTTGCCAACCTGTGCAGTTGGCTTCATCTGACCAGTCTCTGCAGTCATTGTCCCCGTCGCAGCGCCATACCTCACGGATGCAAACGCCTTGCGCACATCTGAACTCTCCAGGGCCGCACTGGTGAGACTCTGAAGAGTTGATTAAAAATTAGTGCATGAATGAGGAAAGTGAGCCTTTCTTATGCTACATAGCATAAGTGTTCATTTGATTTCCCTCAAAGCTAAAAAGTTGTAAGCCCCTCCATCATACCTTTTTAGACAGTTTGTGTTAACATTAGTGAAGGCTCAGTTCACTGTTCACTTTAACTCTTCTGCCACGGAGTTAAAGATACACTTGTGTGAAGACGTGATGACACACCCTGCTTGGCCATCACTTGCTGCAGTGGTTCACGTGACATTGCTTGGCCAATCAGCGCTGCTGGGAATTTAGTGAGTACAGTAATCAACGGCTGTCGTAGTTGTATGTCATGTGGTTTATTTCTCAATATTTTTTTACATGTCGAGCAAAAAAAGACGAATATGTACAATAGGGGTGCTCAATACGTCGATCGGGATCGACCAGCCAATCGTGGGAAGGTTTTGAGTCAATCTCAGCAGTAGGTGCAAACTGAACGCCGCAACGTTTGTAGCTTCATTAAAGAATCAACAAAACGTGTTAAAATTAATGATAAGTAATTATTGTTTCAGATTCATTAACAAATAGAGGGACTCAAAGACAGACTGACTAGCAGAGCAGGAGTTTAAATTAGCTAATCAACCACCGCTGTGTTCATGAGAGGCTTATTAATAATCGATAAATAAAGATCAAGCCTGGAAACCTGATATTGTAAAGGACTGAACATTATGTCTTAATGTAATCTTTGCTCAGCTTGCGGCATAAAGGCAGTTGCCATGGCAATGGGTGTGATTAAACGATAAAGAGAGACGGAGAATAAAAACGTGCGAGTGGTTTTGAGTTGATCACCTGTTCGGGTTGTTTCATCTTTGTTGAACTTTGCTGTGGTTCATCACAGCCATTGTAGTTTCTCAACATTCAATAAATGACAAACTTGGACTAATTACCTCGTTCGTTTGCAGTCATAACAAACATCAAATAGGACAAATATATTTTATTAAGTTTTAACAAACAAATGGCTTCTACCAAGATAATTATGTGACATTAAATTAATTATATCTCAGATTCAGAAGATTTGCCTTTACCTTTACAGAGCTCTTTGGTTCCTCCTATCAGTCTGTAGTGTCTCATATTGACGTCATCACACCAAATTTCAGATCTACCATAACTGACTGACAGCTGCTGGCCTCAGGTTTGCAACCAGCTTCTGACTGAAAAACTAGTAACCTCCTGCCAGTGTCAGAATCTCACTGAAGAAGAAACCGCAATAGCTTTTCTATCACTTTATCATTTCTGATACAACTGATGTATATTTGTATAGAAAATGAGTCAATAGGGTTTAATTTGCAATTTTTATGTCTTCATGTCATGAGGTAGATCTCAGCGGGCTGGTGAGAGAAAAAGTAGATCTTGGTCTCAAAAAGTTTGAGAACCCCTGATGTACAACATGGATTCACATGTATCACGGAACGGGATGGGAGTCAGCGTCCCATCTGCATGATATGCAATACCAAGTTGAACAACTCAAGTCTCGCACCGGCAAAACTAAGAGAACACTTCTTGAAGCTGCATGGAGATGGGGAAAAGTAAAAAAGTATGTTGTGGATTCAAAACGACAAAAACCAAATAAAATTTCAAATAAAACAAAAAAAAAAAATTATTTAAAACTGTTAAATTCTTTAAAAATTCTAAATGTATTTTTAATTAGTAAAATTGCAAAAAATATATATATATAAATATTTTTGGAGGCTGAAATTCTTTTATGGGGCCAAAATATTTTTTGGGGGGGCAGAATAAAGTAATACCATAATTTGTTGTGAGTTCATGCATGACTCATTTTGTGCATCAGTAAGAAAAGCATATGTCTATGTCTTGAATTTGGGAAAAAAAATAATTTTATTTATTACTAAAGAAGGGTTCAGTGAATGCGCATATGAAACTGGTGGGTTCGGTACCTCAAAAAAAGTTAAGAACCACTGATTTAGACCTAATATTATTTTGCAGTTTTATGATCTGCTACAGATGATAGAGAAAAGGTTCTTGTAATGACTAATGTATTTTCAAAGTTTACAAGCATGAAAATTAGTGTGCTCGTACTGTTGCAGAGGCACAGTACGAGCACATACTGCACTATGTTTACTTGGCGCATCCGGAATCTAACATTTGGAAACATTGCGGGATCATTCTGAAAAATGTCTGACCAACCATTTCTATGCAGCTTGCATGTTTTAACATGAGATTTTATGCTTCTTAAGAGAGATCAAAGCCTTTGAATTTAAACACCGTATAAATATGGTGAGAGGAAACTTATCTGTGTTAATGCCTGATTTTGCGACAGAATAATGTGCTGTGTCCATGATGAAATGTAAACTGGCAGTAGTTACTAGAATGACTACTGCCAGTTTGAGTTGACTTTGGGGGCTCAACATTTTGGGCCCCCAAGTCAAATTTATTCAGATTTTTGAGTATTTTGAGAGTAATTTGGCTAATCATTTCTGTAGATGTTGAGAATTATGAAGTTTATATTGCTGAAGTTGTAACTTCTGATGTTCAACCTCTTTCTGGCCAAGAATTTACACAGAAAATTGACACAACCAGCACTCCGGAATCTAGGAGGTCAGCTCAAAAAACTGCAGGACAGCATTCCACCCCTTATTGGCTGGCCTGTTCTTTGCAGAAGAAATAATGGCCTGTTCTTGGATAACAGTTTATTTAGGTACATCGTTGGGTTGCCGATGCATAATGATGGGGAAGAATGTAACAGGTGGCACCACAAAGTGTCATCTACCCTCTTTATAGCCCGAGCTTCAATAAAAGGGAAGGTGGAAGGGTGGTGGCAACAGTATCAATTTCCTGGGTGTGTGACCAGGTGTTTGTTGTGCCCACGTGTTCCATTGTTTGCTGGCTGTGGTAGTTTTGGAGAAAAACTGTTTTAAATCAATCCTTTTGATAATGCATTATGTGTTGAGGTGATGTTTTTATACAGGGCCACACTGTTAGTGATGTTCCGGTGGTAGCATTACCTGACTGTGTGGTTATGTAATGCTGCAGATAGGCTTTATACATTTGTCTTTTTAATCAGATTGAATTGTATGTTTTTGTTTTTACAGTGTTGATTTGTACTTGGTAGGTCTACACCAGATCCTTCAAGTTTGACTTACAGTGCTGGTTTATGCGATGCAGGTATGCAGTGTTTTTAATTTGTTTCAGATTGATGTGATTAAAGTGATTTCATAAGCATTTAGTAATTTTTGCATTTTTGTTTATACAGTTCTATCCTTGCTTCCTGCTGTCCTTTAGAGTTTGATTTTCTTTTTGTTAGGCCGGCCAGCCTTATGGATTGTTTGTATTCCCTTAGTATTTGAGGGTGGGCTAACAACTTTCCATTTATCTTGTGTTTGTATGTCTTGATTCTCATCTTTGGGTCACTACCCTGAATACACACATTACATGTCGCTGTTCATCCTAAATATCTGAGCCATGATCCTGTTTGAGACCTGTGACCTTCTGTTTGGATCATATGTAATCATTCTTCAGTGAATCAAGTGCATCATAAGTTTGCAGTGAATAATTGTAGTGTTTTATGCGGGCTTGTCCGCCTCAAGTGGTGTTTGAATTTGGGTCAAATGTTTTCGGACTGGCAACGAATGGATGAAGTTAATGGGAAATCTCCTGAACATTAGTGATTCCTGAGGCTTACCAATTTCTCTTTGTAATCCAGAGGTTGTGATTGAGTCTTTGTTCATGAGGTTTTATGCTAAGGATTTTAGCTCATTTCTGTAGGTGTTCAGGAGCACCATCCTTCAAAGATAACATTCGAAGGCTGACTCTGTGACAGCAATGTAATAAGGATATTTAAATTCAAAGGCTCTATCAAGAATGGCTGACAAATGTGTCCTTCTTTTTCCCGTGTATCCTTCACAGTTCACCCAATTTCAAGACTTTCACACACTCAGGTGTACGTGGACTTTGCATACACTGTCCAAAGATTGTTGGGATTTCATTGTGAGAGCCTACATTTCTCATAGTAAATTCCTTCATTCCCCACAACCCAAATGGACACGAGCACGTTTGATAAGCTAGTTTGGTGCTTAGCCCTTTTTCTTATCCACCAGGGAAGCCACTGCCCATATGTTAGGGTAGCACAGACTGCCACTCTCTGTGGCATAGACCACAACAACTTGATTGTTATAGGCTAATGCATGTCCTTGCACTGACTCTCAAACTTATCAACTCGGTGTCACATATAAAACTGATGTGAACAACATTTCCCATCAAGCAGTTTACTGTGCAGCACAGTACACAAACGCAGTTGTAAAAATGTACCTTTGTACGAACATGTATACGCAGTTTGTTTCATGTATACGCAGACCTCCATGGAGTCAAGTATGTGGGAACCTTTAAGAATCATTGTAGGTTGAACAAAATAATTTTGTTATGATAAGGGAGGACAAAGAGAGAGAGAGTGGAAAAAAAGTTTTATATATATATGTATATTAAAATATTGCGGTACATAAACTAAAAGCAGTTGAGTCGTTAGGTTTATAACATAATTTTTGCTAAAAAATGACATATAATCAGGAGTGCAGGTGTTTAAGTTAGCTAATCAACCACTGCTAGTGTTCAGGGAATCACTCTGTTATTATCGCAAAACGAAAATTCAAAAACATAAATCTGCAACAGACAAAATGCTCTGGAGTTTTTACATACTTTTTTGTGTGGGAAATGTTTTTGTGCATTTTTTAGTGTTAATTAATGTAATGTAATCTTTGCTCTGCGCTGTTGTATATTGGTTACCATAGCAACGAGGCTGCACGTGACTTTTAACTGAGAAACATATACATTTCTCTCCTGGGAAAATTGCATAATTTGTTAGCAGAACGATTCAATAATAAGACCAATCATCAAATAGAATTAAATATTTCATAAAGCTTAAAGAACCAAAGTTTGTTAAATTACAATTAAGTAAAATTGTATTATTGGTCAATATGAAAGAGAAATTTGCTTTGTTCTCTCTTGTATCTTTACAGAACTGACAGAAACCAAACTATTCATAGATTTATATGCAGAGAGAATATATATTTTCACATCTAAACATCAGCATCTCAGCTATAAGCCACATTTTATAGAATCCAGTCATATCGATGGTCACTTTTCTCACAAACTGCCCCAACTAGACCCAAAAAGTTTTTGCGTCTTTAATATTAACTATATTTAAGACACATCTCATCTGCTATGTGTAAGTCAGCACGGCAAAGCTTTTGCCAACCAACTGACGGAAAGGTGTAGAGTCAGAATCACGTAATTGAAAAATATAAAGTTTGCACTGACAAAGATTCATTACGTTTACACACAAGTTACTTATTTGCTTTTGAAATGTTTAATGACAATTTGATTGTTATAGAATATCATGTTGATGTTTTTACCACTTGATAAAATCAGACAATAAAAGGCAACTATGTGATAATTCATCACAAAAAATATTACTGAATTGTGAAACTGTTTAACTGTTGGCAAGCATTCAACAAATACAGGTTGATTCCATAAATTAGAATATGACTGAAAAGTTCCTTTGTCAGCAGTTCCATCATCAAGTGAAAGACATTATATAGATTAATTAGATTACATATATTTTAACATATTTATATTTCATACTATATTGTAAATCTGCTAAATGTTTATTTTCAAAGGTATTATTAATCTGATAAGCCTGATCAAGATGTACATCCTAATTTATTGACTAAGATTGTATGGCATTCACATGTAAGTTTTGGCCTTAGCACTAGAAAAAAAAGTGTTTTTTCCAGTAATTGTTGGAGCATCTGTGTCCACCTCCCGCTCCTCCTCATCCCCACCCACTTGCAACACAAAGTTACCCCCTTTTACCACAGTGGTCCTCATCACTGTTGTCACCACAATCGTCTTCGTGGTCACACTTAAAGGCCAGTGGGATGCACGAGCCCGAGGCTATGCAGCGAAACTGGTTGGATGGATCACAAGTTGTAGTGGCTGCAAGCAGAGATGAGTATGGGAGAAAAGTGAAATTCTTTCCTAATCTGGCTTCTTTTCTTGTTTTCTTTTTTCTTGTTAAGCAGGTGGAAACTCACGACACTCCTCCTCATCGCTCATGTCTCCGCAGTCATTGTCGCTGTCACATTTCCAGATACTGCTGATGCAGCGTCCGTTAGCACAGCGGTACTGATTGGGCAAGCAGCTGTGCTCTGATGGGAGGACAGGAAGAATGACAAGCAAGTTGCAAATTACTCTCTAAGTAATTTAGAGAGTAATTTGAACTCTCTCCAGGACAGAGAAGATTATGACCTGGTAATGCTCACCGGTTTTGGTACAGGTGTTGTTTTGGAGCTGGTAACCAGGGGGACACTGGCATTGCAGCTCTCCATTGGGTATGGTCAGGGTCGGTGCACCCTCCGGACAAACACAAGTGTGTTTGTGGCTAGGCTGTGGGAGACACAGCAAACTGCATGGCTGGTAGGTACAGGCATTGTGCCCTGATAAGGAAGAGAGAACAACCAGATGATCATAATAAGTCCAGATTCATAACCAGAACAGGGAACTCAGCTCCATAATAATGGTTATGAATGCTCCTCACCCCTGTTCTTCCCCTTATAGAAAATCTTGAGGTCCATGACTCCAGTTAATCTGCCAACAATCAGCTCGTTTTTCTGAGATCCAACTTTTGGAGCTTTGAAGATTCCCATTCTTGACCAGTCGTCCCAGTACAGATCATTCTGAAATTACCATTCAATGTAAACACTGAAGCATTCAGATTTAGCACAAGTAAATGACCAAAACAAAGATGAAAGGTAACTTGTTTGAAGGTAGTAAATACCAGAGGTGGAGACTTAAGTCTGTGACATAGACCTTCCTTGTAAAGGCAAATACTTCAATTCACAGATGCCCCGTTTCCAATCAGTAGTACACCATGAGTCGATGCATTGTTTTATGGTCCAGTGTTTTCAAGAGAATGTTTTCACCAGGCTACTGCCTAACATTGCGTCATCGTACTAGTGCGATGGCAAACGTGACACACTGCTATGTCTCATGCTTGTTGCGAGCAGCAATGATTTTCTGTAGACTGTGTTGTGACACCAATAGCTCCACCCTAACTGTATTGTACCATTGTCTTATGGAAATACAATTGAAGGGGTCCAGGAATGGTGAGGTACTAGTTGGTTATATGAGACACTTTTACAATGGAAACAGACAAAATGGCATCATGGCAAACTAAGCAACACCATAAAGCTTAGTGGAAAAAAGGCATTATACTGGGTCTTGAAAAACTCCTTACTCAACTGAGAGTTGAGGGAAGAGACATAAATCTCATAAAAAATCTTTACCTCATGCCAGTAAGGGTGAAACTAAGCTAGTTCAACTAAACACATGGTTCTACAGTGGCATAAGTTCAACTGGTGGCACTATTAGTGATACTTCATGAAAATGTTGGAATGGATTATGTACAATGTAAATATGAAGAAGTTTAAATTGTGTACAGTTGAGAAGTTCCAACTGGCAAAAAGAGGAGTTTTTAAAGCACATTCAATTCAGCTTTATCAAAATCTTCTTCAAAATAGAGAAAACTCTAATTATGAAGTGAATAGAAGAGTGAATCAGGAACAAGGTATGGTGGCTGCTTAAACTGGATTCCATTTACACAAGATTTGAAAGTTAGATCTGGAGGATTTGTAACTTAGCCATTACAGCACTCCAAAATGGAAACCTAACAGAATTTCCTAATTATCTAGTTATTTGCTATTAGCAATATAAGCCAAGAGCAAAGTATTTCTGAGCAATTTGTACAATCAATCACACTGAAATGTTCACTTATCATAAACAGGTGTTTGTCTCCTCATGAATACATAAACATTTACATTGTAGTGGAGTAATTATAGCTTATTAATATAAAAAATAAATAAAGTTAAAGTTTTTTTAAAGATCAAAATGTGTGTCATGTATTAGTTTAGACATAGCCAATAGCCATTTTGTGTTACACAGACCAGGCATGTGATGTGTGAAAGTGGATTTCTGTCAGAAACTTGAGACTTGACTTGAACTTGTCAGTTTAAAGCTTAAGACCTGAACGGGGAACCATACTTTACCTTGAAGACAGCAATGGCGTACGGATGGGGCAGTCCTTCCATCAGAATGCTCCTCTGTCTCCCGGTGAAGTCTGCCCTTTCGATGCGGTCGCTGAATGCCTCGGTCCAGTACAACCACCGATCGTCTGCGGTGATCCCATTGGGCCAGCGGACTCCTTCTGCCACAATGCAGGACACATTGCTTCCATCCATGTAGCCCCGGTAGACGCCGGCTGCTCGGTCTCCCCAGTCGGTCCAGAACATCATACTGGTGAAGATTCAAATAAGTTCTGGTATTTCGCCATATGAGGCGAAGACTTAGTTATCGTATTTTCCAGACAATAAGTTGCATGGTGCAGCAATGATGTGTTTAACCATTTATGAGTTTCCTGATACTTTTACCTGTAATGCTCTGTATTCCAGGCAATGCTACTGTCGAGCAGTACTGACCCTCATCAGCACTACTCCAAACCTAATTACATTATGTATCTTTACCTTTCTGCAGGCAGCAGGACCAGAGCTCGCGGGTGTTCCAGGACGGAGGAGTTAAGCAAAGTGTGACGCAGGTCTCCGTCAGGATTAGAAACCTTCAGAAACAAGGAGGAACTTTTCACTGGAGCTCTGTTTGTTTTGAAGGATTAAGTTTAAACATTTAAACAAATACTGTTAATGAGAGTATAGATTTTGTCAAAAATTAAGGTTAAAGTAAAACTCTGTAGAAACAATCATAGCGCAAAATACTGGGAGGTCATAACCCTAAGATTTCAACTCATGTTTTGTGCTTTGCAGCCAAGTGTCTTCATGTTTTTTTTGTTTGAAAAGCATAAAATTAACATAACAAGCATAGAATTGATCCCAGTTTACTGGCTTCTATTTGTCCACCTGCTTCTAGGTTTGGATCCTAAGAGTGTCCGGACCAAAGGCCCAGATTGTGTTCAGATCTATGATGTACACAGTTTTGGCTTTTAAGTTTTTAGACACCACGTGTTTGGATATAACAGACAGACAATGTTAAAATTGCTGATGATACAAAAGACATGGAAGAGTGGAATTTAACTCTGTAGACCAAAGAACCTCCAACAGACGCAGAAATATTCATGACAGAATGTTTTAGCTCAGCAATAATAAGACACTGCTTGCACTAGGACAGTTTGTAGACAAGATTTCCTGGACAACGACAGTACTGTGTTACAAAAGAAAAGTATGAAAACTATAAAAGAGATAAGGTAAAGTTACCTGCTAAAGTTGACAAGACAAAGTGTAATATAGAAACTTAAGTAGTACCTGCTAACATCCCACTGCTACTGAGTAAAACCTCATTAAAAAGGACAAGGACCGTTTTGGACATGCAAAGGGACAGTGCAGTGATGATCAACCAGCCAGTCAAATTGGACTTTACTAGTTCAGGTCATTACTGTGTGAACATTGTGGGAAGTGAAAATAGAAATTTTACTCATTCTGATAAGCTATTAGAAGCAACTGAGGAAGAAATACTGACTACAACAGACAAAATGAACACAAGTGAAAAGATGTTCTGGAGAAACTTCATAAGCAGTTTGAACACACATCTGCTGACAAAATACAGAGACTTTTAATTAATTCTGTCAACAAGCACACAGTTTGAAGGCTTAATTGCCTCATCAACGATTTGTAGAATGCCTGAGTTTATCCTAAGTGTATCTGGGATTCTTTCTGATGTCTGGCCCTATAATGGCTCAGCACTGAAGAGGTGGATTTATTTAAATAAGACAGTTCTGTCAAACATATGCAACACTTAACCTACAGAACATAATATGAACGAAAACTAAGCATGAATTTCAGTTGAATTTGGGTTCAGATAGATCAAGTAGAAATTGAAAAGAACCGGATGAAACAACAATGAAGTGATAAGACCTTATTTTCTGATGTAAGATCAAAGTGGTCCCAAATACAAAACCTTTCGTTTGCCTGGAGGATTGTTATGCCGAGAAATGCATGCCTGCCGAGAATTGCATCCCCTGTCGCGGGAGCGCGCATCCCCTGTCGCGGGAGCGCGCATCGCTCTAAACTCTCGCATATTGATGAGTAAACGGGCTGAAATACCGACCGAAGAGGAAACTTTTAAAGAAATTCGTAACATTATCACGTTTATTAATCATCTAAGCGCTAAAATTGTGGGCTTTATTTTGCAAATTAATTGAAATAAACACTGATTTTATTTCACGTTTGAGCCATATTTGTCGAACGTTCTTCAGTGTCCGATGAACAAGTTCTCCGCAGCTGCTTTGAAATTCCAAGATTTTTCTTTTAACACCATAATAGCTTAAAACTTTACAAAACCGAGGCCCAATTACGTAGAACATTTTATATCACGCTTAGCTGTCTAGTGTATTAATGTAGGGGAGATGCATTTTAATTTCTGAGCCTGCTAATATTTGCATCCCCTGTCTATTGTCCTGTTCATATGAAACTTATAGTGGTAACTCAGGGAACAAGTGTCATTATGTAGAAAAAATATAATTTCCAAGTTAGCAGGGGATGCAATTTTTGGCAACATGAATTTCTAGCTTGCCAAAATTTGCATCCCCCCTGTTTTCATCAAATATTGTTGAAATGACATTAAATTAATACCAGTAGTTCATGGAACTACTCTGGTCATGTAGAAAAACGTATTTCAGTCTTAACTCTTTTTTTCTCCAAATTAGCAGGGGATGCAATTTTTGGCAACATGGATTTCTAGCATGCCAAAATTTGCATCCCCCCTGTTTTCATCAAATATGATCCAATTGAGGTGAAACTCATACCAGCAGTTCTTACAACTACTCTGGTCATATAGGACAAGTTATTTCACTCTTAACTCTTTATTTCTCAGAGTTAGCAGGGGTGCAACTTTTGGCAATATGGATTTCTAGCTTGCCAAAATTTGCATCCCCCCTGTTTTCATGAAATATTTTCGAAATGATATTAAATTAATACCAGTAGTTCATAGAACTACTCTGGTGATGTAGAAAAAGTTATGCTGGAAATATATATATATATATATATATATATATATATATATATATATATATATATATATATATAGAAAAGACGGAAAAGACGGTTAGAGGCTAAAATCAAGGTAACAAGGAGGGAAGTGAGCCAACTGTCAGAGCTCCACAAGGGTGCAATGAAAAGACCAGTACCCAGAAAGTACAGGCAGATGCCCATACCTGAAGCACTCGAGACTGCCAAACAGAGGCTCCAAGCCTTGTCCAGCCGCCTAAAGAGATACACAAGGGAGAATGAATCCAGAAGGATTAACCGGCTCTTCTCCACTCAACCAGCTAAGGTGTACTCTCAATGGCAGGGTAACAATAACAACAGAGCAGACCCACCAAGGCTGGAGACGGAACAATACTGGAAAGGCATATGGGAAAGGGAGGCGTCCCACAACAGCAATGCACAGTGGCTGATCTCTCTACGAGAGGACCACAGCAACCTCCCTGAGCAAGCCCCGGTAACCATCACTGTGACAGATGTCCAAGAAAGAGTCTCAGGTATGAAAAACTGGACAGCACCAGGGCCTGACATGATCCATGCCTACTGGCTAAAGAAACTCACTGCTCTCCATGAGCGAATGGCAGCCCAAATGAACCAGCTGCTACAAAGTGGGACTCACCCTGAATGGTTAACTGAAGGGCGGACAATCCTAATCCAGAAGGATCCATCAAAGGGTCCAGTCCCACCCAACTACCGACCAATAACCTGCCTCTCCACAACCTGGAAGCTCATGTCAGGCATCATAGCGGCCAAGATAAGCAAAACATGGATAAAACACATGAGCACGGCACAGAAGGGTATCGGTGTAAATAGCAGAGGAGCCAAACACCAACTCCTCGTAGACCGCACAGTTGCCCGAGACTGCAAAACCGACACACCAACCTGTGCATGGCTTGGATCGATTACAAGAAAGCCTATGACTCAATGCCGCATACTTGGATCATTGAATGCTTAGAGATGTATAACATCAACAGGACTCTGAGAGCCTTCATTGCTCGATGAGGCTGTGGAAAACCACCCTTGAAGCCAACTGCAAACCACTTGCACAAGTGTCCATCAAATGTGGCATATACCAAGGAGATGCTCTGTCCCCGCTACTGTTCTGCATAGGTCTGAACCCCTCAGCCAAGTTATCAACAAGACTGGCTACGGATACAGACTCAAAAATGGGGCCAATATCAGTCACCTACTCTACATGGATGACATCAAGCTGTACGCCAAGTGAGCGAGACATCGACTCACTGATCCACACCACCAGGATCTACAGCACTGACATTGGGATGTCATTCGGACTAGAGAAATGTGGTCGGCTGGTCAAAGAGGGGGAAGGTCATCCACACAGAAGGGGTCTCACTCCCAGAAGGAACAATAGCAGACATAGAGGACAGTTACAAGTACCTAGGTATACCACAAGCAAATGGCAACCTCGATGAGGTCACAAGGAAAGGAGCCACAGCTAAATACCTCCAACGAAAGGCAAGTCCTGAGAAGCCAGCTCAATGGCAAGAACAAAATCCGTGCGATAAACAGCTATGCCTTGCCAGTAATCAGATACCCTGCTGGAATAATTAGCTGGCCAAAGGAGGAGATAAAAGCCACAGATATTAAGACCAGAAAGCTACTAACAATGCATGGAGGGTTCCATCCCAAATCCAGCACCCTGAGACTGTACACGAGCCGCAAGGAAGGAGGCAGAGGACTAGTGAGTGTGAGAACCACTGTCCAGGACGAAACAACTAAGATCCATAAATACATCAGGGACAAAGCCTCAACAGACAATGTGCTCAGTGAATGTCTCAGACAACAGGGAACGGAGGTTGAGGTGCCAGAGATACCATCATGGGAGGACAAGCCCCTACATGGGATGTACCACCAGCAAATAACCCAAGTGGCTGATATCAGTAAATCCTACCAATGGCTGGAAAAAGCTGGACTCAAGGACAGCACAGAGGCCCTCATCCTGGCAGCCCAGGAACAGGCCCTAAACACCAGAGCAATAGAGGCCCAGATCTACCACACCAGACAAGACCCAAGGTGTAGGTTGTGCAAGGAGGCCCCTGAGACAGTCCAGCACATCACAGCAGGGTGCAAGATACTGGCAGGGAAAGCGTACATGGAGCGACATAACCAAGTGGCAGGCATAGTGTACAGAAACATCTGTGCAGAATATGGACTGGAAACCCCAAGATCAAAGTGGGAAACACCCCCAAAGGTGGTGGAGAACGCCAGAGCTAAGATCCTGTGGACTTCCAGATCCAGACAGACAAAATGGTAATTGCGAACCAACCAGACATTGTCGTAGTGGATAAACATCAGAGGAAAGCCGTTGTGGTAGATGTAGCAATACCAAGTGATTGCAACATCAGGAAAAAGGAGCACGAGAAACTAGAGAAATACCAGGGCCTCAGGGAGGAACTGGAGAGGGCCTGGAAGGTGAAGACCACAGTGGTGCCTGTGGTCATCGGGGCCCTCGGGGCAGTAACCCCCAAACTGGAGCAGTGGCTACAACAGATCCCAGGAACAACATCAGACATCTCAGTCCAGAAAATGTGCAGTCCTTGGCACAGCCAAGATACTGCGCAGAACCCTCAAGCTCCCAGGCCTCTGGTAGAGGACCCGAGCTCAGAGGATAAGAACCACCCGCGGTGGGTGAGAAGGGAATTTTTTTATTTTTTTTTTTATATATATATATTTATATATATATATAATATATATATATAATATATATATATATATATATATTTTTTTTTTTTTTCTTTTCTGAATGTTAAGGAGTCAGGGATGTATTTTCTATTAAACTTTAATTTCTCCTTTATACTTGGCTCTTGCCTGTGTCTCATCAGGAGTCACTGGACTGTTCCCTGCCTTTGCCCTGTGATGGCAGCATAATCTAAATAACTTTTTTTCTTGTACTTTATATGTATTTTTAAGTAAAATATCTCAATCTCAAGTATTAAAACAATTTAGCCTATTAGATTTTTTTTTACACAATGTCTATGCTATCTATAGCAGAGTTGACATAATATTTTTTTCCTGAAAAAAATATAAAAGTATGTGGCTAAAGTTTCACAATTATGGCTTGCAATAAAAATATCAAAAAATTAAAAGGATATTTAATTCCAAATGCACATTAAATTATGAAATTGTAAATATGTTTATAAATATACCCCTGTAAAGGAATCTTTATGGGGATATATTGATTTATACCATCAATGTCGATATAAAAAGAATTTGTCAGAGTAAATTGTATCAATTATAAACATTGTGCATTTTATTCAGAAAACCCCTAAAACACTAAATCACATCAAAAAGTTAGAAACCTTGTCTTTGGTGCTTTCTTTGATTCCCAGATATAGTGTGTGTAAAAGAACGTGTCAATAACAGGAATTAACATAAAATACTTTGTCGAAAGGCACTTTGTGAAGTTAGGTCCATTCACTTGTATTTGCTTACTGGCAGAAAGGCCACATTCAATATGGCGGACGCCGTGGCATATCAGAGCAACGGGCCAACCCTCTCAACAATACGTCTATGTATTCATCTCTGAGATGGCAGCATAATCTCCCATCGTAGAGGGTTAGATGTTGTTCTCATCTAACCCACTGCCACTGTTAATCAAACTATGCATTGGAGACATCATTCCTTCCTAGAAGAAGCTAGCAAGATCTTGTTGAACGCTACAGAACATCATGCAGTCTTCATATTTGCAGGTCAATCTCTTCCATCAGTGCTTTTCTTCCATGTGAGATTTTTCTTAGAACAGACCTACAGCTAACTGACTGTCAGATACATCAACATACTGCTGATTAGATTTATAGAAGCTTTTGTCTTGATCATGAGAACGGACTAAAAATCAAGTAAAATTATCATTTAGTGCCAGGATAAAAATATTGTTGTATACAGCTGTCAACCCTGTATATTGAATCTTTCATATTTCATCACTACGTAAAATAATATGAAAAAGAACAGTCATTGGTAATTATGAGAAAATTAAGCTGCTGCCCACGACTAAATCTTAGGACACTCAGGTGCTAAAAATATTTTCTATTAAGAAGGAAATGATATTTGAGCTGAATGTATTTAAATTTGTCTCTGATACCTCAATCTTCTGGGCTCCTGCATCAACCCAGTACAGGAGCCTGCTGATGGGGTCAAAGGTCACAGCCTCCACATTCTGCAGATCTTTCCTCACAATGACCTCCTGACCTGTGCTGCCATTCAAACACAGACGCTGCAGAAGAAGCAGAATGTTGAAACCGTAAAGGCCGAGCTGATGCAGTTATTTCAGGAAAGAGTAAAATGAATTAACTTTTCCAGAGCAACTTAGATAAAAGACGCATAAGGTCCAGCTCATACCTGGATGGTGTCCAGCGAAATGTCTGCCCAGTACAGGCAGTTCCTGTCATAGTCAAAGTCCAGTGCCACGGCTTCCCTAAGGCCAACCAGAGGCAGGGGCTGGTCGGCGCCAGTGGCCAGGTCATAGCGGTGGATGGAGTTCCTCACGGCATACAGGATGAACTCATTACTCTCTGTGAAACACAGCACACACTGATTCAGGTTCGGGCATTCCTTACATAAAGGCAACCAAAGACTTGTTGCAATAACCTCCAACAGGACAGGGCAGCATCTCTCCATCCAGCCTGGCCTCAACGTCTCCCCCACTGCAGCTGTCTCCCGGTACCTTCCTGTAGCTGCAGCAGAAATACAACTGTTTCTGCTCAGCAGGAGGGCAGATGATCCTCCCACTAACACACCAGTAGGAATCAGTGAAAAGATTACCCATGTTCTTCTGATGATGAGCACAAAAATAGTAATTCAGAACTTAAATTAAACTGGAGCAGTGTTAGAGCAGAAATACTTCCTACGAGTTGTTTTTGAGGGAAAAGATTTCTGGCGCCAGAAAGGTCGATCTGACCTGACTTTTATCTGGAAAGTACAAAATGTTGGAACAAAACTCAGGTTGGAAAGTAAGCTGTTTAGATAGATAAGAACAAAAATTATTATTAATTGACTTGTTTTGCAGTTCTGAGATGGAGCAGATGTTCAGATGAGAGGTCAGTAAGAAATTCGTGAAAACCCCAACACACACTCAATCAATGGGCAGCCAGAATCTTGACGCAAACCTGACGTCATTGGAAGCTATAAAAATGTCTGTAGGCAAAGAACGGTTGAGATTTTTTGGAGATTTTGGGCACTTTTGATTTTGAGACTTTGAGATTTGAGAAACAATGTTTTGTAATGATGCATCCGTGGTAGAAGAATAAATAAATCTCCCGACCCGTCGTGGCTGGCAGTAAGAACTCGTCTCTGTGGTTTGTTATGTTTATCTATATATTTGAGAGTTTTGCGCCTCACAATTCTCCAATAGCAGTACTGCTGAAATCAACAAAGTCTTTTAAATCCTTTCAGTTTACATTTTGTCACAATATAACCACAGACTTCAAGGCTTCACATTAGAATTTCATGTGAGAACCAGACATAGTGAATAGTTGAAAAGCAAAAAAAAGCTGATATCAGGATCTCATTAACTTTGACTAGGCCATTCTAACACAAGAATAGACTCTGATCTAAACTATTGTGTTATAGCTCTGGTTGGATGTTCAGGGTGGTCATCCATTCTCCCATCAACTCTGACCAACTTCCATGTTCCTGATGAAGAAAAACATTCCCACAGTATGATGCTGCCACCACCATGTGTTCAGAGTGATATTGTATTATGTTTCCAACCAAACAAGTTTGTGTATGAAGGCTAAAAAATTTTCAATTTCAGTTGCACTTGACCACCTACCTCCACACGTTTGCTGCACTGCTGATGGCTTCTGCAGATAGAGCTTTAAAAGACTGCTTGTTCTCTAACAAACTTCCATGGCACAGAATAGCTGCATGTAGACTAACCTACACAAGATATTAATCAGAACTTCTGAAAGGAATAGGGCTGAAACGCTTCCTCAAATGACTCGAGTACCTCGATTATTAAAATTCCTTGAGGAAAATTTACCTTTTTCGAAGCTTCGTTAATTTATTTTTTATTTATGAGTTGTTGATGAAAGCTAAGGGTTAGCAGCATAATGTCCAATTTTCAAGTTAGGCCCACGGAGATTTTACTGATGGATGATAATGCCTGGGTTTTGATCGTTTTTGGGGAACAATAAGCATCCTTAAAATGATTGTCACGATGCCTGGAGTACGGCAGCCTTTCTTCTCCAGGAGCTGCTGTTAAGAGCGAATGGCGGGAAGAGCGCTGCAGGGGTATTTATACAGGTGGGCGGAAAGACAAATTAGCTAAGTAGTTGATGGTTATAGTGTAAGTGTAGCTTTACCAGCAAACGGACACAAAAAATTTCATATATCCCGGTCTGAACAAACAGGTGGCGGAAATCACTGTGGCAGTACCAGGGACGATTCAAGAATTTGACCTTTAGTAGTGCTTAGCCCCCAGGAGGGCTAAGACATTTGAGAAGATATTCGCTTGTGCGTTTTCCAAATCTAACTGCTTATTTCCATACATTTACAAACAAAATTAAGAGACATGTCAGTAACTCAGAATAAAAGAACAATGTTCATTTTACGCAAACTTATAATTGTAAAATCAGACAACCTTAATTTTTTCCAGAGGTGTATGTACTCAGTTTGAAACAGAATCTCAAGACTACGTAATACCTGCCAACATCTCCTAACATTAATGAAAGATATGCAGCTGTGAAGTGACACAGTCCTTATTTGAACGTTATATGGCTGTTGGCATTTTTCTTTGTCTACTTGTCCATCTATGGAAGAGTAGACATTATGAGTCAGGGTTTTTCAATTTCAGTTCACAGTTCATGACATGGGTCTATCATTGTTCTATCATTGTTTCAGCTTTTTCCAGCCATTGGTAGAATTTACTGATATCAGCCACTTCGGTTATTTGCTGGTGGTACATCCCATGTAGGGGCTTGTCCTCTCATGATGGTATCTCTGGCACCTCAACCTGTGGTGGGGCAGGGGGTTAGCACGCCCCACATTTGGAGGCCTTAGTCCTCGACACAGACTGCGGTTGAAATGTGGTTAAAGCATGACAAAATGTGGAAAAGAAGGTTGGAATAATTTTGTAGCTGTTACTTCTGTTTTCCAATTTTAAAATCTGACATGAACACTTCATGAGAACATGCATGGGGCTAAAGTCTTATAGCAATTTATTACTACAAATTAAAACAAGACAAGATGCAGAGTTTACCCTTTGCTGTGGTGGTAGCTGGTACCAATGGGACAAGGAACTGGAGGAGCATAGAGGTCTCCTAGGAACTCCGGGTCAGGTACACACACTTGAAGAGACAAGTCATCACTCAGCTTAAAGCCATAGTCACTGGAAGGAGAGAGGGTGGAGAGAAGCACACTTAGATTAACTTCTGCACTCTACAAGTAGTGCTGTTAGAAAGCAGTAGTGCTGCAAAAGCAGCTGGAACACAATCTAATCATCTGTATTACCAGAGAGCAGAACAGGCTTCTCAGAAGAAGAAGCAGATTTTCTTTTATTGTCATTGTGCAAGAAAGCACAGCATTTAAAAAACAGAAACTTTTGAAGGGAGTGACAATAAATAAATAAGTATATTTACTTCTACTTAAATATACTTATTATATATCTAAGTATAAATATATAAAAAGTATATATTATTATATAATATATATATTAGAAACATATATATATGTTTCTAATAAGTAAATAAAAGAATGATGTTCAGGGTTTGGGATTAATTTGTTATGTTCAGGGCAATACCTTTTTGGTAGAAACAGCTTTTCACTCTGTTCATTCTTGTCTATATTGCCCTGAAGTCACTGCCTCAGAGTAATAGTTGGAAGAGATGGTGACCAAGGTGTGAAGGTCCCTCACCATTCATAGTCCTGGCGGGTGCAGGAACAGTTGGAGATGGTAACAGGCCTGTCAAAGTCTTCCCCATTGAAGCACGTGGCATGAGGCGCTCTTCTCTTGAAGGTCACCTCCCTGCCCAGCAGACACTCGTTACCATGCTCGTCTGATGGAGACCAGTGCTTGTAATCGGCCTCAGAACACGGAACACCTGGACAACAGAGGAGTACTTTGACTCCTGACTTCACATCATTAATGCTATCCGCATATAGAAATTTTGAAGCAAATAGAGCAAGATGGAAATAAAATCTTTCTTCAGCTTTGTTCCCTTGTTTTAAAAAAAATCTTTTGCTCTCATCCACAGAGTTATTATCACACCTTTTGATTTTTTAAAGTAAGAAATAAAAAAGGAAGACAGGCATTCATATTCAAGTTTTACATTTCATCAGCTTAAACTTAAGACCTCTTCAGACATATATAAATTGGTATTTCCAAAAGTATTCGCTCACCTGCCCTGACTAACATATGAATTTAAGTGACATCCCATCCATCAAGTTCAATATGACACTGGTACACCCTTTGCAGCTATAACACCTTCTGGGAAGCTGTCCACAAGGTTTAGGAATATTTATGGGGATTTTTGACCATTCTTCCAGAAGCACATTTGTTAGGTCACATCCTGATGTTGGACAAAACCTGGCTCAGTCTCCACTCTAATTCATCCCGAAGACATTTTTTCAGGTTGATGTCAGGACTTGTGCAGGCCAGTCAAGTTCATTCACACCAGACTCTGCCATTCATGTCTTTATGAACCTTCCTTTGAGCACTAGTCATGTTGGAAGACTGTGTGTTCCTACACATCTCCAAATTAGAGCCATGTACCCCTCTTTCCCATGTACCCCCTCTTTGTATGGATGTCTTCTCATGAGCGATATGCATCGTAGCTTAGTGCTTCTTAGTATGTCTCTCTAAAGCATCTGAATCTTATAGCACAGAAACCAAGTAGCACCTTATGGGTTGGCGACAGAAATGACAAAAGCAACTGGAAGTAAATTTTCACTTACCCATGAAAGATGCAAAGAAACCAGCCAGACAGAGCATATTAGCAGCGAATTAGCTGAATAATCTGAAGAAACCACTGACTGTAGACTGCTGCTGTATGACTGTCATCACATGCTCAATATTAAGCAGCAGTCAATATTCCACAGTAACATGCCCTGGATGATATCATCAGTGGTTAGCAGTTCTGCTAATTCCCCTATTTTTGCTGCTCCTTTTTAACTCTTTTCCAGAGAAAAGAGTTAAAAAGAGTTTTTAACTCTTTTCTCTGGAAAAGATGCTTTGAATGTCCGCCTCCTCTCTCTGCTCCGTTGAGATGCTGCCTTGTTTCCATGGTTATGCATTGTTACAACTCTTTGAAACTAAAAAAGTAAGATAAAAAATTCTGTGCTGAGGGAATAATTATCCAGAAATTTAACTCCTCCCCCAAAAATATGAACAAAAGTCAATAAAATGAATGAATCACATTTAACAGAGATACTCCAACATGCTGCCAGCATGAGTGGAAAAGTTATGGACATGTAGACAATTCAGAAGAAAGAAAAACAGTAAATTCCTCATGTAAAAAATCCTTATGCAGCTCATACTCCTGCTATATGGATGTTTTACAACTGCAACAAAACTGAAAACTGTGGCCAGATTTGATGTGAAAACTTAGGCCAGTGGTGCTCAAGCTCAGTCCTCGATAGCTACCATCCTGCAACTTTTAGCTTCATCTGTACTTCATCTGTACTTCAAAAGACCGGGGTCAGATGGCTGAATCCCTCACCAGCAGTCTTCAAATAAGACAAAATTGGTGTCAAACATTTGTGCTTGTTTGTGCAGCAAAATTTTTTGTTTGTGCCACTATCATTTTCAAGATATAAAGAAATGTTTTTAGAGGTCATCAAAGGTCAACCAGACCCCCCACCTTCTTCGAATCAGACGAAATAGGTGTCAATCAACTCAGCCGTGTTTGTGCTGGTTTGTGCAGCAAGAATTTTCATTTGTGCTGCTTTTTCTTTGAATATATTCATTATAGTTTAAACTTTTTGCTAGTTTTGCTTTGAACATATTACTGAAACCTTAAAGCAGAGAAGCTTCACTTATTCAGTCATAACCAACTCATGATCACAATTGTTTCCAAATGGCTTTTATTTATGTTGATTATCTGCCTTAACAATTCATAGCACAGAAAGGCTGACAGAAAGCATATGTTCTGTTCTTATTTTTTTGTATTTCAAAAGTACAGTTTGTCTAATAGCAAATGAGATGCTAAGATACAGGTCACCGAGATTGTTTTGGGAGGTGATGTACCAACCTATTCATTTTAGATGAGACGTAATTTGAATTGAATTTCGTCCATGTTAAAATTAAATTATTTCTGTTCATTTGTTAGCAACTTATATGGCAATTTAAATGAAATTGAGAGTTTCAGCATGAACAGCTGTTCATTGACCTTTGATTACCTCTTGACACTTTTCTTTTAATATCTTTAAAATGATAGCTGCACAAACGAACAATTTTGCTGCAAAAACCAGCACAAACGCAGCCGAGTTGATTGACACCTATTTTATCTGATTCGAAGAAGGTGGGGGGGCTGGTTGACCTTTGATGACCTCTAAAAACATTTCTTTATATCTTTCAAATGATAGCAGCACAAATGAAAATTTTTGCTGCACAAACCAGGACAAACGCAGCACAAACATTTGACACCATTTTTGTCTGTTTTGAAGAAGGTGGGCTTGACCTGCCTTCACTCAGGTCAAGGCAACCAGTCATTCATTTGATTCAGGTGTTTTGGACCAGGGACGCATCTGAAAGTTGCAGGATGGTACCTCTCATGGACTGGACTTGAATACCACTGCCTTAAGCTGTCACAGTTTTCATCTGAGACTCAGAAAATCCATGTTTCCAGAACATGTTTTCCTTCTCACTCTCCAACCTACCCAGGACATTGGAGGTGTTGACCTGCAGGATGAGCCAGCTGTGCTTCTGCTCAGCATACGAGCCAAAGATGGTGAAGATGGTGCTTTTCTCCCCTGGTTCTGTCAGCAGCTGGTACACATATACCTCCTTGTCTGAGAACTTAAATTCAATCCACGTCTCACCTTCGTTGGTGCTGAACCTGCAAGCACATTACATCTGAATAGATTCTCTCCACTGTGAGAGGGTAGAAGATGTCAAAATGAAATGTTAAATAAAAGAATCAATTATTTATAGACAAACTGAATTGTAGCTAGCTAGCAAACTAGTAAGGGTATGTTAGCAGTGAGTTATTGATAGTTTGGAATGGTTCACAAATGAAACCTTCCAAGCTTTCCAAGTCGCTATTTGCATTGTTTCCCACTTCTCAGTCTAACTTACTTCAGATGTTTGGTGGGGCCTCCCTGTATGATGGCCATCAGGATACCACCATGGTCCCCCCAAGTGTAAAAGTGAGGGCCTGCCAGAGCCTGAAAGGAATGAAAAGTGACCTATGTATAAATATACACATTATATGCACAGCTCATTGTGCTGGGCAGCACAATGACCCCAGATTGTATGGGATAGAAGAAGAGTGTGGTTGGCATTTACTCTAAATTTCAGGAGTTCGTGCTGGTAATAATTTTTGCTTTGCAGAGTCCAAGAATCTTGAACAAAGTGAATACAACCCCAGATTTGGGCTGAAACAATTAATCGAATTGTGATGAATTGATTATTAACCCTCATGCGGTCTTAATGCAACAGAAAGGTACGTAAGAAGAAAGACATACTTCTTTAGAACAAATCTACAAAATATAAAATTGCATCTTCCTGTGTCTTACATCTGAACATGTAGTGACTGGCAGCAGTCACTACATGACTGCTGCCAGTCACTACATGTTGGCATTTTGGATCATTTCAGCATATTTGGCATATTTATTGCCAGATATGCTACCTGTGTCTCAGCTGTGTTGTTCCTGATATTATTATTCCTCATATTATTTTGTACTGACCTCTTTCCACCGGGCTCCAGCACTGCTTGATATGTACACATTGGGCTTGTTGGCTAGATTCCTGCCAATAGATCCTGCAGCCAGACAACAAAAAAGGTTTCACACAGTGACAAACCCACACAGAGTCATAGGCACAGTCTCTGGGAATTTCCCCCCAAACATTTCGGGTTCTTCATTACTTCTGGTTTCAATTTGGCAGATGGGAAATCATATGTTGTACTTTTAGCAGATTGAAAAAGAAAAATGATTAATCAATGAAGCAATAATTAACAGAAGACAAAAAGTAATAAAAGTAGGGATCCACAATAAATCAGTACTGATCAGAATCAGAATATATTAATCCTCTCTTAACATATCAGCATCGGTTTGATGAATAAAACTGAACCAATATTTAAACCAAATATTTATTTTCATCTTGTGCAGGAGTGAGGAGGGGATGTGTGGGTGGGGCTGGGGATTTGGGGGGCTAAGTCATGTGACAGCGGTAGTGAGCAAAGGACTGTGGGGAGTTTCACTGGAACAGAGAAACAGTGGTGAAGTCAGTGTAGTTTGGAAGTTTTTTCAAGGTGTCAAAAGAATGAATTATATAATATACTTCAATGACAATTACCGATATATAAATAGGTGAATTTCAGTTATCTGCCATAACAGCAATATTTATATCGGTAATTGAAATTTGCCCATGTTTCCACATTAGTTCATCCCCAGTGCTTTTTCCTGGACCTATTACACCTGGACCTATTACACCTGAGATATTACCTATTACAATCTCAGATATTGAATGGATGAACTAAAAAAAGGTTAGTTAAGGTATTCAGTTTGATTTCCAATTTACCCCAAACTGCTCTTGGTCTTAATGGCCACTAATGCCAGTCGATGAATATTCCACTGTCCTGTCCAACACGACATAAGTCCTGTTGAAATATTTTTTCTAGAAGGTGCTAAATGGGGGGAATGTATTCCTAATTTGTCATTTTGCTCAGCTGAATGGTTGCCAGGGGAGATTAAAGGATTTCTTATGTTTCTGATGAGGGATTAACATGATGTAAAGCTAAAACAAAGTCAATTTTACATATTACTGCCCCTTTAATTATTACGTTTCTTCATATGAAAATGTGGGCCAACTTCTGCTGTGGTGTTCCTGTAAGTCTCCATTTATTGGCTGACTTATTGGCACCGACTTTCATAACTTTGGGGGATTGGTGATCGACAGATACCTTCATTTGAAGACAATCTTATCCCGTGATCCCATCTAGTTCAGCAGAGGTTTAAAAATTAGCCACTGTCCTGCTCTGTGTAGTGAGAGAGGGATGACATACAAACCTGCCCCTCAGGTCAGAATGTATTTTATAAAGTGAAAGATTTCCTAAGTACATAGAAAAGGTGTTTTATGTATCTGAACCCCCAGCAAAGGTAGTCTTGGAAACTCTGGAGAGATCCACAGATCAAGTGTGCTCTGTAAATCTGGCTTTTATGGATGAGGCTATATAAATCATAGTTGAAAAAAAAAAAAACGGATTATCAAACTTGATGTTTGCAAAAAGCCATGTAGGAGACAGAAAACATGTGGAAGAAGCAGCCTGGGTGATTGGGAGTGTAGCAGGATTTTCTAATGTCTGTAATGCTCTGGCACTCCCACCTGTGGCCATGATAAGACCTGGAGCCGACTCTTTGGATAGAATGGACATCCTCCTCAACTGGATGTTAAACAGCTGGCTCCAGCGCTGGGCCAAGTGGAGAGAGCAACCTTTACTGAGCTGAGGGAGGAGAAACTGAGGGAAGTCAGACAGAATGAGGAAACAGGAGGACTCTATGCAGAAAGTAGGTGTTTTTCTATATTCTTTTCGGAGGAGAATATAGAACAACAACTGCAATACTGCAAGACAGACTAATGCAGTATTTTCAGATTTTACTGCTTGCTTTTTTAGCTTTTAAGGCAGGGGCCTGTGTTCTGCAACTTTTAGATGTCTCCTTGGTCCAACACACCTGAATCCAACAGCTGAATCACTTCCTAAATGCAGTCAAGTTCTCCAGAGTTCTGCTAATGAACTCATTATTTGACTCCTGTGTTGAAGTAGAGATACATCTGAAAGTTGCAGGTGACCAGCCCTCGAGGACCAAGAGTGTCCACCCCTGTTTTAAGGGAACACATAGAAAATCCAGTATTTTTTAATGAATATTTTTGCATACTTTGAGTGCTTATGAGTTAAATAAATGTAAATATATTTTCTCTCTGTGCTCTATAAATATCTTTATATTCTTTTTGGGTTATATTTTTCAGTCGGTTCATTTTTCTCGATTTGCTAAAATGTTTTTTGTTTTTTTCTAAGACGTCACCAAATTTGCTATTGAACTGCTAGACAAGGTTATTACTTCTGGGTAATCATTTTTGTCAATTTGCCACGTGTTTCTTTGCACCAATTTTGTAGTAAAACTTCAGCTGTCCCAAATTTGGAAGTAATGATGTCAAAATGTTCTTTTGGTACGTGTATTAACACACACAGGTCCTTACGTTGCCTCCAGCCTCTTTGAGGTGTCTGGATAAATTACTTTTATTTATCCAGACAATGTATGTAGCTAAGCGGAAAAAGTCAGTCTGCACTGAGTACTCAAGGATGAGTGCTTCAGCAACCTCTGTCAGTATCAAAGTGGATTTTTCCAGACTTTGTGTGATTGAGGGTCAGTTCCTTTTCCTTTCTAACACCAGGTACACTGCAGTCGTAAGCTGCTAAAAACACTAAAATGACAGCAAAGCTTATTTTAGACATACATTTTTTGTGTTGATAATAATGTTGTGGCCATTGATTCATGTAACAAGGTGCCCTTTTGCTGCTTAATTTTACAGTGAGGATGAAAAGTTGAGGCAGAGTCAGGTGGAAACACCAGTGGTTTATTCTTCTCACAGCATCAAGAACAATTTCACAGGTGAAACTGAGCCTTAAATAGTCCCAGTTGTGATGGACCAAACCAACTTTAATTCACAGGGCAATCTCAATTCACCAATCTCTACTTAAATAAATTACCTTTAACTAAATACAAACATTTCCACTTAATTTTAATAAATGTTTTATGTTTTATCATTACACCATAATGAAACACCACAAACCCATAAATAATCCGCCCTCCCCCACTTCCACCACCACTTTTCAATATCCTCTCCTAGAGTCTATAAATGGTGTCTGGACTCCCAGGAAGTATTTGTCCAAATACCCTGGAGAGGACACAGAAAAGATAGGTGAGTCACTTCATATTAGCACTCCACACTTACCCACCAGTAGCTACTTGCTCTGAGTAAGAATCATCCTCCCTTCACAGGCAACCACCTCACTTCTCAATGACTTTAACGAGGACGTGTTATGTATTTTTAGGAACATGTAATTTTATAGCAGTCTTGTAACCATATTTAGTTATGAAAATTCTGTATATGACCTAAAACATTTTAGTTTTTAATGTAATACCTTGAAATTGGGTTTTTCTGCTCTTTCTGAAACTCCACCTTCAAGTAGTCTTCACAACAAGGCTCCTCTATTAACGTTTTTACCGGCATTGCTCTGAAAAGTAGGTCTTATAAGGACCACAGCAGATGTGCAGTTCTACCAGGTGTTTGCTAATTGCTTCTGGCTCGTCTGCCTGTGTTGTTTCTCAAACAACACAGGTATGTTATTGATGAGCGAACATTGTGACATGATATAAAAATTTAAGTCAATTGTACATAATACTGCCACTTAAAATAATTAGGAAACTGTTCTTAATAATAATAATGTGGAGTTTTTTTTTTTTTTCAAGGGACAAAAAACAAGCTCCAGGTGCTTCCCATACCTGGCAGTCCACTGTTCCTCCCAGGCTGTCGGCAGCAGGTGCCTGCAGCAGCTCCCACGTCCCCCCCTTGTCAAATGTGATGACCGAGCGCATGTTGTCCTCACTGACCGAGCCGTTGATGAGCGTGGCAATGAAAACGCCCCGGAGTCCCTCCACCCGATGCAGGTCTGCAAACGGTTCGTTGGCAAAGTACCTGAAAGTCAGCCGAGCAACAGGAAGCTAGCTTAAAGAAATGGTCAATCAGAGGCATTGTTAAATTAACATGCATAAATTCAGCTGACAAATATCTGAAATGGCCTGCTCCAACAACACAGTACATATAGCACTGATTTGGTTAGCAGAGGAAAGGCTGTCAGAGACATTAAATGAATCATCAGGAAGGATCACACCTGAACCAACGCTGGCTATTCCTCTCAATGAAGTTAAGAGAAGACAGCAAATCATCAATAAATGTGAGCAGGCTGAGACTTCACATCAAATAACAGTTTTAGTGTTTCTATTGGATAAGGAAGCACATGCTCTCCGTGTTTGGACGGCCTTTGTTTTGTCACCGTTACCAAGCATCTGCTTGCAGAGTTGGAGGCTGTCCTCAGAGTCCCACAGGTTACTATAGTAACGACATTACTACTGGTACAATACGGTTGCTGTTGGATAGCACAGCAAGGTCACAATGGGTTCTGTTTAATGTTACTATATAAAATACTAGCAATGTATGTGTTTCACTGTTATCCAATGACACAAATGATTTCATCAAGTTTTACCCACTTTGTTGTAAATGACAACCTTTGACCAACAGCTGCACAAATGGAATGACTTTTTTTTTTCAGGCTTTTTTCTGCAACTGTAGCCACATAAGTTTAATGTTTTATGTCATGAGAAATATGGCACGTAACATGAAAATAGGTTTTCTGGAAAATTTAATTTGAGCTTTCCAGTACCAAATTGAGAAACACTACCCCACAAAGTATTCATACCCCTTAGGGAATCAGGAAATAGAACTTGATTCTGAAATAGAAGAAAAAAATTGGGCAACACTTTTTTTGATGGGTTGTGAATAAGACTGTCATGACTCTGTCATAACCATGACATAACACCTGTCATGAATATTAGTAAGTTTTTATGAATATTTATGACTGTTGTCATAAAGTGTCATTAGGTAAATCATGACACTTTAAATACAAAGTTGAGATTATTCAAAATGTCTTTGTTATGACAACTAGACATTAACCAAGAAATCATGGACATAAATTTGTTCTAAAAGTCAAATGTAATGACCGAGCACATGTTGTTCTCACTGACCGAGCTGTTGATGAGCATGGCGATGAAAACGCTGATTAAAATTTAGTTTTAATAACATAAAGCTACATAATTTTTAAAGTTTAACTATTTTCACATATCTGACTGAATGCAAAGACTGAGTTGGGAGGGCATGGCCAGCAGCAGGTCTTTGCATAATCCTGACATTGTGCTAAAATAGCGGATTCCTAAATGAACTCAAAACAGGAAGAGCTGACCTGATGAAATCTCAAAATCTGAGAATAATTTTCTGTATTAAGAGTAATGAATATGTTTTGTATAGGCCACTGACCTATTCCAGGTTGAATCTATCCAGGCATAATCTTGGATTTAAAATGCTAAAAACAGTTATCATCAAGCAATCCTATTTACAGACTACTTTAAGTTGAAAGTGTATTATCAATGTGAAATTCTGAAAATGTTTAATCAAATCAGACAAATTTTACTTAATAAACAATTTGAGTCACCTGTCAATAAAGGTGACTAAATCTGAGAGTGTGTGTGCATGCGTGCGTGGGCGAGTGTGTTTGTGTGTTTGCAGTACCGAATAAGTGTGTTGCTGCCTGAGCCCCCAGGACTGTAGTAGAGCACATTCTCAAGTGACAGAGAGAAGGACAGCCCCTGTGTGTCTGAGATGTACAGGTGTGTGGCATTGTTTGTGTGGTTCACACAAACAAACACCTGGTCCTCCGATGCATCCGCAATGTAGTACTCCTGTTAGATTGGCGAGGGAAGCAGCAGATCACTTAGAGTTTATAGAGTCACGTCTCACACACATGCATGGCCTAAAGCACAGTGAACATCACTGACTAGCACACCAACACAGTGATGTTTAAACTGAACTTGATCTATACCTGCAACAATTGTCCCACAGTTGCATCTCTGTCTGATTTTTTAGAAATAGGAACGACCCTGTTTATTTTAAAACTCACTGTGATTGGATGCCGGGTCATGAACTGGGCAGCTTTCATCGGCTGGCGGTTGTAGGAGACCCAGAGCTGAACAGATGATGGGTTATGACTGCCCAGCAATCTCTGGGAAGGTCAAAGAGAAAGGAGATGGAAACGTTCATTGAACTTCTCCTCCATATAGGGTCCTATATCAGGAACTTTCAACTAAATCACCCAACACAAATTCAAAACTCTTCCTTACAATAAAAAAAAGAGAGTACAACATCTAAAACCAAGTCATCTACTGATATTTTAGAAACTGCATTTTGTCTATAAAAATCTGATATATGGTGGTGTTATGGCAAAAGAAACGTAAATTTTTGTAAGTACCATGACTTATTTATTAAGTCATGGTACTTAGTAAATAAGTACCATTTACTAATCTGCTGGATTTTGGCTTCCATTTTCAAACCACCAAGTATGCTCCAATATGAAAATTTTGGGCTGGAATTTCGTTCCACAACCAGAAAAAGGAGCCTTATTTAATGACGGTACAGACATATCCTCATGCATGACATAGTAAATTTCAAGTTGGCAATGAATTATGTTTTATTCCATTCTTTATTGGCAACAACATCTATATTGTTATGTGGCTGCCATCCTTAACAAACACATTACAAATGAGAATGTTTTTCAAGAGAAGTGTTTGTATTTCTGGCATTACCATTGCCGTGTCATGCAGTGAGAGGAAGAAAGTTACCTTAACAATATATGACACAGGAATAAATCATTCTTATCATCACTTTTAGCGTTATCACAACAGTGCCATGAAATATTGGAATAAATCTTTAAGTTCATATCACCCATTCCCAGTATTGGCAGATGTCTTGTCAGTTTGGTATCGATCTGATAATTAAAAATGTGCAAATGATAATAGCACATTTTGGGAATGTGACAGGGATAGCGATGCAGCAAAGGTTTATGGGAATATTAACTGAAGCAGAGAGGCATTGTCAGTGGCGTAATAGGTATATATAAAATATATATATATATATATATATATATATATATATATATATATATATATATATATATATATATATATATATATATATATATACACATTTATGTTTTTTTCTCAGAAAGCAACATATCAGGTTCTGCTCTAAAATAATTTAAGAGCAGCTGAGAAAACTGACATATACATGCTTATTCCACTGAAAGCCATTTCACAGACTTTCAGCAGAAACGTGAAAGAAAATACCTTATTACAGGACTCTACATTTTTTGTGGCTAAAATACATGAGATACACATGACAGTGTTTCAGATAATATGGAAATACCAAAGTTGTCCAAGCTAAAGCCATGTAGAAGTGAATCTCCTGTCTACAGTAAGCATGACAAAAACAATCAGTATCTCTCACAGCTCCTGAAACACAGCTGACAGTAGTATTTGGTAAGATTAAAACATTGGATGTTCTCCACATATTATTTTCTCAAGATCACCAGATGCTTGTGTATGTTTGTTATACTGGATTCCATCTAAAAAGGCATGTATCTGAAGGACAACTTATCTCAAGAAAATCACGGGGAAAAACAATATGCGGAAAATGTCCACTCTCGGTCCACTCTCGGTTTTTATATTTCTCAATTTTAGCACTTGGAATTTTTTTTCTAGCAGTTTTTCTGACAGTCTTTGATGTAAAAGACCTTTTTAAATGACTTCTCAGATTGCCTGACGGTTAATGGAAACATGATGGAGGCCTGTCAGAGTTTTGTGGATGGGACACTAGGCTCCTCCCACTTACCCGTGTGGTTGTAGCAAACATGTACTTGTCTCTCAGCTGGAAGCTGTCCACCTGCTCCAGGATCACTTTCCGGTTCTCTTCGCTCTGGAAGAAATCGGTGCTGCTTAGTACAGTGGAAACACCTTGTGGCTCGTGTCTCTGGACCAGTACCATGGTGGAGGGGTCGTAGGGCTCCACACCCCTGAGACGGGGAGGAGAACACGGAGGATTGAGAGAGACAAGGGACAGAACAGGGGGAGGAAGGAGATAAGAAAATAATTCAAATCAGCTTTTCTGTTCTCCAAACTAAACTTTTCTGAAATGTTTTTTTCTTTTGAAAGCCTGAAATTTTTATTGATTTATTTATTTCTGTTGAGCAAAGGTTTGAATATTTCTCATTTCCTTTCCCCTTCATAATAACTGAGGGGGATCTTACCAGTGTTATGATTACGATGGAAATCTCAGCAACATATATACACAAAATTAAATCTGACAGACTGGACTGCACATAAAAAACATTATTATGTCGCATTTAGAATAGAATAGAATTTATTGTTTGCACAGATACTTCATAGAGAGATTTTCAGTCGACGTCATGTTGCCTCATCATCTACTCTGAAGTGCATGTTGGATTCAGAACGCAGCCAAGAGTACATGATTCTAACTATCCATCCATCCATCCATCCATTTTCTAATCACCCTTCTCCCTAACGGGGTCGGGAGTTGCTGGTGCCTATCTCCAGCTGCATTCCGGGCAAGAGGCGGGGTACACCCCGGACAGGTCGCCAGTCTGTCGCAGGGCATTATTCTAACTATTTAAACTATTTATATTCAGGCTAATAAAACAATTTACAACTCACCAGAAACGCAGGTCACCTCTTTTCACCCCTCGCCACCCTCACAAGCAGCTCTGCGGTGTCCACAGTAGTCAGAGGTTTGATTTATAGCACATCGTCTTTGCATTTTTAATTTCTGAAGGCTCAGTTTTAACACCAGCCTTGATGGATGCAACTACATCCACATTTTCCCTCTAATTGTGACCACAGTACGCAGAAATTACTGTATTTTATTTGCCCTATTACGTTGCTCTTATTGCTCAACATGTATGTTTTGTCTTATGTAGAGGGACTTGGCATATCTCATTGAGAGCTGATAACTTTACTATAAACAAATTGCTTTAATATTGCTAGTAACCAATGTCTGAGACGATTGGGCCATGTTTTTCATTTATAGACTCATCTGCATTTAATACTTAAGGGCCATTAAAACGCATCTCATTCAATAATGTCAATTTGGTAGAATAACTTATTTTATCACTGTGATAAACAGTTGTAGTATGCTGACAAGTCAAGTTGCATGTGTATCTGCAACTTGATTTGTTGTATATAAAAGCCAAGTTGCAACAAATAATCCAAAATAATAATCCCTCTTAGAACAAGCACTTTGGAATTCTTGAGTGTTTCTCCAATTCAAGAACAACAAAAGTTTAAAAGTAGAGTAGACATAGCTTAAATTTCACTATAGAAATAGTCATTAATATTGCACTTTAAAACTATCTATTTGCAGTTGAAGTACTGAACACATTTTAGGTAGTAGCAATATTTATTGATTCAGTCCAAATGTATTTCATTCCAAAAGGTAAATTAAATGTCATAATTTATAACTTCAGAGTTATAGATGGTGATGCCTGACCTGGAAGAATTTCCTCCAGCAGTTAAGTCTTACAACCAATCTGAAGAGACCTCTGACCCACACAACTGTCCCATATTTACTGGAAGCTGTTTTTGTTGTTGTTGTTGTTTTTTTCTTTTTTACCTCAGTGGCCAACTTTCTGTTTCCATCTAGCTAAGAGAGTGAGTCGAGTAATGCTGTTGTTTAATGCATGTAAACTGAGCAAAATGATGACTAATACCAATATATCACGTTACGTTCATTAACAAGGACAAGCTACTAGTATTGTTATCTACAGTAAGTGCAAAAGTGGGTAGTACTGGTTACATTTACTTGAGTATCATTTTTTTTCAGGGGGATGGTACTTATAAGAGCAGTTTTACTGCACTGTACTTTTTTTTTTACTAAAGGAATATTATTATTGCTACTCTTGAGTAGATTGATTTTACATTTTAAAAACTAGACTTCAGAAATAGGAAACAACAGATTCTTAGATTTCTGCAACATATGAGCTAATGTTTATGCAAATTTGGGTATAATTACTGAACTTTTTATACATGTCACTGTTTACATGCTTATTGTTTATTTTGTACTAATAAACGATTATTTTATTTGAAATGTTACATAAAGGTTTGTTTATGTATTTATATTCAAGTAAAAGCTAGTTTAATCCTAAAACCTAGCCCCCCTTCTAAAATAAACCAATATGCTCACTGCTACATTCCTCCAGAATCAAGTTTGTTCCACAGCAACATGTCCTGAATGACATGTTATTGTCATTCAGGGTTAGGGTTAGGGTTAAAATTGTTGTTAGCAGCTTATAACAGCTGCTGCTGTTGTTAGCAGCTCAGCTAAGCCACCTCATTTGCTTTTGCTGCCCCTCTATAAACCTCTCTATTACAAAGTCAGAGATATGATTGTTGTCCAATTTAAATAATGGATGAGATACTTTCATTGTCCTCATTCTCTCTGCATCCATGAAACCTTTTCACCACCTTTGAATTTTGGGGTTCAGGTATAATGTGAGCTTTTGAGATACTCATCAGTTACTCCTAGTCAGGCCTATCACAATAATAAATTTTGATAGACAACAAACTGTCCCAAAATTATTTCCATTAAAACAAAAATATTGTTTTAAGGCCATTTTCAAGTAAAATATAGATAATGGCATAATAGTGTAAGTTCACTCTCTAAAAGACTAATAAACATAAATTTAGATAAGAAGACTAACCACAGTAACTGGAAGATACTTTAAATAAAATTACCCTTCAAAACATGTTAATCATCGGAATTATTGAGCTCATTCTAATTTGCCTTGTGATTATTTGATTAATTAATTAGTGCAACAGGATTATTCCCAATTGTAAAAAAATAATATATATATATATTTTTTTTTTTTTGCCATGTTTACTCGTCATTAATAAAGTAAGGAGAAAGATTATTCCAGCGGCACTTCATCAAAAGCCAGAAGGAATAATTGTTCAAACATGCAACATCTTTTCATTTTCAGAATTAATCAGGTAAAAGAAAATCAGATTCTAGTGATTGACCTGGTAGACCCATCCCCATCTTCTCATGCCTTTCTTTCATATCAAAACACAGCAGCAAGACAGAATCTGCACAAAATTGTCAGCAAAGACAGAATAATAGGTTTGAGCAGATTGGCTGGAGCACAAATTATCCTGTATACCACCACATCCAAGCCCTTGTTTCTGGAAGGTGGTTCCAGATTCTTGTTTCATTTTAATTTTGTGTCATCTCCAATTTTAAGAGTGTACAAGGTCAGAATCTGGTCCTGCTCCTGTGAGGCTGCTCTGTTTCTCTGATGTTGTTCTGGACTGAAGTGGTCACACTGTCAGACACAAATTAAGCAATGTTGATATCCTTGTGGCTAGGAGCTCCCAGCTGCTGGTTTAAAACGGTGGCAGCCATGCCTAAATATTCCTTTATTTGCTATGCTTGTTTTGTTTTCTTTTCCAAACAGTTAGGATGCTTTAATATTTCAGATGTGTTAAATTAGAAACTAAATTCTGTCCTATAACACTGCTAAACCACACCAAGAGTCTGGACCTCAAATTCTTTTTTTGTATATTTGTTGACATTTACAGTCTAGAAAATTTTCTGAAGAAAAAAGTTAATTTGCCATTTTCTAACCAGGAACACAAGGCTGTATGTGGAGTTTTTTGTAGCCACCAGCATGCTACAGCCGCTCGGCTCGCATGAATGAAGGTGGTTTGTTGCATCCTATCAGCAGCTTTCCAAAGCAGGCTGTTTTCCTCTGCAGCTTGGAGAGATGAACAGAAGGACCAGTGTGTCGCCTGGGCTCTGCCTCTCTGGCCTCCTTTCAAAGCTCCCATTTCAACTTGCTGACGATGTCTGGACTCTATCTGCTCCTTCCTCTGGACTAATCCCTGGGTGAACACTCAGAATGTCCTCCCCTCTTTTGGTTGTTTTTATGTTCACCTGAGTCAACTGCATTTTAATGGCTTCCTGGCAGATTTTCGAGAATCCCAAAGCAATATTTTTAGAAGGCATCAGCAAAAAGAAATTTTATTAAAGTCACACTGAACAGCAATTACATGACGTTGATCGACAACGCCAAGACTCTTCTGGCTCTGATTTTGGCGCATTTCTTCAGATAACCGTAATATCTCACGGAGGAGATAGAGGAGATTGATCTTTTCATAGATTATCTGTCTCTTAACAAACTGCCATGACATCATGATAGTTTGAATAAATATGCAAAAAAACATATTTATACTGAAACTGGGTCTCCAGTAAAATGGAGTACACCATAAAAGTATTGTGACTGCGTTGAGAACAACACTCTTTGTTGTGGACAACACTACAGAGGAAAACGAACAAAAGTTTGCTATTAAGCAGAAGAACAACTTTTGAAAAGTTATTCATATTTTCTATGATATGCCAAAACATTCAAGGTTTTTGAAAAACTCAGATGATGCACATTTTCAAGAAAGGTATAACATGAGAACTAATTTTTTTTATTATTATTATTGCTGGATGCATCAAACTGAACATTTGGGCCAATATTGATAGCCGATATAAATATTGGATGTTAAAATTGGTCCATCTTTATATATCAGACCAATATCAATGTTACTGTAGATAAACCTTGCATCCCTATCTGCTCCCCATGCTAACCATGTTAGCAGCAAATTAAACTGAACTCCTTTGTTGTCATTGTACAGTAAAGAGTTCCAACTCCCTATATTAAAACTGATATGGAAAAGAAACAGAAGAAACATTTAAGAAAAATTTAAGCCTTTCATCATCTACGTCAGCAACATGGTCCCCACGGGCACTCGGTCGCACGAGAAGACCTTGTCAGTTGCTCACGGAGCAACTGAAAATAGTCATTGTCATTAGGGCGTAAAATTCGTCTTGATTAAAGCAGAACTCACAAATACACTCAAGGGGAATCTTGTCACAGGAAATTCGATAAAATGTGTTACATAATTTAATTTGATAAACATAAATATCCAACCTCTCAATAATTTATAGATTTTTAGCAACAACGATTTATTTACAAAATCACAAAATTAAGAATTAATCAGTTATCCTGATATATAGATGAGTAACCAAAAAAACCCTCAAAAATAATTATAGGTCAGATTTAAATCACTCGGTTTGAGTCAGCAACCAAATTTAAATAATTCATTGTTCAAATATTTCTGTTCCTTTTTTAATGACAATTTTTTGGTAAAACAGTCCCATATCCTTGATAATCAAAACATCTTGGAAGCGTCTCTCCTTTTAATCCAAAGTTTCAATCCAAAATTAAAAAATTCAAAACGTTAAACCCCCCCAAAAAAAGATGAGAAAAAAGAGTGGTACCACCGAAAAAACCCTCAAAGAAAAGCAAAGTCTAGATCTCACTGTGAGCGTCTTTCTTTCCCCTGGGCGTCGTCCTCCTCGCACTGGTGGCGTCTTCTTGGACCGGGCAGTGTTTCCTGGGTGCAAACTCCAACCCAATCGTAGTGCAACATCTGCGGCGCTGGGGCGATCTTTGATCGTAGTTTTAAGTCTTTTCTTAGAATTTTTACTTGTTTTAAACTTCAATCGAATCAAAAAACCCGCTGCACAGATCTGATGCGCGACTTCCTTGCTGATTGCACCGCTGCACACCGACGCACATGCCCCTTTTCAGTCAATAAATTTTACACCCACCTGAATCGAACATGTTTATTTACCCAAATCAGTTTTTAACAGTGGAAATTTCAAATAATTTTAACAATAAAATCACAACTGTTCTACAAGACAGTTTGCTACTTTTACTATTTAAAATATGTATTCAAAAAAAACAAACATAGTGGTTAGTTTACTGCTAAAGAAAATCCATCTCTCTTTGGGCTGTCACCTTATCATAGTGGAGGGGTTTGAGTGTCCCAATGATTGTAGGAGGTATACTGTCTGGAGCTTTTCTGTCCCCGATAGGGTCACTCAAGGCATACAGGTCCTAGGTGAGGGACCAGACAAAGCGCAGCTTGAAGACCCCTCTGATGGATGAAAACTTTCGATTTGGTGCTCCCTCACCCAGACATGGGTCACCGGGACCCCACCCTGGAGCCAGGCTTGGAGGGGGGCATGATGGCAAGCGCCTGGTGGCTGGGCTTTTACCCATGGAGCCTGGCTGGGCTTATCCCGAAGAGGAGACATGGGGCGCCCCTCCAATGGGCCCTCCATCTGTGAGAGGGGCCAAAAGGCCCCACCCTGACAGTTTATGTTGGTTGTTTTTTGTTCATGAACTTTTTTTGGGGGGTGTCTTGAAGCCGCCCTTGAGGGGGGGTTATTGTGAGGATTTGAGTTTTCTTTGTTTTTATTTTAGGTTTCTGTGTCTATTGAGTCTCCGTGTTGTCCTGTCTACCCCTTGATAGTTTCCAGCCACGTCTCATTCCCTGATTACCCTCTGTGTGTTTAATTCCACCCGTGTTCCTCATCGGGTCCTTGTCTAATCTATTGTGTCAAGCTGTTGTCGTGAAAAAACAAACTATTTCCAAGCACTATTCAGATAAAATCACTCAGTCAGGTTTATTCATGAACTGTGCACAACTTAGAGAGCTCATAAGACAATCAGTAATGAAGTAAGTCTGGATGCAAAGCTCTGCCAGGCAGAGACTACACATAAGTTATATACAAAGTTAAATGATCCAAAGCATGGGAAACAGTCGTGGTTCCCATGCAGCTCTGCGAAACAACTTCCAACCTTGTACATGTAACCCAAATAACATTATTGTGGTGGGACCATACAAGAACTAATACAAAACATTATTAGTTCTTATAATAACTAATAATAAGGTAACAACTAGCAGATCTGACCTTATTAAATTTTTTCCACCACACTGTCCTGCTGTCTGTCGCAGCAGATGTTTGTCCTGTTACCAGTTGCTACCAGCATTGAGCATTAGCCTTCCGCTCATTCTGTACTGCCTGGATTTTGGATTTGTATTCATATCATCATTAAAAACATCATTCTTTCACTCCAACCTGGGTCCTCAGCATCATCCTCACCACCTTTTCACTGCACTTCATGACAAAATTGGCAGATTTCCATTGAGAAAATGTATTTTCAAAAAGTAAAATTTCACGAGTATACAGTCAATGGTAATGCAGCTACTGTCACATGACCAAACTAATAACACATGACCAACCCTTTCTCCTCTGCCTCCAAAAGCAAATGGCGACAAGATGGAAATAAATATTTGTTGTTAATATTAGCCCATTTTGATTTATGGGGACGAATTACAATGTTGTACCAATATGTCAATATCAATTTATAAAGCACATAAAAACAACCACTGTTGACCCAAGTGCTGTACAATTCAATGAAATAAATCAAGAAAACAAAAATAGGAACATGACAAATACATATAAAATTAAGGTTAAAAGAAAATACAAATATAATCCTTAACTGTAATAAAAGAAACTAAATCCATGTTTAAATCAAAACAGCTTTAAAACAACGTCACAGGGCAAAGATTTAAAGTCTCAACAGTCTTGGCAGTACGTACAATTTGTGTTCCTAAAGTTTAGGAGCACAAATTGCAAAAGTCTAACCACCTCTTAATTTCAACCTACAGTAAATCTCAGAACATCTAAGAGAAACTGGCTATTTGACTCAAACACTCTTTCTGCAGAGTATATGTTTAGATCACAGAGATATGATGAGCCAATCCTTTTGGGATTTAAAAATTAAGCAATGAACTAAATCCTACAAATAAACAGGCTTTTTACCTGGCAAAAGACAGTTGTGCATCCCCGATAAATTTAGTGGATTACATGATAAAATTCACATAATTGGTGGTGAAACTGAAAATACAAAGACGTGAGCTTGATTGTAATGCACAATCAACCCCGTCATCTGAATAATCAGGAGCAGAATGGCAACTTGGTGTCATCTTTTACATTGTTCAACGTAGCAAACTAATTGTCCTCATTTATCCCTCTTCAACTCTTTCAGCCATGAGAGCATGACATATAATGCTGGTACTGACATAACTATCAAGATGTTGTTACATTCCATTGATATTTTCTGGGTGAAAGAATCTCCTCTCTCTTGTTTTCACTGTAAATCCAGAGAACATACCACAGAGCCCAGAAAACTCCTCCCATTCACATTATGTTCACCCTCCTCAACATGAACAGAGACAGCTGTTGTCTTACCAAAAGTAGGTCTTCACGTGTTCCTGGATCAACACCCACGTCTCCCCAAAGTCGTCTGACTTCCACAGCTATGGAGGTGAAGGTGGGTGAGTGAGGCAGGGAAGGAGTAGAAGCAGAAAGAGGGGGATGGTGAATTAAAAAAATGTAGGTCAGACTCATGGCTATGCTCCAGCTCACACATATGACAAGGAGAACACTGGAAATGCTTGTGGTGTGCATAAGACTGACAAGATACTGTCATAAACAAGACATAACACTTGTCATGAACATGATTAAGTCTTCATGAATATTTATGACTATTGTCATAAAGGGTCATTGGGAAATTATGGCACATTTAATGCAAAATTATTCAAAATGTTTTTGTTGTGACAATTTCACATTAATCAAAAAAATTAAGAACTGTCATTAATTTAATATACAAATTTGTTGTAAAACTAATCGATTAAAAAAAATTATCTGACTTCATGTGGTAATATTATATTGGTCTGCCATTATGTTTAGTCTTAAATTTCTTAATTTAATTGATCCTAAAGTTTTACAACAAGATGTCTACAAAGCACTTATGAACTTGGCTCTGAACGAGACAACTCTGACGGGTTCGGAACAAACAAAATTGGTGTCAAAGGTTTGGGCAGCGAAAATGTTCCATTTGTGCACAGTTGTGAAGAAATTAATAAAAACGTCTCCAGAGGTCAATAAAAATTAATGTTGGAACTGTCACTTAAAAATACTAAGCGCTGAACTATGAACATAGATTCATTTTTATAGTTGAATGTATTCAACTATGAATATCAAATGTTTGCATTTCAAACATTATTTAAGACTGTTTTAAGTTGTACAAAATAGATTTTCTCCCTCCAATTTTAATCTAGCAGATTAAACGCTAATATGTTAGTCAAAGTTATCTTTTATGTGCATTATTTATGAACTTGGCTGACATAATATGGTGCTTTCATTCTTTGCTTTGCCAATTTTACCCACATCAAGACCCATTTTAATGAAGACATGCTACAAGTGTAGAGGATGCTAATGAGGACCAGTCACCCAAAAAAAGTCCCTGTTTGACCAAAGAGAAAGAAGCAGATGAAATATTCCCCAAGAAAATTAGGTAAGTCACTTTGTGCTACTATTTTCTCCAGGTGAAGGGAGGTGGGAGGAGACAGGTAAGTGGAGAAGGGGAAGCGAGAATCAGCTTCCATCAGCTGAATTAACAAGTTACGTTTTAGACAACTAATTGTTGTCAAATGTAAAACTGGTGTTGAATCTATTTATTTATTAATAAACTTCTTGCAAACATCCATAAGCAGCAGTGTAAAGCCCTGACTGAATGAATAGCCTTATCATTATAAGAGTTGCATGCGGTCAAGGGAGGCATCATGGAAAAATAATACATAATGATAAAATAATTTCTATTTCTATAATTGCTATTTTCACCCTGTGGTTTTTACTATGCAGTGGTCACCAAACCCCGGGCCCACAGTTCAAGCCCACTCTGCATGACATGCAGCCACCGGCTCGCAATGGGGGAATGAAACTTTCAAACTGCTTCTCCACTTAGAGACTGTGAGCACCCTGTGCATATGCAACACACCTCGGGTGTTATTGTCTAATCACTCCCAGATGGGACCATCTTGTTGCAGAAAACATGCTCAGAGCTACTATTAATTTGCTGTTGTCGAGAGTTACATTTTTCATAAAAATAAAATGTTTGTTTTGTGCCGCATCACTTAATTGATGCGGCACAATTGTTTTGAAGACGTAAACGTTACGATAGCGATGAGAAAGCATTAGGGCAGTGGTCGAGACGAGTCGAGAGGAATACTGGCTTGTGAGTTTAAGTCTTCTTCCCCCTGTAAATTAGCCAGACTGAGCAGCCGACAGCCAACTAGTTTGACAGGGCACATCTGTTATCGGTCGCTCCTTCTCTTTATTACTACTTGCATCTGTTATCGAACCAGGTTGGTTTTCGTAATTCGGGCGAGTCCCAAGGATGTTGTTTTATATTTGGGCTAAAGCAACCTATAAAACATTTTCTACTTTTTCTTCCCCAGAATCAAACATCATAGCTATTTTACTACCATCAAAGAACTTTGAGGCGACTCATTTATTGAATGTCCACAACATCTTTTAGATTTTCTATCTGTTAAGTTTGTCATTAGTAAAGCAATTTTGCAAGGGTCAGTACAGTTTAATTCAGTAGCAAAAATAATCAAATAAGTAAAATCAATTATCTAGCCTATCTTTCCCGAACGCTGATACTAAGAACTAAAATGGGAACCTTTGAGAGAGACTGACAAAGTATGGTGTTTTTAACCCCAGAACTGGCTTGATGATGAGGAAGGTGTTGCACCAGGAGAAGGAGGTTGATTGACGAAGGCAGGGATCTCTGTTGGTCTGATGAGTTTCATCTCTGCATGAATGGTGAGGTCCCACAGGACTTGGGTCTTTATCGTTACCTTAGTCTTTGTCTTTATCTTCATCTTTGCCTTGGTCTTTGCCTTTACCTTCATCTTTGTCTTTGATGTCTGAACCCAGCTGATGAGAGAAGTGCGATTTGAAGCCACATGTTACGGGGCTGACGTTTTGGTCCCCATGTGCAGGACAGTCTTCAGCTCTGTGGCCCCGGCTCTTCTTCAGCTACAGAGTTCTTCGTCCATCTCGATCTTGGCTCGAAGCTGCTTGGAGGATCCAACCAAAGATTCCTCTTTTGCACTCACCTTTTATAGGTTTATCCACCCTTTTGGTGCATTTGCATTGGCTAACACTGTTGCTTTACTTGTTTCAATGGCTGACTGCTTGGACAGATGATCTCATATTCATCACTGTCTTAGAGACATTATGTCCTAATGTCTGTGCTAATATCTCAAGATTGCTCAATTTTCCTCCCATGTCTTTTCTTTGAAACGTCTAAGTTGTTCAATAATCGATCTCCAAATAAGGCATTGGTCATCTCTGCTCTCCCGTTACTTCCCCTTTTATCCCTAAATTTTCACTTACTATTGTTACGGCCCAAGGCTATTCCTTTGGGGTTTAGCACCCTTGCTCCAGATATCCTCATTGGTGCTGATTGGAAGTGGAGGCAGCTGGCCAGTGTCTCCATGAATGACATCAGATCAGCATAAAATGCACCACCTTTTTCTCATCAGCCCAGCCCTTTTCTTTCTGTCTGTCCACTTCTCCTCTTTTTTCCCTTTCCTCTCCAACCAGCTATAATTTTTGTTAAATAAATCCTATTTTAAGTTATCCCATGCGTTGCTTCCTTTAATTTGTTATGGTATTAGAGCCAGACCATAACAAATTGGAGGCTCATCCAAATTTATGTTATAGTTTGGCATGACAGTTTTCTTTTTTGTTAGTAAGTTTTGTTTATTAATTTAATTGGGAAGTTAGTGTGGGAATCTTGTGTTTAGTCTGAGAGAAATCTTTTTTTTCTCTTCTTTTTCTGGTTTGGGGTAAGTGGTTTGCTTTCATTTCATCTGACGACTAATGGTAAGTGTGATTGTTGACTGGTTTGTGCAATTAGGTATGACTGATCTGAACTGATTCTCCTTTAGGCCTCAGCGTGTCTCCCCTTTGGGAGTCATGTGCTCAAAAAACAGTAGTGTGAGATCATATGGTTAGAGCAATTGTCTTGGGGGCACAGCCGTAGTGTTGAGAAAGTTGCCAGCTTTCTGGTCGCTTTTTTCACTCTACTGGTATTTAGTGCATAAGTACCCACCGTCCCTGATCTCTGAAGACTAGGGTTGAGCTAGTTAGTGTCTGATAGGCAGTTAGAGGGGAGGTTCAGGTTGGTTGTTTTGTGTTGCACAGATTGTCAGCAATTTACTTTAAATTTTGAAAAACTGTTTTCTGATTAAGAACTTAATTATGTCTGTTGAAGATTTTAATAAAAATCCATCAGCAGGATTTCTGGATTTGTGTTCAAGAGAACAATTAGTAAAAATTGCTGAGCACTATAAAATAAGTGTTGGTGATAAACGGTTGAAAGAGAATGTTAAAGCAATTTTAAGGGAAAACTTAATTGAAATGGGTGTTTTGTCTTTTTCTTCAATGCCTGAAGATTTGGATTCAGAGGTTGTAAAGCCTAAACTTTTGGATTTTGAACAACAAAAAGAGATGTTAAGATTAAGAATGCAACTGGAGAAGGAAAAGGAGTTGGCTTTGGAGAATTTACGACAGCAAGCAGATTTGGATAAGGTTCTTGCTTTGGAAAAACTAAGACAGGAAACTGAATTGGCAAAAATAAATTTGGAAAGTGAGAAATTACATCTGATGAAAGAAGGCAAATTGTCTGTGGAATCTTGTGTTATGGACTCAAAATGTAAGGCCTCTGACATTTTAAGTGAGTTGCGTTTGGTGCCTAGGTTTAGTGAAAAAGATGTTGAAACCTTTTTCACTTGTTTGAAAGAGTTGCAGAGACAAGAGACTGGTCTGATTCAGACCGCATAGTTTTGCTTCAGTGTGTTTTGGTTGGTCGTGCTCAGGAAGCTTTTGCTATGTTGAGCTTAAATGATGGCCAGAATTATGCCAAGGTTAAAGCTGCAATACTGAAAGCGTATGAATTGGTCCCTGAAGCATACAGGCAGAAGTTTAGAAACTGGAAAAAAGGTGACAAAACTTATGGAGAGTTTGCAAGGGATCTGGAGATTCATTTCAATCGTTGGTGCACTTCCTCTGAGGTTAAAACACTTGGTGACCTCTGTAATTTAATGGTTCTTGAACAATTTAAGAACTCTGTTTCTCAAGGCATTGCAATGTACATTAATCAACAGAGGGTAAAAACTGTATCAGAAGCTGCAGTGTTGGCAGATGATTTTGTCTTGACACATAAAGATACTGGTGGAGAACACACAGATGGGATGAGTGCTCCAAACTGGCGTTCAACACGTTCTGGAGGGTTTTTTTCAGACCGCAGTATCCGTGAGCCGGACAAAATTTGTAATTATTGTCACAGAAAGGGTCATTGGAAGAAAGACTGTGCTTTGTTGAAATCTAGAAATAAAAATGGAAATCAGGTTAAACCAGCAGCACTTGCTGCATCAGTTTTAAATGTTTCTAACAAAATGACTGAAGTGCCATTTGCCGGAAAACCTGATTTGAGTTCTTATAAACCATTTCTTATGGAAGAAGAAGTTTCTTTAATTGGAAGTGACGTCAGGGTACCAGTTACCATTTTAAGAGATACTGGTGCATATGATTCATTCATTCTGGCATCAGTGTTGTCTTTTTCAGATGAGTCTGACACTGGATTATCAATACCTGTGTTGGGTATGGGCATGTCTGTGTTTTGTGTTCCAGTACATAAGCTTATGCTTCATTCGAAGTTGTTTGAAGGAGAAGTAAGGATGGGTGTCAGACCTGCGCTACCTGTGGTTGGTGTCACAGTTATATTGGGGAACCATATAGCTGGAGGGAAAGTCTGGCCTGATAAACCAGAATCTCCAGTTATTGTTTCAGTACCTTTGGTCAGCAGTGGTCCTGACGAAAATGAAAAATCACACCCAGAAGTTTTCCAAGCATGTGCTGTGACACGAGCAATGAAAGCATCCAGTGATGATCATCAGGATGAAAACTTTGGAAAAGATACACAGACATCCTCTTTTTGTTGGTCTAATATTCCTTTGTCTATTTCACAGAGTGATTTGGGACAGGAGCAAAGATCTGACCCCACAATACAGCATTTGTTTCAGTCTGCATTACCTGCTGAGGAGATGCAGAACCATGCTCATGGCTACTTTGTTGAGAACGAGGTACTGTTAAGGAAGTGGATGCCATGTGGTGACGATGTTATTGGGCAGCCAGTTTATCAGGTTGTGGTGCCTTTGAAATTGCGTGACTTGGTTTTGCAGGTATCCCATGATAAGTCCGGACACATGGGAGTTAGAAAAACCTATGACCGCATTTTGAGAAGTTTTTTTTGGCCGCGGCTGAAAAAAGATATTGCTTCATATATTAAAACTTGTCACACCTGTCAGTTGACTGGTAAACCCAATCAAGTCATAAACCGGGCACCACTGTATCCTATTCCGACTATTGGTAAACCATTTGAGCACTTAATAATTGATTGTGTGGGTCCTCTTCCACCTTCATGTTTGGGTGCTAAGTATCTTTTGACAGTTATGTGCCAAAGTACCAGGTATCCAGCAGCCTATCCATTGCACACACTTACTGCAAAGTCTGTGGTGCGAGCGCTTGGGCAATTTATTGGTATTTTTGGAATACCTAAAGTCATTCAGAGTGACCAAGGATCTAATTTCTCCTCTCATTTGTTTGCACAGGTTTTGAAGCAGCTACACATTCAGCATAATCAATCTACAGCATATCACGCACAGAGCCAAGGAGCACTGGAGCGCTTTCATCAGACATTAAAATCTTTACTCCGTGCTTACTGTGTTCAGATGAAGGCTGATTGGGAGGATGGTCTGCCTTGGTTATTACTTGCAGCAAGAGAAGTAACGCAAGAAAGTACGGGCTTTAGCCCTAATGAATTAGTATTTGGTCATACTGTGCGTGGTCCATTAACAGTTTTGCGAGATGAGTGGAAAGATGCTGAACCACCACAAAACTTGTTGCATTATGTTAATGGGTTTAAGCAGAGACTCTTTACTGCAACGCAGATGGCAAATAAGAACCTATCATCTGCACAGGAAAAAATGAAGTGCTTGTATGATAAGAAAGCTGAACATCGTGTTTTTCTTTCAGGTGATCAAGTTCTGGCTTTACTTCCTGTTGTGACTTCACCATTTCAGGCCAAGTTTTCTGGCCCACACACAGTTTTGAAACAGCTTTCCGACCAAAACTATCTCATTGCAACTCCAGAAAGACGGAAGAAACAGCAGACGGTTCATGTAAACCTCTTAAAACCATACCATGTTCGTGGTAAGACTGTATTGGTGGATGATATTCACCCTGTGTGCATCAGTGAAACGCTGACATCTGCTGGAGGTGAATGGAATGGCGATGGGTTGCCTGTTCCAGATTCAGCCATGCTAACTGGTCGACTTATAAATTCTGAAGTACTGAAGAACTTGGACACGATGCTGAATTATTTACCAGAGACTCAATGCTTTGAGTTGATTCGGTTGATAAAATCTTACTCTGATTTATTTGCAGATATTCCATCCTGCACACATCTGATTGAACATGATATTGAGGTGGGTGATGCACAACCTATAAAACAGTGGTTTTACAGGGTTAGCCCTGAGAAACGCAAATATCTTGATGCTGAGATTGACTACATGTTAAAAAACGGGATCGCTCAAGCATCATGTTCAAGCTGGTCTTCACCTTGCTTGCTAGTTCCAAAATCAGACAAAGCATACAGGTTTGTTCTGATTTCAGAAAAGTCAATAGCATAACCAAAAACTGATTCATACCCGCTACCTCGTATGGATGACTGTATTGACCAGATTGGTAATGCTAAGTTCATTACTAAAATAGACCTGTTAAAAGGTTATTGGCAAGTCCCTTTAACAAAAAGGGCACAGGAAATCGCTGCCTTTATTACACCTACTGGTTTGTACTCGTACAATGTTATGCCTTGTTTGAAGAATGCGCCGGCAACTTTTCAGCGCTTGATGAATAAAGTTGTTGGAGGTTTAGAAGGTTGTTCTGTGTATTTGGATGACATTGTTGTCTATTCTCATAGTTGGTCTTCTCACCTGGAACAACTCACAACTTTGTTTGACCGTTTGGTGGAGGCACGTCTCACAGTGAATCTAGCCAAATGTGAGTTTGCTCGAGCAACTGTCATTTATCTTGGTCATCAAGTGGGTCAAGGTAAAGTATGTCCAGTTAAAGCAAAAGTAGAAGCGATTGAAAACTATCCACCACCAACTACTAAAAAGGAACTCATGAAATTCCTGGGTTTAGTTGGGTATTATAGAGCCTTCTGCAGAAACTTTTCAAAGGTGGTTGCACCTCTGACAGATCTTTTGAAAATTAATGTGAAATACAGCTGGTCCTCTGTCTGTCAGCAGGCTTTTGAAGATGTGAAGAGGATGCTATGTGATTCTCCTGTTTTGTTGGCTCCAGATAATAATAAGCCTTTTAAACTACAGGTTGATGCCAGTCATGTTGGTGCAGGGGGAGTCCTTTTGCAAATGGATGACTTTTTGATTGAGAGACCTGTGAGTTTCTTCTCTAGGAAGTTTAATAGACATCAACTGAATTATTCAGTCATAGAAAAAGAGACCCTTGCTCTTATTTGGTCATTACAACATTTTGAGGTTTATGTGGGCTCAGGTCCTTTAACTGTCTTTACAGATCACAATCCTCTGACCTTTTTGAACTCTTTTCGATGCCCAAATCAGAGACTTGTGAGATGGTCGTTGTTTCTGCAGTCATTTTCTTTAGATATTCGTCATATCAAGGGAAAGGATAATGTCATCGCAGATGCTTTGTCAAGAGCGCAAAGTCAGTAACTTTTTTTTCCCCTTTTACCTGTCTGAGTCACTTCATGGTACCAGTTGTCGACTTGGACATGGGATATAAAAGGATCTGGATTTTGTTTTCTGTTTCATCTCAGATTGTCTGAGATATCGTGAGTGTATTTAAACTTGTTTTTCTATTTTTTTTCAGATGTTGATACATAGGTTGCCCAGGGTTCTGGTGGGGACCCTGTTTTGAAGAGGGGGGGTGTTACGGCCCAAGGCTATTCCTTTGGGGTTTAGCACCCTTGCTCCAGATATCCTCATTGGTGCTGATTGGAAGTGGAGGCAGCTGGCCAGTGTCTCCATGAATGACATCAGATCAGCATAAAATGCACCACCTTTTTCTCATCAGCCCAGCCCTTTTCTTTCTGTCTGTCCACTTCTCCTCTTTTTTCCCTTTCCTCTCCAACCAGCTATAATTTTTGTTAAATAAATCCTATTTTAAGTTATCCCATGCGTTGCTTCCTTTAATTTGTTATGGTATTAGAGCCAGACCATAACACTATCTACCTCCAACACATCATCTGTGATCTTTAATTGCAGTTCCACGTTTTACACCATTTCAAGTTCAACGTCAAAATCACATTCATATATATATATATATATATATATATATATATATATATATATATATATATATAAAATATATATAAAAAAATAATGTACACAGGACAGCATTTACACAGAAAGTCAATTCAGAAATCAGCCCACACCTGAAGAGCAAGAAGAGGCTCTACCTGTTTTTTGGGATGGGAGCCATCGTATCCCAGTAGCAGGTTGGAGAGTCTTGGATGAAGCAGCAGGTCAGTGGGTCTGAATGGGACGGAGAAGCCTTGCACCGTCTTACAGAAGTCAAATGTGCTCCACAAGTAGTTGTTGGTGGAGTCCACAAACAGATACTAAGGAGGAGTGAGGACAGAGCATTATATTTTAATCTGCAATATAGTTTACAATGACAAAAGTCCCCAAAAAACCTGGGTGAGAGGGAGAACCATCATATACTAACAGTTCAAATGATCACACAGAACCACTGTACAAGCATAAAGTAGAAATTCTGTTAAATTCAACAATGCTTTCTTTACGCCAAAAGGAAATGAAATGTCATTAGTCATGTCATTCAAGCATCTTCAAAGAGTCATTATGGATAATCTCCAAAGGAAGTCAGTTTTGCAACTGATCTTAAGAAGAAGAATGTTGCTGTATGACAATCATAGCTATCATCACATGCTAACAGCTCAATATCCAGGCACCAGAAATGATATTCTACAGTAACATGTCCTGGATGACACACACAGTGATCCAGGACACTGTGTCCTAGCAGCACTGCTCATCCACCTAATTTTTTGTTTTTGCTGTTCCTCTTTAAATCTCTGGCTGTCCTGGTAGAAAGTCAGACTGTGTGATGACGTTGATGTGTTCCATTTGGATAGAGTCAGTTTCCTGGTACATACTGTCGTGAAACAGGTTCACGCAGAAAACAGATCATAAAAGGCCTGAGAGACTGGTGTAATTGTGTATGTTGATTTACTGTTCATTATAAATATATGTATTATATTGATGTATTAATGATCATAAAGTGAGTAAGTTCTGAAACTTGATTATTTATCAATCAATCAATCAATCAAATTTTATTTGTATAGCACATTTCAGCAAGGCATTTCAAAGTGCTTTACATCATAAACACAAGAACACAAAGTCATGCAACATATAATAGACAATACATTGTTACATATTACATTTCAAAAACAATTCTAAACAGGTGTGTTTTTAATTGCGATTTAAAAGAGGTTAGGGTTTCCGCTGTTTTACAGTTGTCTGGAAGTTTGTTCCAAAGTTTTGGTGCATAGATGCTGAAAGCTGTTTCTCCTCTCTTGGTTCTGGTTCTGGGGATGCAAAGCAGACCAGAAGCAGAAGACCTGAGAGGTCTGGAAGGTTGATACAACAACAGCAGATCTTTGATGTATTGTGGTGCTAAACCGTTCATTGATTTATAAACTAACAACAGTATTTTAAAATCTATTCTTTGAGCTACAGGGAGCCAGTGGAGGGACTTTAAAACTGCTGTTATGTCTCTATCTTCCTGGTTCTAGTGAGAACGCGAGCAGCAGCATTCTGGATCAGTTGCAGCTGTTTGATTGATTTGTTGGACAGACCTGTGAAGACGCTGTTACAATAATCAGTGCGATTAAAGATAAACGCATGGATGAGTTTCTCTAGATCTGGCTGAGACATTAGTCCTCTAATCCTGGAGATGTTCTTCAGGTGATAGAAGGTTGACTTTGTAATCGTCTTTATGTGGCTCGCAAGGCTCAAGTCCGAGTCCATCACTACTCCCAGGTTTCGGGCCTGATCACTAGTTTTTAGTTGTAATAACTGAAGCTGAGCATTGACTCTAGATCGTTCCTCTTTAGGTCCAAAAATAATGACTTCAGTTTTGTTTTTGTTCAGTTGGAGAAAGTTTTGGCACATCCACACATTTATCTGTTCTAAACATTTATTCAGTGATTGGATGGTTCAGAGTCACCTGGTGACATCATAATGTAGAGCTGTGTGTCATCCGCATAGTTGTGGTAGCTAATATTATTTCCTGTTATGACCTGAGCTAGTGGGAGAATATAAACATTGAATAAGAGGGGTCCTAGGATTGAACCTTGGGGTGCCCCACATGTGACCTTTGACCTCTTTGATAAGAAGTTTTCAATTGAAACAAAGAAATCCCTGTTCTTTATGTGAGATTCAAACCAGTCGAGAACCGAACCGGAGAGTCCGACCCAACTTTCAAGTCGATTCAATAATATGTCGTGATCGACAGTGTCAAAAGCTGCACTGAGGTCCAACAGAACCAGCACTGTGGTTCTGCTACAGTCCGTATTTATATGGATATTGTTGAATACTTTTACGAGGGCAGTCTCCGTGCTGTGGTGAGCACGAAAACCAGACTGGAAAGTGTCAAAGCAGTTGGTCATCATGAGGAAACTATTTAATTGTTTACACACAGTTTTTTCAATAACTTTGCTGATGAATGGGAGGTTTGAGATTGGCCTGTAATTCTGCAATAGTGATTTGTCCAGGTTGTTCTTTTTTAACAGTGGTTTGATGACTGCTGTTTTCAAGGCCTGGGGGAAAACACCTGATGTAAGCGATGAGTTTACGATTTGGATCAGATCAGTAGCAATAACAGGCAGGACTTTCTTAAAGAAATGTGTGGGAAGGACGTCCAGACAGCAGGAGCTTGAACTTAATTGACTTATAATTTCTTCTAGAGTTTTATAATCAAGTAGTTGAAAGTGGGTCATTTTTTTCTGTATTTGTTTTGTTTTGGTACAGCAATGGTTCTGGCTTTGAAGTTGATATGCAGATTAATCCTCTGATTTTTTGAATTTTCTCTGAAAAGAAGCTGGAAAACTTGTTACAGGCAGCATTAGATTGGAGTTCAGGTGGTAACGTCACAGGAGGGTTTGTGAGTCTGTCAACTGTTGCAAATAAAGTTCGAGCATTGTTGATGTTTTTGTTTATGACATCTGCAAAGAAAGCCTCCCTTGCATGTTTTAGTGTTAAGTGATAGTTACGTAGACTTTCTTTATAGATGTCATTATGAACGTGAAGTTGAGTTTTACGCCATTTTCGTTCTGCTCTGCGACAGAGTTGTCTTGCAGATCGAACTATTTGTGCTTTTCTCCATGGAGATTTTTTCGTATCAGACACAACCTTTACTTTAATTGGAGCAATGGAATCAATGATATATAAAACTATAGACTGAAAATCATCTACCAACTGATCTACATCATTACAGCTTAAGGGTGAGGAAGAAGAGTAGTTCTATAACTTTTGACAACTATTGTCATCTTGTTTAATTTTGTCAACTTATAATATGGAATGTATATAGCTGTAAGAACAAGAAAAATGCAATGATGAAAAACTGTCACGATTTATTGTTAAAACTAAATAAAAACTAAGTAAAAAAAAAAAAACAGAAAAGCAAGAAATCCCATTTACATAAATATTAACTGCCGTGGTCATGAAGGGAAAAAAAATCATAATCTTTGAGATGTTTCTATAACTAAAATGGAGTTCAGTTGTGTCCACAGTTCAATCAGTTGATTGGGCTTGATTTGAGAAGGTACACACCTGTTTCTATGATGTCCCACAGCTGACAGCAGGTCAGAGGTCAAACACCAAAAATGAGATCGAAGAAAAGGTCTGTAGATAGGATTATATTAAGTCAGAAATCTGTGGAAGGATCCAAAATTACCAGGTGGAGATCCAGGAAGGGCTGAGCCAGATTCCAGACTTGAACCTAATTGATCTACTCTGGAGAGATCTATATATGACTCACAGATGTCTCCGTCCAACCTAATGGAGAAGAACTGCAGAGAAGAGTGGCCATAACTCCCTAAAGACAGATGAGCTAAACTAGAGACTATAACTGTTACCATTGGTCGATCAACAAAGTATTAGGGTAACAAGGTAAATACTTAAATAAATGTGATTTCTTAGTTTTCTATTTGAAACAAGAACATTTCCACAAAGTGATACTGGAGAATCCTAATTTTGAAAAACATTTTGAGGAAAGAGGATAATTTTATACAATTTCAAATAAGGAATGAATATAAAATGGAGGGAGAGAGTGAATACTTCCCAGATGCACTTGTATTTGAGCTTTTGAAATACTAATCAGTTTCCCCTAGTTCTAACACAATACCTTGTTACCAGAGTCATTCATCATAGCAGCTGTTAGAAAGTAGAAAATTAGGAGCACAGCAGCCAGAACCAAAGGGATCACTGACCAAACATCTAATGCCTCATCGAAATGCTTAGAATGTATCAATACAATTCAGAAGTTCCCCCTCAGGAAGAGCAAAATCAATCAATATTCAATCTAAACTAATGGATAGCAAACTGTGCATGACTAAGCCAAAAGTAAACAGATTAATGCAAGTTGCTTTTAGTTTTTCAGTTTTTTTCTATTAATACAGTTGGTCTTTCAAGGTTGCACATTAAGTCATATGAAGTTAGATTTTTGTAGATTTTTAAATTCTTAAAAAAAAAAAAGATGGATGAGTTATTTTATTCATGGTTCCTAAAGTACCATGAATGTTATACAAGATAACTGGCCATACTGATGACACATAATGCACTTTGAACTGCTTTGTTGCTGAAAAAGTGCAGAAAAAACACAGCAAGAAAACTTTTTCACACACAGACACACATGTGCACCCATGGCAACTCTTATGCACATGAAATGCTGGATGACATGCAGCAGTGACGCAGCTGCTTCCAAGTTTGTTGTGAATATATCAGCCACAGCAGAAGATTAGCGACTCACCCTGCGGTTGTCTGCAGGGCTGTGGTAGAACTGAGAGATGACCTGCTTACTGCCGTTCTTGGCCTTCACTTCGGAGAGCTGGAAGTTGGCCGACACAGGTATGAAAGTTGTCCCATAGTTGTACGAAACGTAGACCTGAAGAGGAACACGGGGATCAGGATTTTAAGGCCCATTCCAAAGCCTCACTGTGTGCAACTTTAGAACAATGATTCTCTTTTTCTGCAGTTACTGCTAGTGTTGTACAGCAGGTTTGGCTAATGACCATTTTATCTATTGTTCCTTTAACACTGGCTTACGTTAGCAGCTCCGGTCTACTCGACCCAGCCTGGCTCAGCTCTACTTTTAAGTAATCCCGTTTTCACAGACCTGGTATTCTATCGGCGATACCCATCAACGCCTGCAAGAGTGGGGAGTGGCTGTCTGCTGTATAGAATCAGTGGGTGCACTCACTACTACACCCGTAGTGCAGCTGGGAGTGCACCCACTGATCAGATGTGACCGATTGGTTTTTCTAGCTAGTCCATGGGCCAGACCATTTTTTTGTCCATTTCAGATTGGCAAAGTCTATCGATATAGTTAATATTTTAGTATGATAGCAATTCTGCTCAATTTCCACAACAAATCACAGCTTGAGAACACAGCTATGACCAGAGATTTTATCTACGTTGCACTTGCGCATTTATCTCCAAAACACAGTGGTTGCCAAGGGGATTAATGCGTTCGACCTAATGAACTGGGTCATTTGCAAAGGTGGTGCACCGATATTAAAAGTCTCCGCTTGCATTGAGACAGGATGAACAATAAATCACTTACCCTGTGCAGACCTGTAAATAAAAACTGCAAAAACAACTAAATTGTAAAAAAATTTCAAACAAAATCAAAACTTGACCAGCATGCAGAGAAAAATAACATCTTTATTCAAAAGAAAAGACTGGGAATTCTGAGATCGAAAGATACCCCACAAAGTTAAAAAAACCCGCTGATGAATATTTTGATCAATCCAAGAGTCAGGGTGAGGAGGCGCCATGTCAGGAAGATGATGGAAGCTAAAGGTTCTTGAGAGCAAACAGGTCATGATGCTAAGCCAAGTGATTTTCCCTCTATCTGTACAAAGGTTCAATACAGGGTGGGCCATAAGTTTCCATAAATAGGAGAATGTAAAATGTATATTTCTTTTCTATTTCAGATACCCAAGAAGATATGTTTGACAAAAGAGCAGAGATTTCAAATTATACTGATGGCTGGATCGGGAAGCAGTCGCATGGTTGCACAGAACTTTAACAGAAAACATGGAGCAAACATCACACATGACACTGTGGCAAAACTTATTTACTGACTTTCAGAGTTTTATTGAGCTGCAGCAAGCTAATTCTGTTCATTTAGGTGGTGTTTTGAACAGTAAAACAGTCTACGTTGATATAATTGACCATGTGTCTTCACAGGTGGAAAAGGAACTCCTGAGTAAGATCATAGAAAATCACGGTGTTAGCTGATGAGTCTACCAGTGTAGGGCACAAATCGACATTGATTGTATTTTTCAAAAACAGCATTGATGGAAAGATTGAACCCATTGCTTTGGATTTGATTGAGCTACAGAGCCTGTCTGCAGTTTATATCAAATAACAAATTATGAAATGGTTGTTCCAGAATAACTTCACCACTGAATTGCTGCAGGAAGTTTTCATTGGATTTTGCACTGATTGGGCAAGTGAGATGGTGGGTGTTGAGAAGTTGCTCCAAGATGATTTTCCACAAATTGTTCTATGGCACAATCTTAATAACAGGTTGGAGCTTGCTGTGGACCAAGCATTAGAAGCAACAGGGAGAACAATGAACAGTATAAAGCACGACTTTAGATTTCCAGACCTTCATGACAGCCTGTACTCATTGTATAGCCCAGGGATGGGCACTCCTGGTCCTCGAGGGCCGGTGTCCTGCAACTCTTGGATATCTTCCTGATGAAACACACCTGAATCCAAAAGTTGAATCACCTCCTAAATGCAGTCAAGCTCTGCAGAGTCCTGCTAATGACCTCATTATTTGACTCAGGTGTATTGAAGTAGAGATGCATCTAAAAGTTGCAGGAGACTGGAACTTATGTGGGAACTAAGTGAATGTGGGACCTAAGTGAATGTGCTCACAGTTTGCGCATGACACTCAGAAGTATAGGAAGAGTTGTCAGTGTCTGCTGGGTTGCTTCTTCATACAGTGTGGGATTTTATCCAGCATTGGCACATTTCCGTGAGCCATCAAAGGATAAGACAAGGTACAGCAGAGAGAGGGCTAATTTCCAAGGTCTGCTGCCTAAGCTGTGTGCTGTAAATTTTCTAAAAAGTCTTCCTCTGATGACAGGTGTCCTGACTGATCTAAAGAACTTGTCAGAGCTTCTTCAGAACAGGAAGACCACTCCCAAAGGCCCATGAGATCATGACAATGTATGTCAAACGCATTGAAAGTTTTAGTTCATACCCAGGACAACATGTAGTTGAAGTAATCCAGGCAAAGGAAGAGATTAAATTCAAAGGAGTACAGTTGAAAGATGGCAGGTCTCCCATCATTGACTCTGCACAGTTTGTTCAAATTCAGGTATGATACCTTTTCTTTTCATTAGATCTTTTATCACTTAAAATGAGTCCACAAACTATCACAATTGTCCCTACATCGTCATCTGTGTTTCATTAGTCTAAATTCACATCTGATATGTTGAGGGTTTTACGGGATTTTCTTTTGGAACAGGGATGTTCATGAGTGAAATCGGTATGTGGTGTGTTGCTCTTCCTGTGTGGCTGGACACACAAAACGATCGAACCTGTTGTACTTTTATCGGCTAGTGTGTGGTCACAAAGGTTTGGAAAATCGGCCGACATGCCGTGTGATTCACATGGCACAATTGAATCACTTAGGACTCACAAGCTCTGCTCCTCTTGTCTCGACCATTGCCTTAACGCTCTCTGACTCTGGTCGCTATCATAACGTTTACATCTTCAAAATAAGCTACAGATGCGACACAAAAACAAACATTTTATTTTTATGAAAATTTTAACTCTCGACAACGACAAATTAATGGGAGCCCTGAGCATGTTTCTCTGTAACGAGACGGTCCCATCTCTGAGTGATGAGACAACTAACACCCGAGGTGTGTGCTTATGCACAGTGTGCTCATGGTCTCTAAGTGGAGAAGCAGTTTGAAGGTTTCTTTCCCTCATTAGTGAGCTGGTCGCCGCAAATTGAGCAGAGCGGGCTTGAAATGTGGGAATCACCTACCCGGATGAATCCATTCTTATGTCTCTTCTCTGGGCCTTTTGCCCTTTACAAACAAACTTTCCAAAGACATTTGATCTGTTTCTTACTCATTTTGCTGCTTATGGGATCAATGTTGGCACGCAAGACGTGACCAAGAGAATCCGGTTAAAGGATTTTTAAAATAAAACAGAAATATTTAATTATTTCTTGTGCAGCCCAGTACCAGTCCGTGCCGGGGGGACAACTGCTGTAGATCAGTGGTCACCAACCCTGGTCCACAAGGCCCAGTGCCCTACATATTTTAGGTGTTCCCCTGCTGCTCCCCTGCTGTTAAAATAACAGGTGATTAAGTAACTTCTGTAGCAATTACAGGAATGCAAAGGAAGTAATGGAATCATATGAATCTGGACTCACCAAAAACATCTAGGACAGCGGTCCCTGAGGACCAGGGTTGGGGACCACTGCTGTAGATGATGCTGAGCTTAAGTGTAACTTTACAGCAAGAACTGGAAAAATACATTTACCACTATTACAATAAATTGGTGGCGGAGCACATTGTGGCAGAGCAGCTGTCATTTGTGTTTTATATATGACAAAGGAGTCTAACTGGGGGGTATACTTGTTGCCTCCCATTTAGGTACCTGTACTTTGGGATTCACCTCGGTGAACGAGAGGGTAGCCTTACTCTGCCTAAGGGTGGAGAACAGGTTCTGACTGTTAACAACAGTTCAGGTTATCCACCTTTTTGGAGTTCTTGAAGGGGGTGCTGGAGAGTGCCCATCCTAGGGATTCTCTTGTTATGCTGGGGGACTTAAACGCTCACGTGGGCAATGTCAGTGATACCTGGAGGGATGTGGTCGGGAGGGATTCCCCCCAGATCTAAACCCGAGTGATGTTCTATTCTTGGACTTCTGTGCTTCTCATATCAAATAACAAATTATGAAATGGTTGTTCCAGAATAACTTCACCACTGAATTGCTGCAGGAAGTTTTCATTGGATTTTGCACTGATTGGGCAAGTGAGATGGTGTTCATTATCCATAATGAACACCATGTTCATAAGGGTCCATATGTGCACTTAGCACCAGAACTAGGCCACAGTTCTATGATCAACTTTGTTGTAATTTCACCGGATCTGTGGTTACATATCTTGAAAAGAGGTGTGTAACTGTCCAATCACCAATATATGGTGGTGAGATGGCTCTATTAATTGGGAAGGATGCTGGTCAATTGCTGGATGTGGAGAATGACTGATCCTATCCTGACCATATTCCATGTCTCCATTGTTGAGGCGACTTATTGGAGCTGTAGTCGCAAGGTCCGTGCCTGTCATGCAACCCTTAAACCCAATGGACACCTTCGGTAAGGGACCCTGTCAGGCTGAAACAGTACAGCACCAACACTCTTTATAGTGGGGATGGTGTGCTATTGACCTCAACTAAGGATGTTTTGTGCTGGTGGGCAGAATACTTTGAAGACCTCTTCAATCATACCAACATGCCTTCCACTGAGGAAGCAGAGCATGGTGACTCTGGGTTGGGCTCTCCAATTTTAAGGTTGCCGAGGTGGTTGAGAAGCTCCTCAGTGGCAAGGCCCCTGGGGGTGGATGAGATTGACATGACGTGACACTGCAATATTGTGTGAACATTGGGGGCAGTTCCCCTGGATTGGTAAACCAGGGTGGTCTTTCTATTCAAAAAGGAGACTGCAGAGTGTGCTCAACTAATGAGGGGTCTTAAGCTCTTCCCTGGCAAGGTCTATTCAGGGGTTCTGGAGAAGAGGGTCCATCAGAGAGTCAAACCTCAGATTTAGGAAAAGTAGTATGGTTTTCATTCTGGTTGTGGAACACTTACTCCACAGCCTCATCAGGGTCCCAAAGGGAGCGTGGGAGTTCAACCATGTCTGTCCAAAGCCACATTGAGATTAATTGTCCCCACGACTGTATTTTTTAAAATCAGGGGTGCCCAAAACATTGATCGCGATCTACCGGTCGATCGCGGGCAGGTTTTGAGTCGATCTCTGCAGGACGCTGAGAGCAACACTTCCTCTTCTGACAGACTTTTGAAAATATTCACTAAGATCCAAAACGTTTGTAGCTTCATTAAAAATAATAAAGCCTGAAACCTAATATCGTAACGGACTGAACGTTTTTAACGTAATCTTTGCTCGGCTTGCGGGGCGCAGGCGGTTGCCACGGTAACGGGTGTGCTTAACGATAAAGAGAGAGAGAGAGTGAAACGGTGCGAGTGGTTCTGAGTTGTTCGGGTAATTCTACCTTTGTTTATCTTCGCTGTGGTTCATCACAGCTACTGGAGTTTCTGAACGTTCAATAAACGACAAACTTGGACTAATTACCTCGTTCGTTTGCAGTAAACATCACAACCAACATCAAATAGGACACATATATTTGATTAACAAACATATATTTAACAAACAAATGACTTCTACCACAATAATTGTGTCAAATTACATTAATTATATCCCAAATTCAGAAGATTTGCCTGTACCTTTGCAGAGCTCTTTGGTTCCTCCTATCAGTCTGCAGTTTCGCATATTGACGTCATCAAACCAAATTTCGGATATACCATAACTGACTGACACCTGCTGGCCTCAAGTTTGCAACCAGCTTCTGACTGAGAAACCAGTAACCTGCTCCCAGTGTCAGAATCTCACTGAGGAAGAAACTGCATTAGGTTTTTCCTCACTTTATCATTTCTGATATAACTGATGTATATTTGCATAGAAAATTAGTCAATAGGGTTTCATTTATAATTTGTATGTCTTCATGTCATGAGGTAGATCTCAGCCGGCTGGTGAGAGAAAAAGTAGATCTTGGTCTCAAAAAGTTTGAGCACCCCTGTTTTAAATGAAAGATCTTGGTCTGTTAAGTAGATTTTTTTAGGGGTAAGCAAAAATGAAGTCAGAAAATGCCATCCAGCAGAGGTTGAATGCATGGAAGCTGAAATAGTACTGTGCTGTATGAGTACTTACAGAACTGGTTTTGGGCCCAGTGGCTGCAGTGCTATCTCGGGCTAGGGCTACAATGACGTTGCTTTTTTCACCAGCCCAGTGTACCACCATCTGATTATGAGAGTCATTCAAGTTGGCCTGCAAGACACAAATAAGAAATAAAAACAAGAATCAGATATGAATTTAAGAAACTCTAATATATTTAAATTTGTGTGTTACTGTATGAACTAAAAACAATTTTACTGATGTAAATCATGATGTGTGGACCATTAAAAGGGGGTCCTAATTACCTAAGCCAGAGGTAACCCAAAATGTTGAAAGAGCCATATTGGACCAAAAGAACAAAAAAGAATCTGTCTGGAGCCGCAAAAAAGCCTTATGTTTATATTAGCCTATTATCAAAATGACTAAGTGTATACATAAAGTGTCATTCTAAATTTATACTGCCAAAAATCACTAATTGATTTATAAAAACAACCACTTTCTTACTAAATATATGTAACAAAGTGCATCCTTCAAGGAATGACGCACCATGTGACTATTCTGTTGTACGATGTGTTCTTACATGTTTAATGTGACTTCTGTTTGCGGACATCACTGGATATCTTCTCAACATTGAGCATGTAAGATGTAACTTTAATCTTGACGCAACAGCTAATGTAGCATGCCTTCCCTGGAAATGTCTTTCCACATTACCATGGTTTTCAGACTACAAGCCGTTACTTTTTCCCCTGCTCTTTAGAGGGGAATATATAAACAAAATTTTATTACTTCACTGTTCTACTTAGTGGTGCTTTTCTGACTTTTACACATTGTTTTCACACATCAGCGTCATAGCATTAACACAGTTGGTATCTGATATTTTTTGGCATATAATGTTTTTCTGTCCATCTGGATATCAGCAAAGTACTTCTGAACAATATGTTTGTGTTTACCTTGTACACGACCCTAAGGACCGTTGTATACACTTTTTTCTGAATTTACTCGCCACCATATCAGAGCTTAATATTGCCAGTTCTGATAGATTCTCCAGAATCTATTCAGGAATTCTGGAGAAGAGGCAGCAGTTTAATATATGTTTCAGGAGGGGTTTGGGCAGTTATAATGGGGGGGCATTATAACTTTATTATAACTTCCCCCCAACTGCCTCTTGCAAAGACAATAGATCAGTGGAGTAGTTAATACTGGATATGAAGATTGGCCCAAATTTTTAAAATTGGTGGAGTCCTAGTTATTTATTTTTGTGAACAAAAAAAAAACAGTACTAAAATATAACAGGTGGAAGTAGAAAGTTTGAACTTTTTTTGTGTTTGTAATTTCATACTACAGCAGGCTGACTTGCAACAAACCCAGCTCACTTAAAAAGGAAAACTGATCTGTCGTTTTCCATGTCATGAACATCTGAGAGGCGTACGTCTAATTTTCCCTGCATGTCTGTTTCCATGTAAATAGGAAGTACTGCAATGACAAGCCATAACACCAACCCCTCCTGTATGCACCTTCCATCAGGCAGATGGGTCTGAAATTAAGAAACTCAGACAAGAAATACAAATACTCATACAAACAAATGGGCTATTTCATCCTTCTTGTCTCTGCTTGGCTATCTCATCAGAATTATCTTTTATTAATATTTTATTGATGACTCCAAGAGGGGGCAGATCCCTAAAAGAACTTCAGTTTTCTTCCAATGCCTTTCTGCCACTCCAGAAATAACACACAGCTTTTTTGCCACAGGTTTTTTGTTGCCTGATGCGACCCGCTTTCCACCTTCTTCTGAAATAATTCTATTGTTACAAAGGAAGCCACAGCTTCTTATTTGCGGATCTAACACCAGTGATCCTGCCATGATCTTACAGAGAGAAAAAATAAATCTAATAAAGGCAAATACGCTAATATCTTTTTCTGCAGCAGCCTGAAAAAAAATCTATAAATCCAATGCAGTAACTAGAAATATCAATTTCTTGTCCACGGAATGGGTGGACAACAAAGAGGCATGGTAAGTAAATGATAATTTATCAATGTGGTTTTGCCCTTTTGTGATGCTCTAGTCACAGCAATGCAAACATTCTGGGGACCAAACCGTTACCTGCACACAAAGGCCCCACTCCACTGACACACACTGCCTCATTAGAATGCCTGGGTAAAAGCCAGGGCCGTCTCTCAAGCCAAGGTCCTGCAGCAATAAATTTCTGCATTTTATATCGGGTGGACTGGGAGAGGGAGGCAGTCTCTGCAGCCTGGCACGACTGAACTGGAATCAGACTGGCTGTGAAGACAAAAGGCTTTTTCACAAGTTGCAGCAAACTATTGGGAGCAAACTATTAGGGTCAATTAACCGATGATCAGAGAGCTCTGGTGGTAGAGCAAAAACTCTGGAGGGTGTTACAGTTGAATATGGGGTAGGATGATAACGAGAAGCTATTTTATATAATTGTAGCCTACAGTTAGTTTATTATGCAACACAGCATCTTGATTTCATGGGTAAGAAGCTGCTGCACAGCCTTTGTGGATCAGCTAGCGAGCCTTCTCCAAACTCGGCTGACTTGTACCTGACCCTTCCTCATGCGATCATCAGCGGATTACAGGAATGATTTTGGGCAATTCCTGCTCTGGGTTTGAGAACCACACATTAGAGCCAGCAGCCGGGCTGTTCTTCAGATTCTGAGCCAATAGACCTCCACTTTACAACATTCCTGTGGCCAGTTTGAAACCCAGATGCGTACTGCACCATGTTTTGCAGATTCCTCCAACACTTACAGCAGCACACAAGTTCACCAAGAGCTGAGAATGTGTCTGTTGTGGACAGCCTCTGAAGCAGGATGCTAGGCACTTTAAGCTTTACTCTAGAACGCAGCCAGGTTCAGCCAGAGGTTTAATGACTGAAGAATAGGGCTGCCATGATTCCTTGAATGATTAGAGTACTTCAATTACTAAAATTCCTAGAAATGAATTACCTGCCTTGAAACTTTGTTAAATTATGTTTTATTATTTAGCACACAATGTTTCATCCTGGTGATTATTTGTGTTGCATAACGCTCTCACTTGTACCTATGAGTTGTTGAGACATGCTATGAGCAAGCAGCATAACATCCAATTTTCAAGTTCAGTCCGGGTGAACTTCATTGAAGATGATCATGTCTGGGTTTTTTGGGAGACCAATAGGCATCCTTAAATGACTGGTGCGATGGATGGGTTATAACAACCTTTCTCCTCCAGGAGCTACTGCCTTGTGGCTTGTTCAGAGCAAATACAGTGGATGTATTTACCCACCCTTAAAAAAAAATCCCACAAAAACAACACGTGGTTCACAGAACTTTTTCATGTGAATGATGTTTAAAGAATGTGAATCACATGTGAAAGCACATGTATTTGTCATTTTGGAACGTTTTATGGTAAAATCACATGTGATTCATTCATTTACACATGTGAATCACGTGATTCATTCATTTATACATGTGAATCGCATGTGATTCATTCATTTATACATGTGAATCGCATGTGATTCATTCATTTATACATGTAAATTGCATGTGATTCATTCATTTATACATGTGAATCACGTGATTCATTCATTTATACATGTGAATCACATGTGAATGTAACGCTGTGAAAGTGTTACATTATTATCAAATATTTCTATTAACACACATATAAGTGTATACTTATATCACATGTGATCCCATGAAAATCACAGGATTTTCATGGATTTTTTTGTAAGGGCAGGTGAGCAGATAGACTGAACAGATAGACTGTGATGCTACGCTACTGGAAAATAAAATTTCATACCATCCCGGTCACAAAAAATATGTGGCACAGCACATCGTAGAAGTACATAGCTGGCAGAAGTGTTTCTGTTTGTGATGAAGAAGCAAAATTTTGTCGTTAACATGGGCATAAAAGATATAAATGGCTGGGCAAAGTGCACTGTAAAAAAGAAAACTACAAACTGTTATAAAATTCTTGTTCAAACATAAAATTTAAAAAAGAATACAATAAATTTAAGTCAATATATAACAATTTTGGCTGAACCAAATGCAGCTTCTCCACATAGATAAGTATATATATATATATATATATATATATATATATATGAATATAAAAATATAAAACTTGTTGTTCATATATTTATTTATTTTTATTGAATTATTGATCTATTTTTTTTTGTGTTGAAATTTTTTTAATCTGGGACCTGAGTACAAATTTTATAACACAAACCCAAGCAGGCATGACAATAAAAAATCCCTGAATCATTATCAATGAGAAAATATATATATTGAACCAATGGGCTCTTTGAACGTCTACTTCCATGTTCCGGAATAAGCAGCTTGGTCGCTTTCGGTTTATTGAAATTGCATTTTACGCTAGGTGCTTGCAGGGCTTGCCTAAGGTAACAATCAGTGATGTACATCAATCAGAACCTCCAACAAGTAAGCTGGAGAAAGGTTTTCAGGTTCCATTTGTTACAGAAAGACATTGCCAGTGAAATGCTATCTAAACTCAAAACTAGCCTTAAAAACAACAAATATACTATTAAAATGAATATTAATTATTTGCTCTTCTGTTTAATCCAAATTAAGTCACTCACATATAAATTAAATTATAAATTATTATTATATTATTATTATTAATTATTATTATTATTATACATTATAAATTAATCAGGCCCCTATAACTTCAGGAACCCCAAAATGTTAATATTTTAACACAGACCACATTTATATAAATGTAACACTTATTTATTGAGATTATGAATTCTACTAAATTTGATTTAATGGCTTCAGCAATCATAAATTTAAATATTTTTAATTGTTTCACATTTAAATTTAAGATTATAAGGAGCTGGCAAGTTTACTTTGTAAAAGTCCAAAGAACAATATGAGTTAGATTGCTCTGTTACAACATCTACACTCGATGCCATGAGTTTAATCTTTGACTTTGAGATGTGTTTGTTCACAAATACAAATCAGTAAACTGTAATTATAATTTATTGCTTTTTAGATTGGCCAATTAAACTACTCCCCCTCTCTGAGACTTCACTAAATCTAACACAGAAGCTGTTAAAGATGCTGATGTTTTTAGGAGCAAGACTGGCCCTTAAGTCAATATCTACTCAAGGCCTCATAAAATCTTGGATTGACCCTGCATTATGAGTTAAATCTGCTGCACTGCTTGCAGAAATGTGCAACAAACGGGAGTTTTAATTCAATGCTGCTAATGTGGCTTTAGTCACTCTTCATGGAGTTTTTAAATTCACAGAAACTGTCGTGGTTGCCCCACTTTAAGGGACAAGTTTATCAGATATTCACGCCGCACACATTAACTCTGGCTACTTAAGTATAAAAAGCATTTGATATGGTTAAATGCATTGTGTAACTGTAAATACTAAAAATAATAGTAAAATAATATAAAAGCAAGCGTGATGCATGACTAAGAGGATAGCATCACGCTTGCAACCGGGCTGCACCTGCATGATGAGTGATTAGCGCTTCTACTAAATGCTTCATTGTTAAATTAAACAGCTGAAAGTAGAGATCTGTAGTTCCACAACTAGATGAAGGGAAATTTTAGAGAATGAGACAGGTAACTTTTTCCATATTCTAATGCATATATTGCCTCTGAATTCTCTTGTACTCCAGAACTTGCAGGGACCCTCCAAATGGCAGCACCACCCTGAATCAGTTTAGCTGAGTTTTCTAAAACACAGCCCTCTTTCTCCAAGTCTTCCTGAACTTGCATGCTGCTGTGGTACTGCACTCGTTCCCTTAAAGTGTTTTCTTGCTCAACAGCTGTGTAATTCTGGAAGATGAAGAGCGTTCACCAGTCACACCCAGGATGTCAGACTAATGGATGGCTTTTATTGAATGACAAAGAAAAGCTAGCACCTCTGAGGACTTGCGCCATTCCTAATCAGTGATGCAAACTCACAGCGGACCCCTTCAGCAAACAGAGGCCTCCTTTACTCTGACCAAGGCAGGATGAGATCACTTCCTCATTCTGATTCAGCTCTTATTGAAGTATCAATTATTCCAAGCTCTTGTTTAATGCATACCTGTACAGCATTCTGCAAAGTCATTTTCCTTCCAGTATTTTCGGTGCTGGATGACAGTAAAATCCTTGCAGTGCTGTATTTTCTTGAGCACCCAGGAAAACAAACCAACAGTTAGTTAGCCAAGAGTCCATACCTGTAAACACCACAATAGTCTCTTTATTGTGGAAACACCATGCTTCCCTCTCCAGCTAATAACAGGAACATGCAGACAGACACATTGATGTTTGCAAATTTGTAAGTGGGTTCTAGAAAGATCTGAATTTACTTTCTTACTCTGAACAGGCTGCCATTTGCAGGCTGCTGGTTTGTCTATGTTCATTGAACTGTGCAACATTGTAAACACCTCCTCAGCACTACCCTGAGCAAGATTAAACAGCACAAAAACAAATTTATCACATTTAAGTTGGACTAATGCGAGCTTATGGTGAAGACTGGTGAGAAATGTCCATGTCTGTTAGCTAAGCAGAAACGCCAAGAAGAAACCCTGCAGGTTTTCAAAACAAATTAAATTTATACCTCAATCTGAATTAATACTGAAAATCGTCCTCAGGCTGAATTCCCTGGACTGTCCTGGAGTATTTTTATTCGACAAACTACACAGGACTTTAGTGGTTATGTCACTTGGCTTTGGATGTTTTTTTTTTTTGTTTGTTTGTTTGTTGTTTTTTTTTTTTGTTTTTTTTTTTTGTTTTTTGTCATATGCTTTTGGTTTTGTGAAATCTTATTTGTGTCGACAAATATTGAGATGATCCATGGAGCTCAAATTACCCCAGCCTCACCGGATTGCATCGTGGGTTGCTTTACCTGGCCGTAAACCTTTGGCATGGCCGACTTGCCAGCGCTCCGTCGGCTCCGATGCTCCCCCTGGGCGTCTGAATCGGACGCAACTTGAGCAGTCAGAGGCAGCGCTGGAACCGCGGTGCTTCTTCCATCTCGCGCGAATAAACCCAGATTCGCTTCAACGGTGAAAAAGCCTCTGTTCTGCGGAAGGGTGTAGTGTCGCTCCTGGTGAAGATGGAGGGCCGGCGGGGTTCCCTCGGAAAGTGCCAGGATCGAGAAGCATATGGAATACCAGAGAGAAGACAGCATCTTGTCCGCCTGCGTTTTCGCCATGTTTATGTATGTTTGACTCCTGTATAAGGGGAGATCGAAAGAGCTCCTTCTACTGGCAAGTGATGCCAATGATGCTGCGTTCAAGGGCTGTGGGAATTATGAACATCTACAACTCACGTTCACAAAGGCTGTTATTAAGAGCCTGCGTTTCCATGAAACGAAACTAATCGAACGAATGTGAAATAAACAAATAATTCACACAAAATCACAGTGTCCACAAACACCAGTCCAACGGTAATGTTGGAGTGCTCAGACTGCTCCACTTTAAAAAGTACATTTGAAGTCTCTAAATGGGAAAAAATACACAGTAGTTAACCTCCTGCCCCCAAATGCCAAGAGTTAAGTCCAGCTTTTTAAACTGCCTGGAAATTCCTTTTATAAGTGAGGTAGAAACAAAACTTTATAGATATGAAAAGGTATTCATACCTATTGGATCTTTCATATTTTACCCGTACAAATTATAGATGTATTATTTTTGTATGAAAAAACTTAAACAATGCACAGTGTTCTGTTCCAAAGTAGTATTTCATTATCTAGTAATATCTAGTAATTACATAAAATGATCATTTCTACAAATTTCTAATACAGCATTTTACTGGCGATGTCTTCCCACAACATATAATTTACATCTTCTGTCAACTTAACATCTTTTAGGCTTAGCAATTTTCGGGGGGAAAACCTTGATCATAACACATAATTTGACTTGTAGCTCACCTGTACCTATGCTATGAGACAGTACACTGCCAAAATAGATACCCAGATATCATTACATCAGGTGTGAGAGACCAGAAATCCCTATATTTAACTATTTTAAATGACATGCTTAAAAGACAACTATTCTGATTTTAATCTCAGAATTCAGAGATTAAAGTCAGAATTCTTTTTTTTTCAGTGCCACTAATCATCTTCCGTATTTATAAGCATCTTTTTTTCTCAAAAAGTTACTTAAGTAAACTTGACCTGCTGTAAGGTGCCCTTTGTTTTCTTTTGCGGGAAACAAAGGGCACAGATACGGGAAGTGCGGGAACCTGTACTGTATCAAATCGATATCGGAAAAATAGAAAGTTGGTCACTCTGAGGTAAAAAAAAAAAAGAGAACGATTGACTCTGTGGGCGAGCAATGCCCCCCAATGCCCGCCCATACAGTTGCATATGAATTCAGGCATTAATGGGTTAAATTTCAAAAGCCACAGAAAAGTTGCGCAGTTATTTGGCCCGATGTTTTCGTGAATCCACCACGGTTAACGCACGCTATTGTTTTGTGGACCTCTAAAATTAATTAGAAAATAACGTCCAGTTCGGCTGTGTTTGAAAACGCAATAATATATGAATATATTTAATTATTCAACAGATCCTTTGCACTTGTAAGTGAGCTTGTGAGTAGTCACCTGTAAACAATCATTGTTACATTTTTTTATGCAGTTTATTAGCAACAGGCTGGCGACTAGCTTGTTTTGCTAATATTTATTTTTCCTCCTCAGGATAATGTTAGCTTGTATTTAGCAATAAAGGTCGAGAAATAGAAATTAGAATTGCTGATAAATTACAAGCAAGTGTGAGAATAAAGTTGTTTAATACAAATCAACTTTATAACTTTTGACATGTGTAATAAGCAGCTTCTGGTTGTCCTCATACAGATAATTTATTAACACATGCAGTAGTATTTGTGGAGGTATAATGATTGTCACAAATTTATGCTGTAAAAGTGAATGCAAATAATATTTTATATTTATCTTTAAACATTGATAATGGACAAGCTACCAGCAAAACCACTAATATTCCACAACTAGTTGAATATTCCAACAATATAAACTGATAGATACATTTATTTAGCACTTTTTATACTGAACCTTACAATGTTTGTGTTTAGCTGAATTGAACTCATGCTAACGTGACCTTATACTTGTAATAATAGCCACTGACTTGCTAAATGTCTTGTTTACAGTGTAATGAAAGACATGGCAACAATGGCAGGAAAACTGATGCCACCAGCAGTAGCCAAGCAGACGCTGAGCAGCAACAAAGGGACAAACCAAACAACTTCCCAAGAGGTTAGAACATCAGAAATTACTTCATGCACACATTCAACTGTTTACTCAGCTGCAGGAATCTTCTCACAGCCATGTACTCATTGTATCAAATAAGAAGCAATTTTCCATGTTACTGATCTTGAGAAGACATTATGGCCATAAAAAAATGTTTATTTTTTCTTTTATGAAATGCTTTTTATATTAATATTATGGCTACATAGTGGCGCAGTTGGTAGCACTGTTGCCTTGCAGCAAGAAGGTCCTGAGTTCGATTGCCGGCCCAGGGTCTTTCTGCACGGAATGTGCATGTGTGGGTTCTCTCCGGGTACTTCAGCTTCCTCCCTGAGTCCAAAAACATGACTGTCAGGTTAATTGGTCTTTCCAAATTCTCCCTAGGTGTGTGTGTGTGCATGGTTGTTGCCCTGCGACAGGCTGGCGACCTTTACAGGATGTAACCTGCCTCTCTCCCGGAACGCAGCTGGAGATAGGTACCAGAAACTCCCGACCCCATTAGGGACAAGGGCGAACAGATTATGGATGGATGGATATTAATATTATTTAATATTTTCCTAAACTAGTTTGTGACAGTGTTACACAACATTGCATTCCACAGATTTGTCACGCTTTCAGTGTTAATGTTAAAAAACTTTACACAATAAGAAATGTATGTGAAAAATAGAAATGAAACAATCAGATTGTTATTAAATGATTAATTAAATCATCATCAACTAATTTAGTAATCAATTAACTGGAGACTCAACAAAATACCATTTACTGAACAAAGATCACACCCACAGTAGTAATTAAGCATAAACTACAAAAATTAAATACACTTGACCTTTAAGATAAAAACCTTCTTTGTTTACAAATCTGTTGTATCCAGAACTCTTCCATTGGCATAATTTTAGCTTCACCCCATTAAAATTACTCAAAATAAATGTTCATATTTTTCTATCCAGTTATTAATTGGTTAATACAAAAAATAGTCAGCACTTAGCTCTACACTGTGTTTGATCCTAAGTCAAGCAGAAAGGGTTGAGCTTTCTCATGTTGATGTTAGAAATATTTATCCGCTGGTGCATCCTTTGCAAGTGTTCAGTAAAGCATTCCATTTAAGACAATAAAATGTATTCTTTCTTATTTAAAATGAATTGAATTTTTAGATTAATATAATTTTTTTAAATATAATTCTAATATTCTAGTAAATTGACATATTTTTTGGAATGATAAATATTATTGAAGTGTTTTTTAATATATTTTTTTATTTGGAGGAAAGGGGACATTACAACAGGAATTCAAACTACTTATGTCACAAAATTACTATTTATTATTACATATTACACAACCTTTCCATCACAGACAGAAAAGGAGATACAAATACAAAAGAAATAATGAGTGAACAGCTGGAAAGGCATATAATTCACGTCCTAAGTTGTTTTTGTTTGTTTGTTTGTTTGAGCTTTTTTACATAACTGAACAGGACAAAATATGTACAGACCAAGTATAAAGATAATAAAATAAAATAAAAGAGAAAAAAGGGGGGAGGGGTAATAAAAGAAGTGTATGGGAGGAAGGGTGGGAGGCATCACTCAATTTAACAACTTATTTAAGTGGTTCAGTTGAAGAATTCCAATTTCTTTGTCTGAATAAAGGGTTTACTCATCGTTAATAATCGATAGAATAATCAATTCCTAAAATTGATTAGGAATTAATAGGGCTCCAACTTAATAGTTGGAGCCCTATTAAGTTGTCTTTCATGACAGAGAGTTTCTCATGAAAGAGTACATTTCATACAGGGACAAGCAGGTATGGATAAAATAAGCATATTTATGCAACTTTTTACATCTTTGCAATTTTGTTACATCTATAAAGTTCATTGACCTTTACGTGACAAACCAGCAGAAATAACTTTTTGAAATGATAGGAAAAGGATACAAGGTTTTCAAAAGTTGTTACAAATAAAAATTGTGTCTTAAAAAATATGTGGCAGGGTCACATATTTAGGTCCCATATTTATATTTAGGTCCCTTGAATCAGCTCTGTGATAAACACTGTACCTTGCAAGGGTGTATTTTCAGTGGATGCCGATTGGATAGCATACCCAAAGAGGTGCGGCTTGCAATTTACCAGCATTCACTTGAGTGTTATGCAATATCTGAATGCCTTTGAGCAGGGGTCCTTAATATGTCGGTCACGATAGACCGGTCGATCTCTGGAAGGTTTTTATTTGATTTTTTGCAGTAAGAGACAAAGTGAACACTGCCAGGAGGCTTATGAAGCGCTTATCAAAATATTCACTAAGATCCGAAACATTTGGAACTTTATTAAAGGTAAGAAGAAGAACTCTACAAAACATGTTCAAATTAATAATCCAACAAAAATAATAATCACAGTAATTATTATTCCAACATGGTGTTGCACAATATTGTGCGTTTTGGTTCCATTAAAAACAGGTGACCTACAGACCGAATCTCTGACATCACTAGCAGAGGAGGAGTTTAAAATATCTACTCAACCACTGCTGTGTTGAGGAGAGTGCTAACAGCTAATCGCAAAATAAACATCAACTCTGAAAACAAAATATTGTAGCGAACTGAATATTATGTTTTTAACGTAATCTCCAAGTACAGACTAAGGAAGAAAAAAAATTGTGGTTTTGAGTTGCTCACTTGTTCAAGTTATTTTACGTTTGTTTACCGTTGCTATGGGACATTATAGCATTATGTTCAATAAATGACAAAATTGGACTAATTACCTTGTTTGCGAATGTCATTCACAAAAAATGTCAAATAGGACATTTAATGTAGTATTTAGCAAACAAATGGCTCCTATCACAACAATTATGTGAAATTAAATTTTTTGTCGTACATAAAAATTTTGCCTTGAATCCAGAGTTTGAGAGGAGCTTTATTGACTACGTATGAGACTTCCTCCAAAATGAGAAGCTTTTACAACTTGCATAGCTTGTTGCTGCTGACAATGAGGAACTAACATTCATAATTGACACTGAAATAAAATCCAGTCCAAAATCTAGCTTGAAGTGACACCTCTTTTACCTGTTGGAAAAAAAATATCCCAACTTCAGAAGATGGGCTTTTATCTTTACAGTTTTCTATGGTTCCTCCTATTCATCTGCTGTCTCACATTTAAATCATAAAACTAAATTTCAGATGTACCATAACTTATTGATGCCTGCTATCCTAAAGTTTGCAACAAGTTTCTGCGGTAAGAAACTAGCCATCTCCTTCTAGTATCAGAAAACTATGAGGAAGAAACTGCATTAGATTTTATACCACTTCAGTATGTGTATTGTATATTTGGGTATAAAATAAGTCAATAGAGTTTCATTTACAATTTTGATAACTTTGTGTCTTGTGGTAGCTCGCTGCTGGCTGGTGAAAGAAAAAGTAGATCTTGGTCTCAAAATGTTTGGGTACCCCTGTCTTAGGGGTTACATGCATAGGCGACATACTCTGGTGTCACTCGGTTTAAACAAGGCATGTAACGAGGTAGAAAATGGTGTGCGGTGGTGACGGGGGGAGAGAGAATTTTATTTTGAGGTATTCGATTAAAAAGGTCTGTTGTATGTGAATACAATGCATACATTTACTATTTTTTGTAATACATTTTCAAAACCATGTATCACTTTACCTTGGATATCCCATTTTGAGAAATCTGTTTTTAACATGTGTTCATGTTTGACAGATGATACAGTGATACAGTAGATTAAGAGGAACAAAACTGCCATGACAAGCTTTAAGTATTCTTTTTTTTTTTCCTTGCTGCAGATGGATTGTCCACATTTATATCGGGACAAATCTCCACCAAAGAAGAAAAAAGCTCATTCTGAAGCATCTACTCTGAAGTCAGCCGGTTCATTTGATGCCACAGCTGCAGGTATGTCTTTCTCACAAGTAGTAGAAAGCTGCTGTGTAAAACAAACAGGATGTCCAGGACTAACCTTAGATCATTTACAGCTGGTGAAAAACATATATAAAAGATATAATAGTTCCTTTTTACTACTAGAAGGGAAAGATTACTATTATCTGACATTTTGTTTCTTGCTCCAGGTGCAGGACGAGAGATCAGCATGCTGCTTACAAACTTTACTGACCTTTTACGGTAATCCTGAAGTTATTCCAGTTTTTAATTATGTTACTCTGACTTGGAGCTTGAGGGTTGTGATAGCTTGTTTTGGATGTCTGGTGATTAGCCTATGACCACATAGGTGTTACAGAGTGTTACAGTTAACCACCCCAATGAAATTGTTTACATCACACTTTCTCAACACAGTTTTTGACCACAAGCACTGCTACAGTTTTAACTGTCAGATACAATTCTGCAAAAAATATCAATACCAGTGAAGAAATTGCAAATATTCAAACTGCATTCTGGAGATCATAACCAGTGAGCTTCAAATGCAGAAGGAAAAAAACTAGAAAAGACAGTGCAAATAGAATAGTAGGCAAATGACTGAAAACCGCATTTTAACTGAGATTGTTCATCTGCTTAGAGGTGTGCTACATCATCTTGCTTACAATAACACTGGTGGACTTTTTGACACTGGTGAAAAAAAATAATATAGCAATATCATATGAAAGAAGAAAAAACTGAGCCTGACCTGCTTCTATAGTTGTTTGCCAGCTGCAATTATAACAAATAAGAAGCTGGTAAAGCTGGTCCACACTCTAAACTGGACCGAATCTCATAGAATTAGCTGATATCGGCAATAAGAGAAAGATGTAGTGTTTTGGCCACTGCAGCTCTCATACCCGCCATTACTTGATTACTTGGAGCTCAGCTCTGCTTCTGCTCATCTCTCCTATTCACATAGAAAGAACAAACCGGTCAGTCACCTATGGCAAAAAGACTTTCTGAAATACCAAAGTCTTCCTAAAAAGTAAATAACTCAAAGTTCCGGGTATATGAAGAAACATTTTCTGTCCATTTTGCCATTTTTGGATGGCAGGTACAAGTTTACGATGATTACTCCAGAACATAGAAGAAGCTAGCTAGATGGAGAATATCAGTTTCCTAAATCAAGAACAAATCAGTAGAACCAAGAGTGCTTATTGCTCTGTGTCCCGAATCAGATATTATTTTAGGGAAAAAATTAACCAAACTTTCCTCACTGTTGGTAAAGCAAAGCAAGCAGTGCAGTGGTAGGAAGTGCAGGAGAAATGGATCTTGGGGTGGAGGTGGTTGTCAACTGCAATTATGCGGGAATATGAAAGCTAAAACTTTAATTATTAATTAATTGAATTAATAACTTCAATCCAATTGAAATTATTACTTCAATGGAGATGTCTGTGGCAGATGGAAGAAATAAAAATAAGAACCAGATCATTAGGATGTGAGCACAAGCTTTTACTGTGTGCAGGATTTTTTTTATTTTATATAACATGTATTTTGGTGTTGAGCATTTTTAGAAGTAAGATTATTTTTCATATTGAAATAAGATTCTTACCTTTGTACATAATGTAGGTGTTCTATAAAAAACATAAGGGGAAATACTTTTTAACATCTTCTAAAACTCATGTTCAGTTGAACTGCAAGTTTGTTTTATTTGGGTATTTTTTTAGTTACACTTGGTAACTGATTTCAAACTGCTTTGTGTTGGCCATGATTAGTTAACATTTATACTTGCTCTATTTTATATTTTCTTTGATGCACTAAACATATTATATGATTTTATTTACAAAAATATTTCTTATTCTAATGTTAGTTTATAAGTTGAACTCAAAAAAGCAACTGTTTTGAAATTCCATATTTGTTTGGCCAAATTATAAAAACAAATGAAAAAGCTGAAAATGTGAAATATTGTCTCTGAGGTTGTCATGGAAGCTTAAGAAAAATATATTGTGATATTTTTTTGAAATATTGATCATCCCTACATCAGCTGATTAAAAGTTTAAGAGTGACTCATAACCTTAAAAAACCTGGATCTGCTTATAAATCTAGACTGCATGAAATTTTTTTAGCCATTCATTCACTCATGTCCCTGTCATGACAAAGACAAAAGGCTTTCTTTACCAGCTGGGTAGCTGGTAAGGGGCTACCCGTACCAGCAAGACCTCTTGCAGCGCTCCTTTGCTACAGTTGAAAGCACTAACCTTTTCCTTAGGGTTTGGGATAAAAAAAAACAAAACATTTTGCCTGTGCTGAGGTAGATTATTCATCTGGCTGTCAGTGAAGATCGTGACAGATCTTCATCTCAAATGCTTTACTGATGCAGTCCAATAACAATAAAACTGGATGTGCTCTACATGATTTTACTCCTCAATGACAGTCTGCATCTGTTTCTGGTTGTGGTTAATCTGCCAGGTGAGTCGGCACCAAATGAGATGGAGTGAAGAGTGTGAGTGTGTGAGGGAAATCGACCCAATCTCTATCACAGTCAAACACCTGCAGTCATGTAGTCTAAACTGATCATCAGCCTAGCTTCTCAATAGAGGCTGGGACCTGGCAACGCCTATATTGCAACTTTAAAATGAAAACTCTTTGTGTCTGCATAACAAACGCATGACTGCACTGGATTTCGTGCTATGAAAAAAAAGAGATTACATGTTTAAAGTCAACATTGAGTCATTCCTAACCCCATCAAACAATGTCATATACAGTCAGCATAATCTAAGTTTACAGTCTAATATATTCTATTACCTGCACTCATTGGTGTGTATTCCTTCAAGCTGTTGCCCTTAAAACTGTTTGAGTTTGATGCTCTTTGTCAGCTTTCATTGTTCTGAAAGGATCCAGTAGTCTGTAATGCTTCAGCAGATCCAGGTTTTTAGTGTGTAATCGCCAGTCGTTCAGGTTTCTTTAAACTGATTGTTTAAATAAACCTTATAAAACATCAGGATGTGTAACTTTTTCCCTGATTTAAGAGGATGATCATATTTTTACAGTCAGTCTGGTTTGTTCCAGTGAGAGAGCAGCAGCAGACACGACACAGATGAAGGAGCTGGAGGGCATTCTGACAGAAGCGCGAAACCTGGAGTCATACCTGAAAGAGAAGAAGTGCAACCTGAGGCAAACTTTGGCTCTAATTTCTAATAAACTGCAGAGTTAAATCTGGTGTTTTCAGCTGGTGATTACCAGTTAAGTATAATATAAGGCAGGTGTGTTTGTTTTATTTCGCCGGTCACCCTGCTTGTGGTCTAAATGTGACATGTCTGCAGTTCAATAGGAAATGTGTTAAAAGACCTACGTTTTAATTAAATCTAGACTTAGAATATAAAAATATAGAAACATATTTTTCTTCTTTGTGAAAAAAAAATGACAGAGAATTCTTTTACAAAATTATTTTATCTTTCTGCTGAAATAAAATGTTAAATGAATTCAAAATTTCTCCACTTATTTCAGCTCCGGTTACACTACAAAGAGTCACAGCATTTATTTAAGTATACTTTTCATTACACATGCCCTGTTGTACAATAGCATACACACACTCTCACACTATCAGGGTGCATCGTGCTTAAAGCTTTCATAGTATCAACATTCGTAAACTTTTTTTTGTCATATAAGCAAAACATTAGCATTCAACACATGAACAGAAATCCTTGAAGGGTTTCAGTCTATCATTAAATGTTTAGTGAAGGTATTTGTAATGTATGATTAGACAAGAACATTAAAGAAGGCAGGTAGACTGCCTTCTTTAATGGCAGTCTACCTGCCATTAAAGAGGTAGGTAGACTGCCTCTTTAATGTTCCATGGACATTTTAATGAATGTCCATGGAACATTCAGTAGAATGTTCCATGGAAGCCATATGGGATGTTGACTGGCAGCACAGCCCTTCCCAGCTCCTTGAATGTCTTTGCATCCAAAACCAGAAGGAAAGTACTCTTGTCCTGAAAATAGGTAAATGCAAAACAATTATGATCCATCTAAATGGACAGTAGTATGTGTTTTCCAGCTTCCATAATTTTATATTAAATAAAAAAAATTCCCTTCTCACCCATTGCGGGTGGTTCTTATCATCTGAGCTCGGGTCCTCTACCAGATGCATGGGAGATTGAGGGTCCTGTGCAGTATCTTGGCTGTGCCAAGGTCTGCACATTTCTCCAACCAGACATTGTCGTAGTGGATAAACAACAGAGGAAAGCCGTTGTGGTAGATGTAGCAATACCAAGTGATTGCAACATCAGGAAAAAGGAGCACGAGAAACTGGAGAAATACCAGGGCCTCCGGGAGGAACTGGAGAGGGCCTGGAAAGTGAAGACCACAGTGGTGGTCATTGGGGCCCTCGGGGCAGTCACCCCCAAACTGGAGCAGTGGCTACAACAGATCCCAGGAACAACATCAGACATCTCAGTCCAGAAATGTGCAGTCCTTGGCACAGCCAAGATACTGCAGACCCTCAAGCTCCCAGGCCTCTGGTAGAGGACCCGAGCTCAGAGGATAAGAACCACCCGCGGTGGGTGAGAAGGGAATTTTTTATATATGTGTGTGGGTGTGTTTGTGTTGTGTGTGTGTGAATAACATAACTCAAAAAGGTCAATTTCACATTTAACATTTCTCCTCATATCATGAAATACTGTGAGGAACTTCACAGTTAAAATATACCTGACCTTGTTTGCAGTGATGATTACAGACTGGATGATACCGTCATCCTCCTCTGAAGGCAGCACAAATCATCAAGTAAAGACTTTACAGAGGTGTAGAAATAGGCTTCTATGAGTCTCAGTAAGCAGAAACATTTTCAGCTGAGCACACACATAAGCTAACTGGCAAAAATGTAAAATAAGCTGTGAGAAAACCAGTCACATGGTAACATTAAAAGGCATATTTTAAATGCTGCAAATTCTAGCATACCAAAAATAAAAGTAAAAGGTAAGAAAAAAGTAGTTTTTTGGTAGAATGATGAATGTAGTAGAGTAGTTAAAGGTTTATTTATGAATTGGGATTATTTCCAGATAAGATTTTTAGTTCAGAAAAAACATTATTTTTCTATAATATTTAAAATATTAAAATTTAACTACCAAAAATCTTACTGAATATAAAAGGAAAAGAGCAATAACTAAGGATTCCTGTTCATTTAGGTATATAGGAGGAAATTAAGAAAAATGAGCAAAAATAAGTCTTGAAATCAGATATTATTAACTTAAGTATTCCTTTAGGCAAAAGTGAGGGGAAATCTATCATATATATATATAAGTGCGTATGGATGTAAGTGCGTGTGGATGTAAATTTGCAAATTCATGCATACCATTGAGGTATATATTATTAAATTCCCTCTGAGATCATTGATGACCACACTCCAGTCTGGTAGGTGGCGGTAAATGCACCTTAAGTTGGTTGCCATCGGCAATAAAAAACAAAATGAGAAGGAGTACTTTCAGGGAGACCATGAAGAATCTGGATATCTGCTGACGGCAGTCGTTCAGAACACAGTAAGCTCGGTCCTGTTCGTAGTGAGTACGTAATCGTAAATTCTTAATTGTTCTGTGTAGAGACTGCTCCCTGCGCTATAACCGCATATTGAATTGCTCTCAACATGCAAAAACGTAGAATGCAGAACAGACAGTAGACGAAGTGAAGTTATGTGAAACATACTGTATAGGTAAAGCATTTCCTTTAGTCCAGAACAGTTTTCTTTTCTGATCAAAGGTTTCAGAAGATGTGAATATTTCAGTCCAGCTGTCTTGCAGACAGAATTTAATTATTTCTGTAAATTCCAGACGGGATTAGAACTAACAGTTTGGGAAATATGTGTAAACAAGGTATTGTTTACACATTTGAAGTATGGGCACTCATCCCGGAGGAGATGAAAAGACTTCATGGTGATAGTTGGTGATTTCAGTTCTAATTTGAGGTACAAAAGCTAAAAAAAAATTAAACACATTTCTTTAACTGTTTATAATATGAAGGCTACAGGTTATTTTTCTCTTTGTTCAGAATAATTATTATGTTTTCATCACCCTGATCCAAACTAATGAGTAGTTTACCTTATCTGTAGCAGTCTCCTGTTAAGGCAGAAGAAATGGCGCCTTTAGCTGGGACAGAGCTGATCCACACACCCGTGCAGCTCTATCGACACCTGCTGCGATGCTGCAGGCAGTTACCATCGGCAGCCATGCAGCAGCATTACCGGCACGCCATACGACAGGTAAGCCTTTCATATGTTCTGATTGGCTGGAGGATCATGTTGTCTTAAGCAAGTTGTCCCTTTGATAAAGCATCACTAGCTGTGTCATCAAACATAAAATTGCAGAAGTTGAAATTAAGAAAACTCAATAGAAACATGCAAATTAAAAAAGAAAAAAAAACTCAAGTTTTTGTAATACAAACGTTTTGGGCTGGAATGGGGTTGTTTTTTGCACAGTATCAAATGGAAGCCATCAAAGTGAGACACAGAAGTCTCCTTTGATGGTTAATTATTATGAATGTGTCTGATGTTCAAGTATTTGAAACACTCCTCCAAGTTACAAAGTGGGAGTGACAGAATCCTTCCCATCCATCTTCTGTACAACCTTGTGTACAGAAGATGGATGGGACAAGGAACACCACTGGTCCCTTGTCTCCTGGGTGCTTTTGCCTATCTCCCACGAGACATTTCAACAGACAGGTTGCCAGTCTGTTGCAGGGCAACACAGAGACAGACAGGACAAACAACCACACACACACACACACACACACACACACACACACACACACACACACACACACACACACACACACACACACACACACACACACACACTCGCCTAAGGAGAATTTAGAGACCAATTAACCTGACATATTTTTGGACTGTGGACAGGACAGGGTAACACATGCACAGGGAGAACATGTACACACCATGCAGAAACACTCTGGGTCGGGAATCGAACCCAGGATCTTCTTGCTGCAAGGCAACAGTGCTACCAACCCGCCATTGTGCAGCCCCTGACAGAATCTAAAACAGCAATTAAGAAGCCCTCCTGTTTTCCGTTCATTACCTGTATTTGCAGTACACCTGACTGAGAACTCAATCAGACAAACTTCACAATGGTCAAAACCAGAGAGCTGTAAAAAGACATCAGGATGAAGCAGCAGATCTGCACAAGGCTGGGATGGGCTACTGGAGAATAGACAAACAGCTCAATGTTTTGCATGTGTTTTTTGCACAGTATCAAATGGAAGCCATCAAAGTGAGATTTGCAACTACTGGTGCAATTCTAAGAAAATGGAAGAAGTTAAATATGGCGGTTATTCTCCCTCAATCTGGGCTTCCTTGCAGTTCCTTGTGGGGAATTAATGACCACGAGGAAAGTGAGACATCAGCTCAGAATACACAGCAACAGTATCAGGTGGTCTTTGCCAACATCCTCCTTCCCTCAGTGAAGGTGTTGAAGATGGGTCATGGCTGAGTCTTCCAGCATGAGAACAACCTGAAGCACACAGCCAGGATAACCAATGAGTGAGTATAGACAGTAAGAAGCATTTCAAGATCTTGTAGTGGCCTTGCCTGTCTCCAGGCCTGAACTCTATAGAAAATCCATGGAGAGAACTGAAGACCACTGTTGCCCAGCGACAGCCTCAAAACCTGAAAGATGTGGGGAAGATCTGTATGGAAGAGTGGTCCAAAATCCCTGCTACAGTGTGTGCAAACCTCATCAAGAACTACAGGAAAATTCTGATATTTGTAATTACAAGCAAAGGTTTATGTTGTTTGAGGGTTTTTTTTGTTTGTTTTTAGATATATCAAATACATGCAATAAAATGCACATTAATTACTTAAAAATCATAAAATATGATTTTCTGGATTTTTGTTTTAGATTCTATCACTCACATTTGAACAGTACCTATGATTAAAATGATACTTTAACATGCTTTGCAAGTGGGAGAACTTGTATCAAATACTAGTTTCCTCCACTGAAACGGTTTACATCCATCCCTACCATGTTTTTAAAGATGCAATGCATGCACAAGCTTATTCACATGTGATCTTCATTTCATCTATTTAATAGAAACATCACAATTGTAAAATTGTCAACATTACCTCAGTATAGACAAAGATTTTTGTATATGTGTAATGGAAACACAATTAATGAGATGCTCCATATTATTCATTTATACTAACCGATTTGCTCACCTTAGTTTAAGAACTTTAAGCAATCCTCTCAAGCAGCAATGTTTCATGTTAAAATCAACATTTATCATCTACATAAAACCCAAGAAGTTGGGGATTAAATCTTTCTCTAGATTTATAAACAGTGTCTTTCAAACCAACACAAATATAATCCTCTGCTGCTTATTTCTAGGGCTACAACAGCCACTCAGACGAAGACGATCCAAAGAGGATACAACTGATCATCCAGAGGGCCATCCAGGATGCAGAATGGATTTTAGATAAAGTGAGAGTGGCAAGCTGAAAATTCAGTTTTTATTACATCCATGGTCATCATTTTAAATTCATATTTATTTACAGTATACCAAGAAGAAGTAGCCTCCATCAGCCACAAGGACATCATGTGCTGTAAAGAATTTTTTTCCAATAAATTATTTCAATTCAAGAAGTTTACTGTTCATTATTTCAAAGCTAAATGCTGCTGTGCGGCTTTTGGTGTTCCAGGTCTTCTGGTTTCAACATGAACAATTTTCTTCTTAGACACATGTGACATGACAACCAGAAACTTCAATGGACTGAATGTAACTGGCCAATACAAAACAGCACAGTTCTGTAGTGGAATTGAAGGTTTGGTGGCTGCCAATTAACTAGTGAGAGCAGTCAGCTGCACCAGATTAAAGGGACCCCAGATCTACCACATTGCATATTTTAATTTGTGAAAGATTTTAGAATGTTGTATAATACTATCTCACTATAATTCATTAAAGTTTGTAGTAGTAACATGATGCAATATAGTGGAGATGTGTATGCAGATGTGTACATGACATTTAAAACTGATGTTACTATAGAAACACAGCAGAAAAAAACAGACTTCTTCCTTTCTGACTGAATTCAATTTGACCAATTCACAAGAAATCTCCAAGAACTTTACAGAAGAAACAATTTATACACAAACATGGTATTTCAGTCATAGATAAACATTCACTTAAAGTCCAATTCCATCCTAGGTTTTACACAAAATATTCCAAGTTTAGTTTATTATTCCAACTGAAGTCTACCATCTAAGGAAGCCTCGTGCTTCATGATCCTGACTGCAGCAATCGTTCCTGGACACGCTTGTAATAACAGTGGATGGGAAATCTGTAACAGGAAGAAACCTTCAGCAGAACCAGAGCAGCCATCTGCAAAAACTGACAGGGGCTTTGACAAGACAAAGCATGCACACAATTACAGAAAAACTGATCCAGGAGTGCCTTCAACGACATTCCCAATGCTTCCTGTACAGTGAAAATGCCACCTGGTTTATATGAAAAACAACATGGTCAACTGTAGGAGTTTCAAAATTCTTTATTTATGTATTCTGAATATGATATGGGATGGATATAAAACATTACAGACTCATCTGCAACATTTTAGCAGAAAACAACATTTCAAGTAAAACCGTCAGGATGGTTGATGAAGATTGCAACTATGACACAGACATGACTGGCTGTTTCACTAGAATGATGGAATGAATCCTGATCTGCTTGTATTAAATTCAATTTATTTACAAATGCATACAAATACAACACAGTCGATAGAAAAGGTAATAAAACTAGATGTACATAGCAATCTTTCAGTATAAATAATGTTCATTATAAATATTTTTTTTGCATATAAATAGCTCCATCTTCCTTAAAGTGATCATGGATGCCAATCCAGTTGGTGTGAACTAAATGTTCCGAAGGCATTCTAGGACTCCACTTATGGAAATTCTAGGTTTGCTGCAGATGTTTCAGTCAGCTGCTGTCTGTCTCACACACAGCCATATCTGAGATAAGTGTTGTTAACCGGTGACGTGTGTGTGTGTGTGTGCGTTTCTTTTTAAAGCTGGAGTTCATTGGCAGTTTCTGAAAAGAGGTTGCAGCAGAAGGAAACTGGACTGCTACAGGCACTCTGGAAACAGGCTGCGGTGTTGCTGAGTCATGTCATCACTTCTGCAGAATAAACTGGTCAATGAACTCGTTCTGCTCAGATTCTACTTTGGACAGGGCTTCATACTCAATACGGTACCTGAAATAAGAACATGACTCACTCACAAAAAAAACAAAACAGAATGAAATCGAACAGCATCAGCCTGTTCTTAGTTTAGTCAATGCTATTTTTCATAATACTTTATTTTTGCTTTCTTGTCTCATAAATGCTTAGATCATTAAACTATTATACAAGTACAATCTAATAACGTTAGACAAAAATAACCTAATTCAATGTAGAAAGCAGTTTTATATGATTATCCTTGTTAAATTATGAAGAACAGTTTTTAAGAATCCTAGCTCCAATATTTCTTGCCACACACAAACCTGATTACTGCTCTACTTGAAGAAACATAAAATCTCCTTAAAAAGAAGCTTATAAAGTTTACGACTGTTAGACTTGAGCAGTCCACAGTGAGAAATATCCACAAATGTAGAAAACGTGGAATGTGGAACTGGAGCTTTTGGAGAAAGGGTTGGTTAACCAAGAATACTTCAGAAAGATATGAGAAACTCATCCAAGAGCTCACAAAAGAAGGCAGAGCTACATCTACAGAAGAACAGCACTCATTGACCGCAGTTCAGGTCAGAGTTCATGATTCAACAGCATGAAGTAGACCAGACAAATGCAACTCCCATAAATCTGGCATTTATGGGAGACTTTGAGGACTAAAACAAAACAAAACAAAACATGAATATGTGGCTCACATTTCCGAAAAATATCCGTATTGGAGTTCAGGGGAAATAACTTTTTCATAGAGGTGAAGCTTTGAAAAAGTTCACCTGTATGAACAACACAGTCGATAGAAAAGATAATAGGCTGCTGTATTAAAAATCTGTATTTTCTATTTACTCTACTTACCTTTGCTTAACATTAAAAGTTGTTTTATTCATGTGTAATAAGAAAGCAAAACCAGAATAACGTCTTTTTAAAAACAAAGCCTTTTCCACAATAGTGGAAATTGCCTTAAAACCATCCTTAGGACTGAGAAACCGTATTTAAGTTTCACTTTGAACATTGTCTTGAAACGCCCATCACTTCTTCCTCTTACCTTTCCAGCTGCATTTTCTTTTCTGCTATTAGAGCCTGAAGCTGCTGCTGCTGTGCCTCTCGTTGCTTTGCCACAGATTTCAACAGGTTTCTGGCTCCAATTGCCTGAAAAATAGAAAATTAGGATAAAAAATTATATTTTATCTAAATTCTCATCGTCAAATCGAAACATTCAGTCAATTATACCTGATATAGTTCCTTACAAAAGTATTCACTCCTTTTGAAGTATTTCACAGTTTGTCTCATTGAAACAATTTCTGAGTTTTGCATGGTTGGGTGAAGCCATTTATTGTCTTACAGTGTTTACTCTTTTTAAATCATAATGACAACAAAAAATACTTGTGTGCATGTTCTGAGGTCAAAATCACCAAGTAAACTTTTATGAACTGATGAGATGAAACTGAAAACTCTTGACAGGCCAGACAGATGGGCTTGTGGCTGGATCATTAAAGGGCACAGAGCTCCACTTCACATTAGATGCCAGCAAGGTGGATGCAGAGTACTAGTTTGGGCTAACAATTTTAAATATGAGCTAGTTGGACCTTTACTAGTTGAAGATGGACTCAAAATCAACTCCCAAAGCTTCTGCTAGTTTTTAGAAGACACTTTCTTCAAGCAGTGAAAAGGGAAAAAGTCTGCATCTTTCAAGAAGACCATAATTTTTATACAGGACAATGCTCCAACAAACATCAAAGTACTCCATTTATGTGGCTAGCCAGTAAAGGCCTTAATGATGAAAGAATAATGCAGTGGTCCCCTTTCTCATCAGACCTAAACCCCATTGAGAACTTGTGGGCCCTTTTTAAACGGGAGATTTAGATTAAGGAAAACAGTTCACATCTCAAAATAGTGCCTGGGAGGCTGTAATCATCAACAGATCAAGAAACTGGCAGACTTCATAAATGTTATTGAACTGTTATTGAAAAGAAGGAGGCTACATTGGTCACCGATTTATTTATTTTTTTTTTAATTTTCACTATAGCGGATGATAAACAAGTGAGATGGGAAAGTTTCAAGTTTTATTTCAGTTGCATGATAATTCTGTACACTAATAGTTGCACAATAATTGTGCACACATAGATGTGTTCCTAAAAAAGTCAAAATCTCACTTTTATTTTTTTAAATATTCAGGTTTGAGACACTATTAACATTTTGGATTGATGGGGAATACTGTAGAATAAAATTAATCCTCAAAACTACTTGCATAATAATTGTGCACACTGTATATGTACTCTGGAGGATTTCTTTGGCCAATTTTTAGAGAATATGAAAGATAAAAACAATTTTCTCTCAAGATTAGTGGTTGAGTGAAACTATTTATTGTCAAACATCTATGTTTACTCTTTTTAAATTACACAACAAAAACTACCCAAATGGCACTAATCAAAAGTAGAGGTGTGCCAATGAATCGGCACACCGATCATAATCGGCCGATTTCTGTGAAAAGGTATATGATTGGTGATCGCCAATCACTGTCTCTTGTTGCCAATTACCAAAACCGATCACATTTATCTCACTTTGCAACCTGTCTGTGCTGCTATCTCCTCTTTCATACTGCGCAAGCGCACAGAAACAAATCCTGTCCTGTGGAACTACAACGCTCTGAGAATGAATGGGGACGTTTGTGTGTTGCAGTGGAAAATTACCTTGGGGTGAACTATGTCAAAATGCATCTTTCTATGTCTGCCTCACCCTCATTTTTTCCGTTTCTGCTTCTTTTGCCAGTTCATCGACCATCTCAATTAGACCACCGACAATCTTCTGAAACTGTCCAATTTCTGCACAGACACATGTTTGGACACCCATTATGTGTCACATAATGTCCTTTATGTTGGAAAGAGAGAAACATGAATGGAATCAACACAGACTTTAAATCTGAGAAAAAAAGGATCACATGCTTACTGTCCACAAACTCTTTGCACTCCTCCTTTAACTCCGAAGTCTTCTGGCTGACATCAGGCTCAAGCACTCGCAGCTTGTTGAGCTCATCAAAATAGAAGCCAGCCTCGGCTAAGGGGTCCTTTGCCATGGCTGCAGAACCTGCCGCAAGACAAAACCTGAATGAGGAATGAACTGTTTGAATAGAGAATAAACAGAAATTCTCTATTCTCTATAAAACAGAAATGGCATTGCTTTTTAGCCTTTACATCGTTTTAGATGGGGTCTTGTGTAGTAACTACACCCTGAATTGGCTACTGGAGAAATTAAAACCGCACTGCTTTATTTTCAAACACAAATTAAACATTTCTCCCAGATAAGGTGGTTCACAATTGTCCCAGCCAGGGAATGCTCAATTTACATCAATGACTCTCCTAATAATGTTTAACTAATTTCAAATTGCATTCGTGTGCCACCATTCGCTTAAACTGATACAGAAATATTTTCATATTTGGAACCAAATGCTTCCAATCAAGCCTTCACAGTTCTCCATTCCCTCTTTGCTAGAACTTCTTAGCTAGTACGCGAGCTAGCTAGATTAAGCTAACCGTGTCCAGTTGGGACAGAACTCGAAGCAAATTACTTTACTTATTAAACCAGATTTTAGTTCATTCGGTAGTTAAACTAAATTAGTTTCTAGCTACCAGCATATTGGACGTAATTCTACGTATTTTAGCTGTTGTACCTTTATTGCTTCGGGCGACTGGTTTTCCTATGTTGTGATGTGGCAAGACAACTAGTCCAGAAGATAAGCTCCTCCTCCTGCCGCTGCCCAGGAAACCAAACACTTGGCAGTAGTGAAAGCCAATAATAACTAGCTGAAGCTAGGATACTTAAGTCCCACCCCTTCTCATCATGGCTGCAGCGAGATCCTTTTTTTTTTAGAACCTTAAAAAGTTTAAATGAAAGGACGTTTTTCTTTAAAATGTGCCCCTTTAAATACATTTCTTTAATTTAAGATGTATTTTCTTGTACCAATGCTGCCACTCTATACAATAAAAGCTTTAAGTAAGCGCTCCTTTAACATCTGTCTTACAGCTTGTGTTGTTTTTTTTGTTTTTTTAATTAATATTATTAAGGCATCAGTATACAAAGACTCGCAGAGGTACAAGGAACATTGCAATATAGGTAAAGAAGAAACAAAACAAGGGGCTAAAACTAAAGACAAAAAAAAAACAAACAGTAAGGCAAATTATTAGAAACAGAGCAAGATTTAAAACAAAACAAAAGTAGAGATACTGTCAGTTACTTTTTTTGCATACACAGATTTCGAATGTTTCAGGGAGATGTAATACAGTTGAAACTGATTAAGAAAAAAAATACAGCAATGTATATGATATCTAACAAGCCAGAAAACAATATTTACCAAGGTCATCAACATAGTACAATATGTGGGTGATGTTTATCTCAGGGATAGCTTCAATTTTAAGGCACAACCAGTTTTTAATGTCTCTCCATAGTTTAAAAGAAAAAGGACAGGATAAATAGAGATTATTCAGGAATTATTCACAAAAGGCTCAACATATTAAATCAAATTTAAATCGTTTGTGCAAAAATTCAACCATTGGGTAAATATTGTGAGAGATTTTGAAATGAGTTTCTTTCACCTTGGGTGAAACCGGCCATTTAACATACTTGGAAAACCTCTTCTCAGTTAAAGACAAATTAGTTGTTACCAAGATATTATTGTTGTAATCATTAAATAATTTAGATTTGAAGGCAGTCACAAGCATACCATTATTACACTTTTTATCAGTCACAATATATTCTCCAATTTTCAATTTAGGTAAAGATGAAGTAACACTTGAAAATCTTCAGGTGTTTTGGATGAGATGGATCAAAGCTACAAGAATAGCTTTGCATACTTTTACATATTCATTACAAGAACAGTTCAGATTAAATTTGTGGGTAAAATCTCTATGATTTAACAAAACACCATTACGTAATCCATTAAGTCAGTTACAAATAGAATACCTTTCTCATACCGATCAGTTTTAAAAATAGATTTTCTATTTATCGCAGCGAGATCCTTCTCGGTGAAATGGGCAGAAGTAAATGTACTTCCTGTTACTTCACAAAGTTAAGGACAATAAACTGATTAAGAAAAAAATCAAACTAATTAGGCTGCTGTTCTGGAAGACAGATAGTACATATTCTGGCAGCTGTGCTACCACGCCATGTGTCATGTTTTGTCCAGGTATAAATAGATTTACTTTAATATTTCTGATAAGAAGTCTGGCTTCCAAGCCAAACAAAGGTGGGTCATAAGAAGTGATTCTTTAATATTTTGGTGGAGATTTTCATAAAAGTTGTTCCTTTACAGTGTCACCACCTGTTGGTTCAGTTCATTAGTTTTATACATTTTATCCATCCATCCATCCATCCATCCATCCATCCATCCATCCATCCATCCATCCATCCATCCATCCATCCATCCATCCATCCATCCATCCATCCATCCATCCATCCATCCATCCATCCATCCATCCATCCATCCATCCATCCATCCATCCATCCATCCATCCATCCATCCATCCATCCATCCATTTTCTGTTCACCTTTGTCCCTAATGGGGTCAGGAGGTGCTGGTGCCTATCTCCAGCTATCTTTCAAGGGGGGCACACCCTGGACAGGTCGCCAGTCTGTCGCATTATTTATTTTATTAGTTTATTGAGCTTTCACTGTTCTGCAAAGCACCAAATTCCTCCAGACGTAATATGTTTCACATACTGTTTCAGCTACACAGTAAATGGTTTATTATTATGATTATGATAATGATGATGATTATAATATATAGCAAATATCATATTATTATATAAATGTATTTGGATTCATGGACATGTAAATACAGCATAAACATATTTGAATAGTTAGCTGAATGACCACGGAGAACCAACACAAGACAGAGAACTCTCATTTTGCAAAGCAGAAGTCAAGAACATGAGAAGAATGTATGAATAATGGAACATTATTAAAGCACAGCATGAATTTCCAGTTTTCTTCTGAAACGTTTTGCTGTTCCTGAAAACAACCAAAACAACACAGAAACAGCCAAAGAGAGTAACCTTGAGTATTTTAGGTTGACCAGCTCATGTTTAACCTAAAATGTTAAACATGAGCTGTTTAACATGACAGCTCATGTTAAACTGTCATGAGCAGTTTAACAATTGCATACTTAAAAATGATACGTTTATAAAACAACTTTGCTGTTCTATTTAATAGGATTCCCAAAACTCCAGTCCAGTAGGTGGACTTTTTTTCTTTGTTTAATTTAAGACCCACGCTTTTCCGAACCACTGTGTTAATGGAAACACGCTCTCCACTGCTAAAAGATCGTTAAGAAAAATATTAAAATCCTCCATGTATAAAAGACATTGAAGTTCTTCTACCCTGGAACTTCAATGTCCATAATAATAACAGAAGAAGTCGGCATTGCAGATTAACAAGTTAAAGATTGGGCATACTAGTTTAAATAGTGGTTTAAAAATAAATAGGGAAACATCCATTAGGTGAATGTTGTTATTGCAAGGAAACAGAAGGAGCAGAACATGTGTTGATTTATTGTAGAAAATATATAAAAGAGAAGAAAGAATTGGAAAGGGTAATGAGTTCAGTAAATATAGCTTATTGGGGAAGCAGCAATCATGATAAATTCAAGCACTTATTAAATATTTAAAAGATACAAAATTAGCAGAGAGTATTTAGTTTGTATGTGTGAGTGAGTGTATAAATATGCACATAATAAAGTAATTTTAAGATTTGAACATAAGAAAAATTAATTTCTGAATTGCATCTCCGTCCAGTTGATGGCGGTAATACACAAAGTTTGTAAACTGCCAGAAAACGCTATAGAAGAAGAAGTTGGCATTACATTTCCAGAATCTTTGCCTATTTAAACCTGAAAACAGTAAAAACAATCCAAAGTGGACGGAAAGTACCAGAAGACTGTATGTTTAAGGTAAGTTGTTATTCGCTGCTGAACGGGCTGGCGACTCACCACGTTTTCCTTTAAGAAATTATTTGAGTAATTTCTTAACTTTTGTTCATAAAAAAAAGTATATGCGGAACATAGGAGAACCATGGTTGTTCTTATTGTAGCTTCTGTCTTTTCGGGGTGTGTGCTCAGTACCAACATTTCCAGGAATTTATTTTATTCCTATTGCGGGGATGTGAGTTTTGGTGCAATTGTAGTTTAGCTAGCCTTCAACATAAGAAGCTAAAGGTAGCAAAACGCTGAGAGAAGTACGGGCAGAAAGGAGGGGCAAAACATTTAGTTCCAGTGAATTCATTACAGTGACACAACTGGCAGCAGTTTTAGACAAAGGAATTGCAGTTCCGGTGTTGTGGATTAACTTGTTGAGTCAAACCTATGCATCGCAGATGTTTCTAAATTGTAGGTGGCTGCGACCATGCCTGTTGAAAAACGCTACCTGTGTAATGAAACCATTCGCAAAACATTGGTACAAATGTAATTTGACTTGTTTATGTTTAATGTTACACATGTCAAGATTATATTTCAGAGAACTCTCATTGTCTACATTCAGTGCCCTTCGAAAACGGTGCATTTGAGCATAACCAGATCAACAGCAGGACTGAGCTCAAATAGTGGTACTTGTCTCCAGATTAATGAGCACAATCCCATTCTTATTCAAGTTCACCAGAATAAATTAATTTCAACTCATGAATAGCTGCACTGTAAACCTAAGTGGGAAGTTTCTGCTTTTTGTAACAGCACTGATCAGGAAAAAAAAACTTAGAATTTGTTCCCAAGTACAAGTAATGAGAGCTGCTTTTCATAACACTTGTCGCCTATGGTTTGTTTTCGGCTAAGATCCTGTAATACAACTACTCTGTTTCTGTACCCTTTTTTAGCGACACTGTACAAAACATGTACTGGTTAGTGTCATCATACTTAAGAAAATAAAATCACATAACTGGTAGTGTTGTGGTGTTTTCGTGTCCTAATAGAGGGGAACAAAAAGTAATGTCCGTAAGTTGTACCTCAATGAAATTTCATTTAAATTATATAAAGTTAACAACCAATACTGTAGTTGGTGGTGCTATCTGGTGATGAACTATAACAAACTGAAATGTCCCAATGGGTATTTATAATGGATAAATCAGGAATCCCTTAGCTTAGCAGTCAAAATTTGTACTATCACCCAGCATTTTTACAGTAATGAGGATTATTGTATGTCTTTCAATATTATGTTGACTGACATGTTTTACAAACTTGTCAATAAATGTAAACAGTTCTTATATCCAAGTTAATTCCTTGCTGATCTAGTGGGAGACACATTATTTCGCTTGCACCTTAGGAAGACCTCTAGCACCTTCAAACTAACTATTATCTCGGGGCTGCAGATGCAAAGCTGTGCAACTTTGTAATTTGACTATATTCTTAAAGTTAAAATTTGCCTGGCAAAATTGTTAACAATATTACCTCCAAAATGTTGGCAGCAAGAGAATATAAGTTTTTTTCAGACAATAAAAAACAAAACTGGTCCAAAAAGTGAGTTAGACGAAAATGCTAACTGAACTCATACCAGCGTTCGCTGAGTTCTGAATTACAAGAGTGCCGTTTTACCCACCAGATAAAATCTCCAGATAGAAGTCTGATATTCTTAGCTGTCATTGATTCTCATTTAACTGACACCTCGAGCTTTCAGAAGCAGACTGAGATTAACTGGGGATGTTTTCAGAGTCTCAGTTTGAGTGAAGATTTTAACCCATTTCTGATGTAAAAGTATATGAGAATTGTTTTTTCAGCTCTCTTATGTTTGAGTATTAGGGTCACTTGATGAAAAGAATAGACATTTAGTGAAATCACGAGAGAAAATATTCATCCACATTAAGAAAGAATGACACCGTCACATAGATCTGTGGTAGCCATGTCTTTTGTAAATGGGATAGAAAATAAACTATAACATATCACAAAAACAGTATTTAAAAAATATTTTTCACTGTTACGTCAGCGAATATCTAATTGAAATATTATACAGTATGAGGGAGGAATGAAAAATAACATAACCATTATTATCTTTTGATACGTTTTGTTTTAAATCCCATGGCTCTTCAGCATTTATGTCCGCTTTCAGGGATTAATCTTTGCTTTGAGATCTGTTTAGACATCCTGAGATCTATTTCGATCTTCCTTTGACGAGCTTCAGCTTCTGAAACAACACATAAAGTCAGCAAGAGTGCTGTGTGATTTACAAACTTTGGTGGTTTTGCAGATTATTCAAACCAAGGATGTCCTCAAGGGCCACTGTCTTGCAGTTTTTAGATGTGCCACAGGTACAAAATACTCGAATGAAATGGCTTAATTACCTATTTCTTTTGTAGATAAGTTCCCCCGAGACTTGCAAATGATAAAATTATTCTATTTAGGTGAGGTGCAGCAGAGGCACATCTAAAAGTTTCAGTTCAGTGACCCTCCAGGACTGGAACTTAACACCTGTGATCTAAATGGTAATACAGCGAACCCTCTCGATAACGCGGTTCACCTTTTTTTTGTGTGTTCTGCATCTTGATAGGCTAAACAGTCTCTGCGCTTCTTCTCTAAACACCATCACTTGTCAATAACGTTACGGTATTTAAATATACGTAATACAGCTTGGCAAATTTTGGAAAATATTTTTGCCCAGAAGAAAAAAAGAGCAACAACTACCGATAACCATGTTCTTCTCTCGAAAAAACATACCTCTACCACAGGCTTCAGAAGAAAAAGACTGCAGAGCGGAGTCAGGCTGCAGCGTCACAGTGAAATATGTAAGTCACAATTTGTCCTACTTTCCTTTGTATTTATGATTTGAAATGATTATTTTACTGTAGTTATTTGTAAGAAAGCGTTATATTCGTTAAAAAATAATGCTTGTGTCTGAAAACAAGTTTTCTTCTTTGGTTTGAATGTAGAGTATTTATAATAATTATGTATAATAATTATGAAAACTAAAGGTAACTACTTCATGGATTTCACCGATTACGGGTTCCTTTTGGAACACAACCCCCGTGAAAAACAAGGGTTCACTGCATACAATATTTGACCAACAAAAATCTTTGTAATTAGTTATTCTTGGGATCTTAATGGTTGTCTTATGGAATTGGATAGTATTTTGCGGAGATTTGTAGTTCTCTAAGTTTATTGCAATATTTATTTCCTGGTTTGGTAAAGGGGTCATAAAAATCTACTCCCACAGAAACATCTGCCTCTGCCAGCTGCCACCTCAAGTTAAGTTAGCCACCACCAACCAGTCAATCCTCAACACCAGCCCATTCGGTCATGTCTATGCATTTGCAGTTAATAGTAGTCACTCCAGTGTTATCAGCTTAGCAACGTTCTTGCTTCATTCAGCAACATTTCAGACATTTTATAGATCAGCAATAGGTGTACCCTTACTTAAGTTATTATATATTGTAATCTTCTTGAAGAGGGCAGGCAGTCTCGTTGGTCCTGATCCCCACGTCCCCCCGGATAATGGTGCAGGCACAGTGAGTGTAGGCGACAGGTGGAAGTGGGTAATACCTGGGCTCGTTTTGCTGGATGATTAATTGTTCCAGGAACCACTGCGATAAATGGTAATATTGTTGCTTTGGTTTTGTTTCCAGGTGATATTTTTGAGAATGGAATATCTATGCAAGTTTGCTCTCTCAGATACCAATAAAAGTTAATTTTGTAAAGAATTTAACACTGGAACTGGAAGATATTTTAAGTATACAAAATAAAGCACAACTAAAAACTAATAAAACAAAAAAAACTACACAAAAAAAGATTGCTTGCAACCAAAACTATGAATAAAATGGATTACTTGGTCTCTGAACAACATTGCCCTTAAAAACATTAATCAGAATGGAAATTATGGAGCGCATTTTAATTTGACATGCAATTAATTAATTGCTTATTGCAACAGGCTTAGCGATAACACTGAATGCTGTTCTTCAAAACACCTGAACGAAAAGCACATACTCTCCCATATCTTGCCACCAACTGGCAGGAAAAAAACATCCCAAAAAAGTCACCATAAAATCTAAGTATAACCTCACTGTGTCTAAACAGTATGATCACAAAAACAAACAGGACACTCAAAAACTGTCAGTGTCCCAGGATAAATATTGAACAACAGTCCTCCCCATAGAGATTTGGTAAAGAAAATGTAAACAAAATATAATAATATTGGTAGCAAAACATAATAAAATTGATCTATGAATAAGCGCATAAAAATCCAACATAAGTAAAGCATGCAGGTGATTAAATAGAATGAATAAGTGTAATAAAATAGCTGAAGACAATCTGAGTAAAATTGCCCCCACCTCCTTCAAATCAGACAAAATTGGTGTCAAACGTTTATGCTACATTTGTGCAGCAAAAATTTTCATTTGTGCTGCTATCATTTTAAAGATATAAAATGTTCCTATATGTCATCAAAGGTGCTAGTCCGGTCAGCCATTTCCATCTCAGTTTCATGATAGACAGTCATCATCAACACTTACTTTCACTAGTTCAAATCAGTGCACAAACTAGCATTGATTTGCTAATTTGTGCATAGTTTGGGCACCAACATATTCTATTTACACGTGAAGGCCATTTATCTCGGCCAAAATCTGCTCCTTAGTGACTTGGTTAGCTGGTGTTAGCTATGATGGGCTAGCAACAGTCACCTCAGCTTCGTTAAAGGCATGTGTGTGCTGGCTGGATCTTTTTTTGCCCGTCAATAGGGAAGAAAATAGAGAATTACTTGTCACGCTTCGATTTTAGCATCTCTGACAGTTGACAGACAAATTGTAGGTATCAAACGTTGAAAGTCGTAAAATTAATTCAGGACGTGGAGCAGAGAAAAATCCTGAGCGTCCAAATTAGGACGCCAAAAGGACCGCAAGGTGACCACCGTCCTTGCGGGTGGAATAAATGAGGCTGGGCATGCTTTCTGCCTGCAGCAGAAACATACATTTCTGAATGAAGCACAACTCAGTATTGTCAATAAGTTGGGATTTCCATCGTCACTGTGCTCTTATTTTTGTTAGGAATGGTCTGAAGCCATGAGAGGTTGAGACAGCCTCGTCAAAAGCTGTCACCACGGCGGGGGACCTACGAATCTCCGTGTGCAAGGTGGTCATCTACCTCCAGAGGAACATGTCCGGGGAACGCTGCCTACCGCAGAATCATAGCCAGGATGATCCCTCCTCTCCACATCCCCTTGTGTTTTGTCCCAAGACCAAAACCTGTAGTTACCGAGGAGCAGTGACTCTGGGCAACAAGTATGTCCGACTCAATGTTGGAGGGATACTCTTTTTCACCCCGCTGCAGGTCCTCACCAGCCAGAACTCACTGCTGGGAGCCATGTTCGGTGGAAAGACGGAAGTCTTCACTGATAAGGAAGGTAAGAGACCGGATGGTTGACCTACCGCAGCACATTGAGAAACCGTTTTGTTAGCAGAATCTGTTGTTTTTGTTCAGGTTGGGTCCTGATTGACCGGAGTGGAAAACACTTCAACAGTATTCTGAATTATCTGCGTGACGGTACCGTCACCTTACCCAAAGGTCGTCAGGCTGTTCAGGAGCTCCTGGCTGAGGCAAAGTACTACCTCATCCAGGGCCTTGTAGAGCTCTGTCAAAATACTCTGCAGGTCAGTTCAGATTTTTCATGATCTTTGACTGTCTGCTCAATTTAACCTACTGTCAGCAAATCAATCAACAACATTGGTAAGGAACAAGTCTTCATCATCTGCATGTCTATTATCATATAACTATTATCATATAACTGTACACGTTGGCATTAGAAAAATAAATACACCAATTTTGAAAAAGGAAAAAAAAACTAAAATTTTTGAATAAAATTTTTACGCTGGGATGAGATGGTTTTTGGGCAGTGGAGGAGAAAGCACTCAAACATTGTACTTAAGTAAAAGTACAAATACACAGGCAAAAATGTACTCTAGTAAAAGTAAAAGTATCACATAAATATTTTTACTTGAGTAAAAGTCAAAGATGGAAAAATTCCGATATTGCGACCCCTGGTTAGAAGTAAGATATAATCTCACCATTAAATGGTTAGTTAGCTGTTCAAAGATGCCAATGGGATTAACTCCCATAAATCCAATGTTTTTGAACATTTACTTGTGGAATATTTGCAATAAAGAAGTCGGCATTACATTTCCAGAATTTTTACAAATTTAAACCTGAAAACCGTAAAAATAATCCAAAGTGGACAGAAAGTACCAGAAGACTGTATGTTTAAGGTAAACTGTTATTCACTGCTGAACGGGCTGGCGACTCACCACGTTTTTCTTTAAGAAATTATTCTAGTAATTTCTTAACTTTTGTTCATATAAAACTATATGGGGAACACAGCAGAACCATGGTTGGTCCTATTGTAGCTTCTGTAGCAAAACGGACGGAAAGGAGGGGCACACAACTGGCAGCAGTTTTAGACAAAGGCATTGCAGTTCCGGTGTTGTGGATTAACTGGTGGCTAAATTAACTAGTTGAAACCTATGCACCGCAGATGTTTCTAAATTGTAGGTGACTGCGACCATGCCTGTTGAAAAATGCTACCTGTGTAATGAAACCGTTCGCAATACATTGGTACAAATGTCATTTGACTTGTATATGTTTAATGTTACACACATAAAGATTATATTTCAAAACAATTGTCTACATTCAGTGCCCTTTTTTAGCGACACTCTACATTGCAGTACAGTGTCGCTGTACAGGTTAGTGTCATCATACTTAAGAAAATAAAAATCACATAACAGGTAGTGTTGCTTGTGGTGTTTTCGTGTCCAAATAGAGGGGAACAATAAGTTGCTAGTTAATTCCTTTCTCATCTAGTGGTAGCCACATCATTTCACTTGCACCTTAGGAAGACCTCTAGCACCTTCAAACTAACTATTATCTGGAGATGCAAAGCTGTGCAACTTTGTAATTTGACTATATTCTTAAAGTTAAAATTTGCCTGGCAAACTTGTTAACAATATTACCTCCAAAATGTTGGCAACAAGAGAATATAATTTTTTTAGAAAATAAAAAACTGGTCCAAAAAGTGAGTTAGATGAAAATACTAACTGAACTCATACCAGCGTTCGCTGAGTTCTGAATTACAAGAGTGCTGTTTTACCCACCAGATGAAATCCCCAGATAGAAGTCTGATATTCTTAGCTGTCATTGATTCTCATTTAACTGACACCTCGAGCTTTCAGAAGCAGACTGAGATTAACTGGGGATGTTTTCAGAGTCTCAGTTTGAGTGAAGATTTTAACTCATTTCTGATGTAAAAGTATATGAGAATTGTTTTTTCAGCTCTCTTATGTTTGAGTATTAGGGTCACTTGATGAAAAGAATAGACGTTTTGTGAAATCAAGAGAAAAAATAGACATCAACAATAAGAGAATGACACCGTCACATAGATCTGTGGTAGCCATGTCTTTTGTTAAAGGGATAGAAAATAAACTGTAACATATCACAAAAACAGTATTTAAAAAAGATTTTTCACTGTTGCATCAGCAAATATCTAATTGAAAAATCTTTGGAATATTTGTAATAAACTCACAGTCAAGCATTAGGGCATTAATCTTCACCGTGGAATTGTGAAACACTGGAAGGACTGATAAGTATAATTGGGTCTTGGCGATTGTCTTGATCATCTTTGAAATGATAGGCCTGTCGCCATAAATCAATTGATTGCAAGGATAAATTAAAACTATCCACCTCATTTTAATTATCGGCTTTATTGTTTCTCCTGGCCTTTTTCTCTTTCTGTTGATTGCACTGAATAAAAAAAAGGCTCAACTCCGGTGCTCTCCACTGACCCTCCCCTCCTCATTTCCTTAGTGTAATTTCCAGTACACACCACACAATCAGTTGTTGGCCGATTGTCAGCCCATTTTCAAAATTTGAGAGACCACACATTAGCCGACAGAAATCCTGGGTGTAACGGTTCGATCAGTTTCGATCCTGTTGTGTGGTGTCTAACAATGGGCACAAAATAATGGCTACAAATCCAGTTAACTAATTTTAAACCAGACATTAATCAATGCTTTACTACAATCTATCTGCAATGCATGTGGCTAGTGTCAGCGTAAAGTATTGGCTGAATGAAAATTAGTATAACCTATTTACTGTATGTCACGATAGCAAAGAACAGGTATAAAGCTCCTCCCCTTGTCTATATTTTTATATTTCTATATTTTTTGCACAAAATGTTGAATAAACATCAATGTTGTTTCCACATATCATCTCCAATGTCCGCTGGATTTAGGGTTGCCCTGTGTCAGTTGTTTTGAATTCCCCTCTGTGATTCCCCCTCAGAAAGCCTGAAGGGAATCTGCACTTTCTGATTGGCTACCTGTCACATTCAACAGGCTGCGTTAAGGCTCCCAGTCAGGAAAAACCCCTGATTTAGATCAGAGGGGCCACAACAATCTACCAATACACCACACATTAAAGGATGATCGTTATGAAATTGCAAGCAACCTCCAACGTTCTAAGATTGTCGGAAAATTGGGGTAAAAAAAATTGTGTTTTGTGAACTATTACATCAAGAAGTGGGATGTGCCTGTCTTCTCTATTTAAAGCTAATGATTAATGAAGGGCGATATAGTGTACAGACTTCATAATCTGCACTCTTTTGGTTGAATGCAATATTTATTTTCACTTTGGCTTTATGTTGTTTAGATTTTATTCAAGTACATTTTTTGTTCATGGAGACTGAGAATCCATTTCATTTTTATTTTTTGGATGTTTTGTTTATTTAATTGTCAGTTCCAGCATTGAGTGTTCTTTTGAAAATAAACTATATCTATCTTTGGCAGAAAATCGCATGCATTATTACATCATTTCCATTAAATTAGTGTAAAAAGGTCTTGAAACAATATTGTCATTTATCACAATAATTTTTGAGACAATTTTCAGCAAATTTCAGCAAAATTTGTTATCGCGACAGGCCTAAGTTCACATCTCAATGCACCTCAAATAAATTTCATTAATGACGATGATATGAACAGTTCCAAATAGCAGCCAGCTTGACCAAGAGCCTTCAGGTGGATACATGTACATTAACCACGGTGATTTAGGATTTTATTTGTATGCGTCAGTTGAGTTTGAGCAAACACGGAGATTGAAAAAAAAAGGCTTCTGCAGAAGAGAATTACAGTTTTACTGATAATTACTATCATGAGCAGTATGTATATGTCGTTATGATCCTTGTCTGGTGAGAATGAGCTGTGGCTCATCAATAAAATCGGTTTCCAAAAAACAGGAGCTGTCTATTTCTGTTTGACAGGGTAATAAAGAGCAACCTATGTGTATCATACCTGTGATTACTTCCTGTAAAGAAGAGGAAGAGCTCGTCCAGTCATCCTCAAAGGTAAGCACTTGGCCATGATCAACTTTTTCTGATTGAAATTAAGTTAACATTTGAAGGAAATGTTCTTCTGTCTTAAACCAGTAAATGGCCCAAAATAATTCAAGATTCACTGATCTGATGTTAATATCTGTATTATTCCCAAATTTTGAAAAATATTCTAGATCAGGTATCTGTAACAATGTTCCTGATCCAAAAGGACAGATTTTCTCAGTCTAATTACAGGCTTTGTGGTCTGAGCAACATCATGGTTTATGTTCTACTCCTTATTGCTCTGACCGAATTAATTAAAGTTATGTTGTTTTTCCATGTTAGACCATGGATAAACATGGTCAAACATGTGAAGCTATTGTCTTAAAATGTGCTGTAATAGTGGAGAATTATAAAATAAATTTGTACATTTGTTTGTATTTTTTAAAAAAACATTTCAAGTCACTTCAGCATTGTTTTTTTTTTGTATCTGATTGTATTGAACGATATTAACCTCAGATATCTATAATGAAAGCGAAAAAAGGAAAACTGTATATTCTAAAAATAATATTTATATGTATATATTTATTTACATTATCATTTCCAGTTAATCATGCTTACTTGATTATAAAACATTTAAGAATGTACATTCAGATGATGTTGGTTTAAGATGACCTTGAAGTTGAGAGATTGAGAAATTGAAGCAGAAATAATAACCCATGGCTTTTCCTGCCTCTGTTAGCCTATAGTGAAGCTGTTGTACAACAGAAGCAACAACAAATACTCCTATACCAGGTGAGAACACTTTCTGACATAGATGAGTTCTTGTAGAACAGCCAGTATACTCACCATTAATATGGGTTTGCTTCTATCTCCTTAGCAACTCGGATGATAACCTGCTGAAGAACATCGAGCTGTTTGACAGGCTGTCCCTCAGCTTCAACAGCCGTGTCCTCTTCTTTAAAGACGTGATCGGACATGAGATCTGCTGCTGGTCCTTCTATGGTCAGGGTCGCAAGCTGGCGGAGGTCTGCTGCACCTCCATTGTCTATGCCACAGAGAAGAAGCAGACCAAGGTGAATGTTAAGGATAGCTGGGAATTGGGGGTCTTAAGAGTTTACACTTTATCTTATATGTTGAAAATAGGATATTTCAGTAGAAGAAAACAATGGGTTTTTTTTCTTTTTTTTTAAGGGATACCTGGCAATGATAAGCAGCAGCGTAAAACAAAACAGTTACAAACATTACATATAAATGACATCCACAAAAACTACCCATGCACTAAACCTAAAAAAATTTTTTAACACTTCAGACAAGTAGTTCTTAACCTGGGTTTGATGGAACCCCAGGGGTTCAATGAGTCGATCTCAGGGGTTCGGCAGAGCCTCTGTCGCGGAGGTAAAAACAACTTGTGTAAAGTTGTGATGACACGCCCCGCTAGGCCATCACTTGCTTCAGTGGATCACGTGACATTGCTTGGCCAATCAGTGCTGCGGGGAATTTAGTGCGCGCAGCATGCAACGGCTGTTGTAGTTGTACGTAGTGTGGTTTCTTTCTCAATATTTTAATCCATATTAAACATGTTGAGTGAAAATAGAAAGTGATCGGACGAATATGTACAACATGGATTCACTTGTATCGTTGAACGGGATGGGAGTCAGCGTCCCATCTGCATAATATGCAATGCTAAGATGAGCAACTCTAGTCTCGCACTGGCAAAACTAAGGGAACACTTCTTGAAGCTGCATGGAGATGGGGAAAAGTAAAAAAGCATTTTGTGGATTCAAAATGACAACAAACAAATTAAATTTCAAATAAAAAAAAAAAATATTAAAAAATGTAGAATTCTTTTAAAAATCCAAATTTATGTTTAATTAGTAAAATAGCAAAAAATATATTTTCGGGGGCTGAAATTTTTTTATGGGGCCAAAATATTTTTTGGGGCGCAGAATAAAGTAATACTGTAATTTTTTGTGAGTTTATGGACTGTGTTGGTTTTGTTCTTTGAGCCAGGTGATGTTTCTGCATGACTCATTTTGTGCACCAATTAAAAAAAAGCATGTCTTGAATTTGGGAAAAAAAAAATTATTAATTACTAAAGAAGGGTTTAGTGAGTGCACATATGAAACTGGTGGGTTCAGTACCTCAAAAAACGTTAAGAACCACTGCTTTAGACTCAGTTAGTCTGTAATTAATTTTTTTCTGTTTCCATTTTAAGTTTTATACCAAAAACATATTATGATATATATTATCTCCACCCATCACAATAGATTTTGTGATATGAATTTTATGCCATATAAAATTTGGAAATATAAACAGGTCTTATCACAGAAAGTAAGCATTAACATAAGATTTTATCATATCAGCTAACTGCTCTAGTCTCCAGGAGTAACACATGAGGTTATTAAAGACTAGAGCTGTATGTGTCGAGATGGAAACAAAAGCTAAAGTTATACAGGGGCTTTTCTAATTGAGACATCCTGTCTGCCAGGTACAAAGTCCAGCAGGGATTGAGAAATTGAAGCGGTGTCAATTTTTCTTGACATTTAGTGTCAAGAAAAAGTACATCAGCTGTCATGTCATTTTGGGTCAAGTGTGACAGTGTAAATACTGACAGAACAAGTTTGATGTTATCTTATCACTGTTAGTTATTGATTAAGATTTGGGACAAAAACATCTAGGTTGGGAGCTTCCTAGTTGTATTTTAAATCATGCTGGGTAAACAGTTGTAAAAATGTACAATTAAAGTTCTACGGGGTGTTGAGTAAGTTCTACATTGTCTGTGAAAGGTGGAGTTCCCTGAAGCTCGCATCTATGAGGAGACTCTGAACACTTTACTTTATGAGACCTTGCCACTGCCAGACAACTCCCTGCTGGAGGCCACCCGGCGAAGCTACAATAACTGTGGTTCTCTAAGCGAGGAAGAGGACGGGCATGGGGGGACGGAACTACGCGAGCGCGTCCGCAGAATCCACATTAAGCGATACAGCACGTATGATGACCGCCCACTGGGACACTGAGACTCAAAACCACTGTGCTGCTACTTTTATTCAAGCAGGTTGTGAGCTGCATGTAACCTCATGTCAACTTCTGCACTTTGTCCTTCATTATCAAAAACTACATAAATTACTCATAATTCCTGACTATGTCTTTTATTTCATTTAAAGGATGAAAAATCTCAATATTTTGTATTATTGCACCCATTCCATTACATCAGCAGGAAATATCTTTTAAATGTATTTTTTTTTTAAACACAGTAACGAAATCAGTTGCGGTTTCTGGTATGAGCAACATACAGGCCACTGCTCTGAGGACCTGAAAGTCAAAGCCCCCATTTCCCTCCCCACCCATCAGCAACTTAATTGAAGGGGGAACACAAAAAGGCAGTTTGAAAACAGACTACGACCGCCTCTGAACATAAACATGTCCCAGTTGATCTAGAACTGGTCCTGTGCCTTTAATACACTGTAATGCTGCTCAAGATACTGCCTTATACTAGTTATAAATATTAAAACGCTTTCATCTCACAAAGTGTCTCATTTCTCTACATTTACCACTAAAAAGTCCTTATTCAACTTTATAAGGACCTGGGGTCTCATGCATGTGAGGCATGCCCACATGCGTCTTACGCACAAGACGGCATGTATAAAAATTAACGTCAAAAATACGCACACTTTTTTTGAATTGTTAAGCACTTGAAAGCTTTCCCTGAAACAAAAACATTTGCTGCTTTCCCTGACATGGAACATTGAAAAGGAATATTATAAATACTTACACTGCTACAAACAAGGACGTTGCCATGGTTATTGCTTCACAAGGAGGCAGACTTCCGGGTATTTATACTAATTTACCTATGTATGGAGGCGACAGGGCGGAACAACAGCTGTGCTCTATTTCCTGCATATTTGGATGTATAAACGAAAGTTGCGCAGCCATGTACATGCGCACGACTTTATACATCCAGATTTTTTCTAAATTTTTCCGTACGCCAAGTTTTAGTGTGAAAACTGTGCACTCTTTTATACATGACGCCCAAGAAATGTAATCCTGTATGATATGTAGCTTCTGGTGAAGAATTAAAATGGTGAATTGTTGTGTGAGCTCCCAGAAGTCATAGCCTTCTGTTGGATTGATGAAGTACTAAAATATTTCATTGATTAATTCTGCAGCTTCCACCATAGATATCTTAGTGATTGAGCTGAGTGTTTACATACTTCCTTATTCTGCTTATTTATTACCTTTTTGGCTATTCTCACCATTTTGAAGACAGATGGGCCTTATATGTCTCTTACAAATATAAAAATTAAGATCTAAGCCATTTTTATGCCAAAGTTGTTCTCAGGTGATATCAGGTTTTTGTGGATCCTTCCCAGTCATCCATGATTTTATTGACCTTATCTTGTTTGCTTATATGCAGCAAACAAGAAGTAAGGCATCCAGAAAGTCCCCACAAAGTTGGAGTATCAAATTATCCAAATTGTTGTGGTATGTTGAAGCATGAAACTCCTTTCACCCCGAAGTGCTTAAGTGGAAGGCAACTGAACTTGTGTTGCTTTTTGAAGAGTTGTCCCACTGTCTTTAAATCTAACAACGCTGGTGTCAAATGTTTGTGCGCAAAATATTTGTTTGTGCCATTTTCATTTTAAAGATATTGTTTGCAGAAGTCATAAAAGGTCAAACCGCTCACCCCCCAATCAGACAAAATTTGTGTCACTTTTATGGCTATGGTTGTACACCAAAGGTTTTTGGTTTCCTACTTTTGCTTTGAAGATATTTAATGGAAGATTAACGGTCAAACCCCCAGCCCTCATATTGTCCAAATCGAACAAAATTGGTGTTAAACATTGGTGCTGAGTTGTACAGCAAAGATTTTTGTTGGTACCACTGTTATTTTAAAGATGAAAATATTTCCATAGGTTATCAGAGGCCATTTACATTTTAGTAACATTTTCTAAACAAAAGCAGCACAAATGTAGTAGAGTTGATTTACACTATTTTTTTTTTATAAATATTGAGGGCTGGTTGAAACTCTTAACAACCCCTGGACACTTTATTAATACAGTGAGTACAGAAAGTATTCAGAGCCCTTTAAATTGTTCACTTTTTGTTCCTTTGCAGCCATTTAATACAACAAAAAAGTTCATTTTATTTCTTCTGTATGAACTCAACATTCCATCTTGACAGAAAAATAACAGAATTATTTGCAAAGTTATTAAAAAAACCCCTGAAATATCAAAGTCATACATATTCAGACCTTTTGCTCAGTATTGAATAAAGTAATGTACAAAAACTTTTGATCGAGTACAGCCATGAATATTCCTGAGAATGATGCAACAACTTTTTCACACCTGGATTTGGCAATACTCTGTCATTCTTTGTAGATCTGTCAGGTTGGATGGTGGTGGAGCCATTTTCAGGTCTCTCCAGAGATGTTCAATTGTGTTTAGGTCAGGGCTCTGGCTGGGCCAGTGAGGAATGGTTTCATAGTTGTTCTTTGTTAATTTAGCTGTGTACTTCAGGTCATTGACTTGTGGGAAGGTGAATCTTTGGCCCATTTGAGGTCCTGAGCTCTCTGGAGGAGGTTTTCTTCCAGGATCTCTCTGCACTCATCTTTGCTTCAATTGCAACCAGTTGTCCTATCCCTGCAGGTGAAAAGCACCAACATAGCATGATGCTGCCACCACCGTATTTCACTGCTGGGATTGTAGTGGGCAGGTGATGAGCACTACATTGGTGGTTTTCTCCATTCATTAACACCAAAAAGTTCAGTCTTCATCTCATCAGACCAGATAATCTTATTTGTCTGATGAATTAACCTCTCTTGTCAGATCTATGTTTTTTCTTTAAATTGACTAATAGGTTGCACGTGCAAAATCAACCCACACGGAGGCAGCAGCTGCAGGTTTGGTGACTCAGAGGAGATTTTTCTCCATCACGCATATGTGATGTCACTTATTTTGCAGCAGGCCATCTTCAGTGCAGACCCCAGATCAGTTCAACGTTTTGCTGGACAACAATGCTATGCTATTAAAGCATTTTAATTGGCTCCATTTTCTTGTATTTTGCATGTCACTGCGTGAAAAACTCTATTATTCCCCCCAGCTTTTTTTTTTATCTGTTTACAGCAGCGCAGTAAACAAACAACCTTATTGTTTAACTGAAACAAACGTAACATTTCAACGCCTTTCACGGCAGACGCCGATGAGGAAGAAGTGACGGAGGAAAGGAAGGAGGAAGAAGCAGCTAAAAATAACTCGGAGGTTCTACAGGTTGCTGCGTTGGATGCTTAGTGGCTGCGGGATAGAGATTGGGGCGGAGCGAAACGCTGGGAGGTTATCTCATTTTCCCCCTTTCTCTTCCTCCATTGATCAGTTTGGCGAAGAAGGTGGATCCTCTGACGTCAAAGTCAAGCAGCTCGGATGAGTCAGAGTCCAGCTGAGCGAGGAAAGAAGGAAACGGGTAATAAAAAAGGAATAAGGTTCTGGACGGGCAGGGCAAAGCGAACCAGAGGGGAGAGTCGGGTTGACTGAGCTGTTGAACGCACCGCTGACTGACGGAGATGGAGGGTTGTGCGGAGGAAGAACACAAGGAGAAATTATTATGGAACGTCAAACGGGAGGTAGGCGCTGCTTTACGGCCTTAAAACACATTCTGACATTCATAATCTATATTATTATTCGCTTTACTAACGCCTTAATTAATCCGAAATCTTAGAGTTGGTGCATCAATTCTTAATTTATTTCTTAAATACTCAGCATTTTCATGTAGTTTTCTACATGAAGACTACTCATAATGTTTAAGTTATTAAACCTAAGAAAATCGAGCATAGCTGTAAGCAGTCCATTTTGTTTGGATTTATTGAATATTTCATAATATCCTCAAAATATTTTAGGGAAATGTAAATAAAACCCTCACTTTTATTATACTGCATCTAAATAACATGGACTTACGACAGCAAAGAGATGAATGTCGACAATGCAAGTTTTCTAAAACAGGTGGATTTAGTTAAATTTTTACTCACCTGCATCGCTCTCGTTTTTGAGACAAAATCTTCCTAAATTCCTATTCTAACCATTTTTTTTCAAGATTGTCCTAAAATTATCTTGCAGCTTTCTTCATGTTTAAAGAAAGATATGACAGATATGTTCATTTCCTATCTCACATTGTCACCTAACAAATCATATTTTTGCTTCCTGGCCTGCTGGTGTTTATTACTTCTTGCAATAAACCTAAATGTGCCAACAAATAATGAGGGGTTGATCCAACATTACACTCAAATTCACCACAATAGGTAGTAATAAACCTGTAAGCGGTACTGTGAGATAGCAATATAATATAAAGCGGCAGTCCAAACGTGGGCTCAGAGAAGACCCACCACATCATCTTCCTGCAGACATTTGGTATCTAAAATACATTGATCAAACAAATCAGATTAAAAATTTACAATAATCTTTCCTGTATGAAAAGTAATAAGGACAATTCAGACAACCTGCTTAATGACCTCTTCAAAAAGTTCAGCCTAACATATAGTAAATGTCCAGCATATTGATCTGGTGAATGCTGTAGGCTGTAAACCACACCCCCTTGGTTCTGCGACTCCAGCTGCATGTCTAGAAAGCACATAGAGCCCTTCATATTCATGGATAAACTAATATGATACAAAAGGACAAAGTGATTCATAATGGGCCATGCAAGTTTATTGTGAAACTATAATCTAAAAAAAGAATTTCTGTTGCGCTGAGAAAATAACTCTAGAGGGTAATCAACCTCGTTCTTCTACCTTGATTTACCTTCACCCACCATTGGCTGCTCTGAAACTTCAAAATTCTCATCCTCAAACATCACTTTGTCACTCGGAGAACAACACTGGTGTAGAAGCTGTTTCTGAGTAATGACAACTTAATGGATGCTGTTGTAAGTATTGGTAACAGCTGTAGCTGGGGAAAAAGGGCCCATAGCATGCTGCTTCATTCAGCTTTAGAAAAAGAGAGATTGAGAGAGAAACTATCTGGTTGGGATTTTTTTGTCCTCAATAACAATCCAAGTTATCTAATAGACCTGACCTGTATGAATACTTACAAACCCCCACACATGAGGAATTCTGTTTCTTTGGAGAACATCACATTAAGGTTGTGATTTAGAA